TCAGTTCTTTCAAATTTCTTGAGCCCACAGGCCACGCCCCGCACATTTGGGGAGCTCCGGCACATTTGGGGTTATTTAGATGGCCAAGGGGAAAGACAACTCAAAAAATTGGCGCCCCTCTGAGCTCATGCAGGGGCTAAGTAGCACAACAGTAGCGTAGCATGACGTGAGTGTGTTGGATTAGCAGCTTCCAGGATAAGCCGTGATAAGTCCCTGGGCAGTAGCTTGGCTCCCTGTCTTTGTCTGCGGTGTGTCGTTCCGTCGGGTTTTCCGTCTTCCTGCTTTTCTTTGGCTCTTAGATGTAGGGGCCCGTATCATCATGCCTGGCCGAGTGTTCTTCCTCGTCCGGGTGACGTTTTCTCAAGACAGGCATTTCACTGGTTCTTTCGTTTCTCTTGTCTCCATTAAGCATTCTAGCCTGCTTTGATCCGGTGCGTAGCGTATCAGCCGTTTCTTGTGCGCACTCAGGGACTCCTATACCCCACTCCTCGAGAGAATCCTGTTTTTCATGAAACCAAATGCGCGCGCACAGTACAGTCACGCCCTACAGCACAAAGCCAAGCAACGCGAGTTTGCGCTGACGGACGAAGTCATGTGTGGCTTCTGTCATCCATTGCATGCTCACTACACACACACACCATACAAGGATGACATATATCCTGTTGAGGTATGCCGAAATGTGATCCGTGTAGGCGCTCTACCTACTGGTACGACAGGCACACTACCAGAGCAGCGAAATTTGCGCATGGGCATTCAAGTAAAAAGATGTTGAAAAATTGAAGAACACCCGAGGCTCTGCATTTGAGTGCAGCTCGTGAGATACCGCACAACCCAAAGTAGACACGACGCTACCTATACACATGCTGGCTACGAGTAGCATACGTGGCTGAGAAGATCTGCGATTCTGGGGTGCACCTCTGTTGTGAAGCCATTCCGTCATAAAAGAAACATGAACACTTGAGTTCTGCAAGGGCCCGACGAGCGTCTGCAGCAAGGTTCGTCCAGCCAGTAGCATCTTGCGGCATCCATTCGCTCGCAACCGCCGCTATTGCCGTTCTACTTGGCGAACGTTTACCGCACGTTGGAAAAGAGAGAAAGGTCTCTCGATGTCTCTCGTGCCATGACCGCCTCCAGCTCCGCATCCTGCAAACCAAGACCTGGCCGCGGCCAGAATTCAGGGTTTAGGGTTTAGGGTTTAGGGTTTGGGGTTTAGGGTTTAGGGTTTAGGTTTTAGGGTTTAGGGCCGCAACTCCCGAATCCCACGGCTTCTCGCCCTCCAACTTTCAGCATGCTCAGCCGCTCCCGTCCCTTAAAGCACCAAGTGAAAGTTCATGGCTTATCCGTGCGCAGCGGCTGCGACTGCTACAAGTACGATCATGCACAAGGAGTGCCTCCCTCATGCAAACCACCCGGATGAACGTCCGGCTTCATGAAGTTCATTACACCGAACAAAGGGAGTATGTCAGAAACATGCCTGAACTGGAGCACCACAAGGTCAGGGAGGTTAAGCGGCTGAAGAGCGGCAGAGCCTGGGGGGCAGAGAAAATCACCAACCAAACCAAGCTTGTAGGGTTTTTTGGGGCGCAGCGCCAAGCGTTGAAGCACTGGGATGCGGGCCAGAGACTCTACAACTGCACTGCTTGGCCTCGAAGACTCGAGGCACTGCGACGATGCTTTTTTTTCGTGCTTCATGATCTGGGGGGTTTCCGAAAAATTAGGGGGGGGGGGGGGGGGTACCTTATTGGGGTCGGGTCCTTAATATAAGGGAGTCCTACTATTTGGGGGTCTAAATTCGGGGTCCCTTGTTCTCCTAAACCCCCATACGTTCATGATACTACTAAGTAATTGCTCAAGAACCCCCAAAAATAAAAATATTCTTCCTTATTAAGGGTAATACAAGGATTCTTGCGTTATATTTGCCTAGGGGTTCTTAAGCAAAGAGTAGGATAGCAAGTGACCATACTGGCCTTAGCGAGGCATCCAGCCGAAGCAACACCAGGCGGACGCAGTTCCTTCCAATAGAACTCAGAGCCGCCTGCACCGCGCACGCTGGCTTGAGTACCCAATTTTGGTTCTTCCGTTCAGGGTTTAGGGTTTAGGGTTTGGGGCTTAGGGCTTAGGGTTTAGGGTTTAGGGTTGAGGGTTTGGGGTTGCGAACTCTTGACCAGCGGCCTTCAATGCCTGATCTGTATCGCGCTGTGGCAGGGTCACCGCCAGCTGCTCCAACATGGTGCAGTTCGCAGCAACGGCCTGGTCTGTAGTGTGCGGGTAGTACATGTGGGGGTTTACGAGAATACATATTGAATATATTGGGGTCCTTATTAACAAGGGATCCTGCTACTTGGGGGGTCGGGGTCCCTCATGATCGTAAACCCCCCCCCCATGTGAGTTTCTCTGAGGGTGGGCATGTCAAAGCCTCGAGAGCAGATGCGTAGGCAACATCCTTTATGCCGTCCAACAGGAGCTGTTCCAAGTTCGCACCATAAGCAGAAACCTTGGGGCACACATCGAACTCTCTTTCAAGTGCCTGTCGAGACAGACCCGCTGAAGAATACTACAGCTTGGCTTCTTGCGATGTTCTTGAGAGATGGCAGACCTTGCGGCACCGCAGGTGCCTTGGAGATGCGCAAGCGCAGCTTGCAAGATGCAGATGCAGGTGCAGATGCGCGAGCGACTTGCTGAGTCTGGAAGCCGGCCACTCCCTGCCGCCAAGGGGTACGGGCACGGGCCCGAGGTTCTGCAAGAGCTCAGCCAGATATCTCTGCCAACCGAAGTCGCCAAAGCATCTCCCCAGCCTGGCTTGAATCGTCACCTGGAGAAACATGACTATCAGGGCCAGTCGAGCATCTGCCCGTGCACCAGTTGCACACTAGTTAGACATGTGCCTAACAAAGAATGGCAAAGAACCCCTGCCTGCGTTGGCAGAAGGTGGAAGCAGCATGGAAGGTGGTTCGGGCGGCAAACAAGAAGGCAACCTCAGGGCAACCCTTTTGGATACAGGATGCGGTGCTTGCTGCTGAGCGCTACTGTGTGATCGGATCTGTGCCCAACACCAGTTCGGAGGTAGCGGAGACAGGGACGCACTCGACTCCTCGGAATCTCTTTGGTTCGTGTGGGAAGCACAAGCCTTCATCACAAGAGCCGCACCCACTGCCCTGCTGACGTTGTTCGTGGCAATGCCGGCAGGGGTGCAACAGAATCGATGGCAGTATCTGTCCAAGGCTCCGTTCGAATGCATCACCAAAATCTTCGCTCTTGAAACCTAGTACTCCTGCCTTGGTACCCCAACAATGCAATTTGGTCAACAACTTTGCAGATACTGAAGGTGCAAAGGCAAGCCATGAAGGCATAGAAGCATTTGGGCTTCCGGCCTAGCACAATGGCGCCAAGATGATCCAGATCGATCCATTTCAGAGGCGGCCGTGAATCCTCATGACATACAGAGGGGTCTGTCCTTGCTTCTACTCTTTGGCTCATGCTGGTCCTATCTGCGCCACTCATCCCGAAAAAAAAGCTTAGTAGAATGTGCAGTCTTCAGGCATGCCAAGGAGGCGGTGCGTAACACATTCGCACCACGCATGAATCAACCCCCCACTTGCTAGAATCTGCTAGCATGCATCTCGACCTCTAAGCAACCTGCCATCACGGCCCATGCTGACACGTCAGGCTCCAACTTGCTGCGGCAACAGCATAGACTCCATGTGGTGATGAGGGAGCAGGCCAGGGAAGTGCACCAACAGGGCGGAAGGACGGACAGCCAACTGAAAGGAAAGCTTTGGCGGGGCAAAGTCGTGTGGCGATGTATCGGTACAACAGCAAGCGTGTCCCCACAAGCCTTAAGGTCTTTAAGTTCCGATATTCTCAGAGTATCAAGCTACTTGTGTGCTGAGCCCCAGAGTGTGGCAGTGGCAACCCACATCATCCCATATCCCGACACCTCTCAGCGCCACACGAGGCTCATGTCCGACAGGATGTCCAGAGCATGAGCGGTAGCTCTCAAGCACCACGATGCGTTGAGGCCTAAGAAACGCCCCATGTCAATGCAACCACGCGGAGAGTGTTGCTATCGCTTTCCTGCCATTGCTTGCCAACACCACTACAGAGAGACGGTAAGGAAGCCACGCTCTAAGTGCCGGCACCTCAAGAGCGAACGAAATTTGTCGAGGTAGACGAAAAGAAACCCCCACAACTTGGGCCGAAGAGATGGCATGGGACTCGAGAGACACTAGTTTGCCCATTTGCCCTGTAGACAGCTCGACGAACAGCCTTCAGCTTTGGCAGCCCTGCAATCCGGGCGGGGGTTCTGTGCCGTTTTGTTTGCCGAGGTTCAGCTACATGACCCTGCAACTGGTCCAGATCGGAAGTGATCCCTTTGAAGTGGCTGCTTTGGCTTTGCAGATGAATTCACGCTCAGCCAGTCCAGCATCCAGCCAGCGCTTCGATGAACTGAATAGGCTCCCAACTCGCTGTCCTAGGCCCTAGGCCTGGTTGCTGCTCTGGGTTTAGGGTTTAGGGTTTAGGGTTTTTTGCCACCTGCCTAGCAGCCTCGCAACCACACTGCAAGGTTTAGGGTGTAGGGTTGGAAGAAGACTTGCTCGGATGTGAAATATATGGAGGAGAACAAGTAGTGAGTGCGTCTGGAAATGTTGGATGTGGAAGCCCGCATTGCGCAGAGGGCGGTAAGATGCAGCAAGATTGAACGGTCCTGCACGGCGAGAACAGCAGGCTCAGCACGTGACTGCATAATTGCTTCGAAGCTCACATCAGAGATCTCGGTGCTTCGCACCTCGCAAAACTGCGTCTCAAGCATGTCACATGACGTCAAGGGGCACGTGACTGCTTGGGGCCCGCGCACAGAGCATCTGCAACTTGGAGCAGGACGTCACAAGGGAAAGAATTCCAGCATCTGAGAGCTTCATAGCCCATCTGGCAGACACAATCGCACTCAAACATGCCCTCCCCAAAGTGATCTCTTGTGCGAAATTCCAGGCTCGGAGAGTCTAAGTCTTAGTTAAGAGCGGTGACCCAGAAACAAGCCGGCACTGCCCAACATCGACAACCTCGAGCTGAGGTGCTCGCTTTGCGATGCTTTCAAGGCCCCGGTCACTGACATTTGTACTCGACCTGGGCACAACGCATGCAACATGGGAGCATCGCAGGCGAGTAAGTTGGGATGCTCCCCCTTATACTAACAGTCCTTAATGGGTACGATAATAGGGGGTGCTGTAATCCCCCAATTAAGGACTCTTAGTATAAGGGGGAACATCCCAACTTGCAATCTTGATTTCCTGAGCATGCTAGCAAGCGTAGTTCGCGAAGCAGGGAATTGGGCTGAGCCTCGCAGACGCAAAGACTGACCTTATGCAAACTTCTACCCTAAACCCTAAACCCTAAACCCTAAACCCTAGACCGGCGTGAAACTTGCGGTGCCTCGAATGGAAGGTCCGAAAGCTGCGAGCAGAACGATAAATCCAGCGCTTGCAAGCCGAACTGAAAGAGAAGCTCGGAAGCCACCTGCGACGCATGCGATCACAGTCCTATGCTAGAAAGTGCCGTCAGCTATTGTCTTGGTAGCCCAGTAACCATATCATAATAAGGGCAGCCTTTTTGAGCTGGTTCTTTTATAAGGGAACCCATAACCCCCCCCCCCCCCCCAAAAAAAAAAAAAAACGGGGTAAAGGGTACCACTGGGCTGGGCTACCAAGTTGTGCGATTCGGAAGTTGCAGCACATCCTTGTTCCACTGGTCCAGCAGTCACCAAGCCCATACTTCTGCAGGCCGATGCCACGAAGGGTACTCCCAGATGGCGTTGCATGGGCCGCCACTAAAACCCTCTTGGCCCTACATCTCCGATTACAAATTACAACCAAACGGATCATATTCTGCAAAGATACCAAAGATGTCCGCTCTTGGCAAAAAAAAATCTGCCAAGAGTGGAGAACCAGGGCGCCTCGTCAGTGACCGTACCGTGACAGTACGCAAGACCAAGGGTCCTGCATGCCGTTTGTGCTTCTGGGGCTTGTGCTCAAGCATTCCGTGTGCAACTACTTCAAGGTGCAGCCATAAAGCACATCTAAAGCACGGAATTGGGGCTTCTTCTTGCCGCTGTGCCTCAAAACTTGCGGCAAGGACAATGCTGGCAGATTCTAGAGTGAGACCGGACCGAACTGCCTTGAGGGGGGGGCTAGTTTTTTGTTCACCGGGCGCAAAAGAGAGCCCGGAGACCCCTTAGAACCTGTGAGGAACTCAAGATGGAAGATGGAACTATATGGAACTCAACCGTCACCAGATAACTCTCTCAAGTCTCGGTTTCTCAATTGACTTCTCGCCCGTCCGTCCTCAGGTATGGTGCTCCTTTGAACACGTAGCCCATGAGGCCCTGCATGAAATCTGACCGTGTGCGGCTAATGCAAGCCACATGTGCCAACAGGGCCGAACATGGCCCTAAACCCTAAACCCTAAACCCTACTAAACCCTACTAAACCCTACTAAACCCTACAAAAACCTAAACCCTAAACCCTAAACCCTCCACGAAGGGGCCTCAGCCGTGATTTGACCGCATTTTCCAACAGAAAGCTCCCGGAGCCCCAGCAAGCCGGCCAGCGGAGGCTTCCACCTCATAGGCTTAGGGTTTAGGGTTTAGGGTTTAGGGTTTAGGGTTTAGGTTTAGGGTTCAGGGTTTCGGGTTTGTTTTGGCACTCGACTAGCCACAGCACGGCGGGGTTTGAAGGTCGGCTTGGGAAAATGTAGGAAAACTTAAACCCCAAGGTTAGATCAGGCTCAGCTTGGGATATCGCCCTGTATGGCATTCAGAAGAGGAAATGCGTTGATGGGAGCCCCCCCCAGCCCTCCTAACCAGAAACCGTTTCGGGTTTAGGGTTTAGGGTTTAGGGTTTAAGCTTAGGCTTGCGCCTAGAACGTGTAGAATACACTGAACCGCCATAAGCCATGCCATGCACATCATGCAAAGAAGTTAAAAGAAAGGAATGCAGATTCCAGAGTACTTCATACTTCTTGCTTCTCATACTTGACTCGCTCAGCCACGGAGCTCTCTGCTGTTTTTGGTGTGTTCTCGTGTCGCCCTAGCTTTGCGTTGCGTTGGGGTGTGCAGTCCAGCTGATTCCCCTCTCTGATCTCTTGAAGTTGAAGCGTGCACTCAAGCACGCCGCAGATAGATCAGACAAGCCATGTCTGCTAGAGATCCCCTTTCAGGAAAAACGATTTCAGGGCCGAGATGGTCCGAGGCTGCTGCAGGGCTGGTGCGAACGCACTGTCTGAAATGCGAGGGCACCCATCCAGCCGCAGAATCTCCAACCGCTCGCAATGTTGAAGGACCTTTTATTTACAGACATACCGCTACACACACACACACAGACACACACACACACACACACACACCCGCGCGCGCGCGCGCGCGCGCCCACGCACATTCACCTTGAGAGACAGCAGGCGCCGAGCAAGCCGAGGCTGCGACATCTCGGACGATTTTATTGTCGACCTGCTGACATGTCCTCACATCCAGCACACAAAGGTTGGGGCAGGATCGCCCAATGGTGCTCAGGACCTCAGTGCATCCCAGGGTCTGAAGACCTAAGACAGCTCCTAACCTCACCTAACTGATATACTTTGGGATGCTCCCCTTATGCTAGCAGTCCTAGAAAGGGATTCGAATCGGAGGTACTAAAATCCCTCTTAAGGACTGTTAGTTTTAGGGGGGAACATCCCAACTGACACTCATTGAGGCTCAGACACACCGGCGCAGCTGAGCTGCACCTTCAAGTCCCAGTTTTTGAGTCTGCCGCGTCAGGGCATATGGCAGCACCTCACCCAGCACATGAGCGCTGAAGAGCGACCGCAGCGCTGCCGCGACTTACAGAGGCACGTTGTCATTCAACGCATTCTTGGCCACAAGGATGTCCAGGAGCGCCTCCGCTTTGAGTTTCGATATTCGGTTCAATGTGTATGTCTATGCTGAGTTGGTGCGCTAGGTGTGCTCACACTTTACAAGTGAATGGAAACGGAGATGCGAGTACCCTCGGCCCAGGTGCCAAAACATGGGGGTTCATGCTTCGTCACAACATTTTGGATAGATAACTAAAGCACATCATTATTCTCAGATTCACTGGGTTGTTCTGTTGCGCGGGTAATTTTAAAGTCCTGCTGGGTCCACGGGTCAGCAAGGACTAGACGAAGCACTGAAAGTCGACGTGTCTCCTGGGTTCACATGCGCTGAGCAGGGCCTCAAGGCGCCCACTTCATAGAGTATGTGAAAGGTTTAGGGTTTACTCGGCGCCGTCTCTGAGTCTGAGCAACTGAGCGCGACTGCACTGTGAACCAGGTTTAGGGTTTAGGGTTTTGCCCTCCTGCACAGCTGGTTTAGGGTTTAGGGTTTAGGGTTTCGCCACCCGCACTGCATGCACCATAGGGTTTAGGGTTTAGGGCACAGTGGCTGTGAGCGGGGGCACGCTGCACAAGTCCATGTCTGTAGATCATTGGCCCTGGTGGGATACCGTTACAAATCGTGCTTGAGATGCTTGAAGTAACTCGCATGGCACAAAAAACATCGACAACTTTTGGGATGTTCCCCCTTATGCTAAGAGTCCTTAATAGGGATTCTAGTTGGGGGTACTATAATTCTCCATGAAGGGCTGCTAGTTTAAGGGGGGAACATCCCAAGACAACATGTCGGAGCACGACACCACGCACCCCGGCCTCTAAGGCCCGGCGAGGCAGCGCTGAGAGGGTGGTGTAGCGCACCTTTTGGGGTTTAGGGTTCAGGGTTCAGGGTTTAGGGTTTAGGGGTTTAAGGGGGGCGACACACAAACCAAGTGACTACCAACAGTCTGGATGATTCGAACATCAGTAGCTACTGACGAGGTCCACATGTGAAGCGCTGTGTCATGGCAGGTCATGGCACCCGTTTCGGCCCATGCTTGATGAGGCTCTGCGCAAGCTTTTGGACCTCATCGGCGCAAGGGAACACACAGGAAACTGGCCAAGATCTAGCCACGGAGACGTGACAATGACGACCTCGTGGGCTACCATGTTGTTGACAATGGAAGCTTTTTATGCAGCATTGCGGCCCGAGTTTAGCATGCACCGCCTGTTTGAGACGAACTCGACTTGGCCAGTTATCTACAGCCACGCGGAGAAGTGGTGTGAGGGTCCTCAAAAAATGTCGGTCGGGCGGGGAGGGCGGGTGGGGGGGGGAGGGGGAGGGGGGGGCAGGAGGGGTTGGGGCCAGGATCTTCCCGATGCTTTGCTCTTTTGTCTGACCTTGTTCCTGTGGAGTCCGCGGCACCAGGTGGGGGTTCTTCGCTTTTAGGGCCCCTTATAGATATCCTTGTTTTGCACAGGGTCCCTTACGTCTAAAGTTAAGGGTTTAGGGCAGGGTTTCACTCACTTCGGGTCGGGGGAGGAGGCGCAGGCCACATTATTTTCAGCGGCATCAAGTTGCAAGCTCGAATGGACAACATGGAACACTCTGAGCTGCAAGCGCAAAGCTGCAACAGTGATGGTGCAGCCTCCATCACGTCTCTGCGCCAGTTTCAGACCTTGCCACAACAACAGGCCATGCTGGGCAGGAGAAATGCGTTGATAAACACCTGTGCTGGTGCTGCATTCATTCAAGCATCACGACATTCAGGCAGAAACAGGGGAGCTCTCACTCGGTATGTACAGGAATGGTCATCGCGCTGACGGATCTTACCTCCATGCTGTCGCTGGCTGATCGCTCGAATATAGCACGACGTAGACTCATACACGCAGCAGACCCTTCGGAAACCTCATCTTTGCGAAGACCGGAACATTCGGCACGTCTAAAGGGGAGGCCCGATTCTTGCAAGCTTTGTGACATCTCCAGATTGTAAAAAGTATGATACAGGCGAGCCATGAGCTCAGATGCTTAGTGAAAGCACTGCATCTTTTATGGCTGCTGGCTAAGGCGATGGTGAAGCTCGAAACCCTGCAGTTCAGTCTGACGAACTCTGCTGCGAGCCTTCTCAACGCAAGGACCCTTGAGCAAAATCCCATGTTGCCAGTTGCAAGATTGCAGTTCTTTATAAAGAACAAAGCAACCGAACTTATAAAGAACAAAGCAACCATTGTGTGAATGGTCCAGACCGTTGAACGTGGCCGAAGTCATGGACTAGACTTGTGTGCGGAGAACAGGCGGCGGAGGCCTGAGCGCCAACGAGGTCTGTCCTTTGATTCGGCACAAATTGCCGATAAGTTGCCAGAATAACGAAGACGCAGATGATCAGGCGTGCTTGGGCACGGGATCGTAACGTACAGCGCAAGTCACTATACGCCCCTCCAAGTGCCAAAGATGCCATGAAGAACAACTAGATGTCTCTGCAGGCAGTGTGGTGGCAAGCTCGTGACGCCTTTACCAAAACCAAAGCCTCTCAATGCTCAGACCCGGGGGGGGGCGCGTTGGGCCAGAGCACGCTCCCAGCATGGTGCGCACGGACCAGCCCGGAAATCCTTACTTTAGCTGTGCGTGTGACGGGGGGGGACGTGACGCAGTGGGAAACCAACCCCTTTTGCACCAGGCTTTCTTCTCGTCGCCCGGTTATGCCCCACGGGCTTGACCACCATGTTAGTGCCTGCAGAGGTCCGCACCCTGAAGCTTGAACCCCATACGCCTTGAACCGAATACATACCTTGAACAGTACATATAACCTAAACCCTAAACCCTAATTATAGCCTAAACCCTGAACCTTACGCATTACAAAAACAACCTCGAACCATGGCCATCCCCAAAGCTCGTTGCTGCTTTTGCAGCCTCACCTGGCCCTAAACTCCATGCGCTGAGCGCACCCTCTCTTCCAGGTGGCCCAGGAGGTGCAACACACAAGCTTGGTTGCTCTTTAACCCCCCAATAAAAGTTGAACTTTTAGCTCCCTTCATATGAAATTAGAGGAACCCTATACTTATGAAGTGATAAGGTTGTAGTAAAGTCCCACCTAGCAAGGAGGATGAGGTTGGTCCTGCGCCCGACGCTTAACTCTCCGTCTTTCTCTCTCCTTCTATCTTTCTTTCTTTCTTCATTCCTTCCTTATTTCTTTCTGTTTCTTTACTTCTCTTTCTTTCTGTCTCTTTCTTTCTTTATCTTTCTTTCTTTATATTTCTTTATCTTTCTTCTTTCTTTATCTTTTTTCTCGTTATTTATCTTTCTTCCTCTTTCTTTCTGTTTCTTTATCTTTATTTCTTTCTTTCTTGCTTTCCTTCTTTCTTCCCTTCTTTCTTTCTTTCTTTCTTCTCTTCTTTCTTTCTTTCTTTCTTTCTTTTTCTTTCTTTCTTTCTTTCTCTCTCTCTCTCTCTCCCGCATCTCTTCTCCATGCCTCTCTCCCTAAACCCTGCAGAAGCTTACTATTGTCATCGGTATGGGTCTAGCGGGAAACCGATCTCCTGCGTTCCATTTCCGCACTCTCGCAGCTGAGTTCTGCACTGACATTCTTGACAGGTACGAAGACTTGTACTTCTGTGTGCTGTTCGCCTTTAGAAACGGCATGCTCAGGGGCGGTAGCCTGGTTTAAGGATCATAATGCTGTACAAAGCCACCAGAAAGGCACATGAGACGACGTTGTATATGCGCCGCCGGTGGAGCGTCCTCAAATCCACTTCCGCCTCGAGGGTGGCTTGGGAGCCACGGTCCGCCCAGATCCACCAGAGGCCGAATAAGAACATCAAGTGCAAGGCTGACTTGACATGGCGAGGAGCATATCGCAAGCTGCGGTAGGAATGGAAGGACTGGGCCACACCAGATATCAGGCTGGTGCAGACTGCTGGTAGAACCAGCAAGGACTCCACCTGCCATAGCCACTTCAGCAGACTGTTCTGCTCCTGTTCTTGGACCTTCAAATTGGGAAGCGTCCATTCCAGCAATGTTGTTGTAACAACTCCGCCGGCAAATGCCATTGCAGAAAGTGCGTGGATCAAGTTCCAGGCCTTCAAAGGAACGGATAGAAGGAAGGACGGCCAAATAGTTTGTCGAGTGTAATTTGCAATTATAAACCCACTGATTCCCAGCAAGGTCACGGCCAACAAGGCCTTCTTGCCCCCATCATTGCGCGCTTCTGCAGCATCCCCATTGTCTCCGTTGGCAAGAAACACGTTGTATAACTCACGTTGTTTTCGCAGGGCTTGCGCTGTCATACCTGGCTTGCAACAGACCTTAACTGAACCTTTATCTGCCTTACATACAGGGCCTAGGTACATCGGACCTTTAGCGTCTAGGTGGGGATGTGGTCTCTTGACAGCCAAAAAGAACTTCTAGTTCAAGTGATTCAAGCATGTCAAAAGGGACCAAAACACTTGAAACAGAAACGTCTCACCCGACATTTGTGTCGCAAGTGCTTCTTTCAAACGCCCTTGTTGTTCGCAGACCTTTGTGAAAAGGGCAAACAAGCATAGGCGAGGACGTGAGCAAAACACGGCAAAGCAAGGAAACGGAGAACTTGCCCCTCTGCTAACCTTAGTCTTCATACTGCCTTCCGCAGCGAGGCACACAGAAAGGGCAGGAGGCTGAGCACGTGAGGATGGTCTTCCCCTGGCTCTGGTTCTGACTGGGGAAGGAGCCAATGAGGGAATGAGGGCCCTAAATATACCCTTTAAGGGATTAAATAGGACCCTAGTTCCCTCATTCCCTGCTAAGAACCAGCCAGTCTTCCCTTTTCCCTCTCATTCCTTCCCCTCTCCCCTGCCACCATTGTCAGAAAAGAAGAAAGGAATCGAGTAGACGGAGGAAGAAGATCCATTTGCTAAGCCAGCTTGTGACCAGGAATCAAATACAAGCGACAAGAGGACTAGAAGAGACCAAGAAGGTCGGGAGATGACTTGCGATTCTTTTCCCTCGTCTCTGTCTCTTTTTCTCCTGAAAAAGAATAAGGCCCCCACCCCCCCCCCCCCACCCACTTGCCACATCTTTCAAAGGATGAGGTTTCTACACATCAACTGGAAGCTGAATTATGGGCAGAGTGACCCGCCTGACCGTGACCCTTACTCTGCACCTTGTTCTGCCTCTTCCACTCAATTCAACTTTGCAAGAAAAGAAGGAGAGAGGACTAAGAAAAGGGCATGGGAAGAAAGATGGATGATTGAAGGAGGATTTCTCCTGTTCCCTCTGCATCCATGTTTCCTCTGCTTCATCTCTTCCTCCCTACTCGCTTCTGCCCGCTATACGGTTACGAAAGAGGCTCACCTCCTTCATTCCTAAGGCACACAAAGACGTTGATACAAACAAACACGAAAAGGGGCTCTTTCCTGATTTCTTGTGGCTTGACTTTCTTCTCCTGTGGAAGATTGAACAGAAAAATGACGAGCAAAAGGAAAGGAATCGCTACCATGAATATGCTAGAAACTGAGAAGATGAAGACTGAAAAAAGAGCGGGCGAGAGAGAGAGAGAGAGATGTAGAGGCAAAAGCAAAACAGTAGGAGCCTGTGCACTCTCACTTCCAGGAGGAAGCAACGCTAAGTACAACAACGGGGATCCTGTCTACGGCATAGCCTGCCCTCCGAGCAGTAGAGTAGATATGTATAGATTGAAAGAGCAAGGGAGAGGAGAGAGAGAGAGAGAAGAAGGAAAAAGATGACCAGGGGTCCCGTCCTGCATTCGGCCACTCAATTGTCTCCGGATATATCTCACTGTCTGCCCCTCTTGTGTTTGTTTCTGTCTTTCTTTGGGCTTGGGGCCAAGGCCCCGGGCGTCCGCGCCCGCCCCAGTATTTGGGCAACTCGGTGACCGCACGGGCGGGGTCAAGCTGTGGGCCTGTGTTAACTTCCCCCTCCCCCCCTCTCTCCCTCTCTCTCTCTCTCTCTCTCTCTCTCACTCTCTCTCTCTCTCTCTCTCTCTCTCTCTCTCGCTCTCTCTCTCTCTCTCTCTTTCTGTTTCTTGTGGTTCTTCTTCCGCAGCACACCTTACAAAGATGAAGTGGCTCAAAGCGAGAAGAAGCGAGGGTAAAATAGGGAAGCTAAAAAGAGGAACGGAACCCCTGCTGCGGCAGACCTTCGTCCTCGTGACCTATGGTTATCTCCCCACTTGGCACGCATTCCTCCTTTTGCAAGACGACAAGGTATCGGCAGAAGACGAGAAAGAGATTATAATAGATTTGGGTTCATACCGTTGCACGGTAGCTTCGATTGTTGGGTGTGGGTCTTGCGTTTGCTTGAAGCCTTGAAGTTTAAGATGTAGTGCACTGCATATTGGCTGCTCATACGACAGAGACAAGTTTTCCCCACACTATGCCTAAAGGTCCATGACACATAGGTTCTAGACTAGAGTTCAGAGCCTCATAGCCATGAAGAACGTGGGACATTACATAACTTGGTCCAGATGCCGTAACTGACACGACGATGGGATGAGGCCTCCTCCATTCTCGAGGTTCCTGGGCCACAGGATGGGTGCCAAGCTGCAAGAAGAGTTGCATGCGATGCTGTCAATGACACATTCAAATTGAAAGGAACAGGCCGAACTGCTGTTATCCACAAACTTAAAGCCATCCCCTTCCCACCAAAGGCCCATGAGGCATGGCTCATGGTCTCTGCCTGCTGTAGTCAGATCTGCTTTTACTTTCACAGCATCGCAATAGAGAAGGTTGCCTAGGTCTGGCGCCTGGCTTCCAAGTCCCGCAGCGAAGTTGCTGCCCCGCAGCGCGAAGGCGCTGCTAGTGCCCATGCCATGGTCACCACACATTACCAGGGCCAGCAGGGACCAAGCAAGGGGCGCCCTCAGGAGCATCCAGAGGCCAGCGCTTCTTGCGGAGCGGCATGCCACCACCAAGCGTGCGCGCGTCATGCCGCGGGCTCCACTTTTGCGTGAGTTTTTTTTTTGCATGATCCATTTTTTGCTTTAGCCTTCTTGGATTTTGTGACGAATGATCCGCACACCCACACGGTGTCTTGTTGCTTGCAAGCCAAAAAGCGCCCCATGCACAAAGCTCTCCAAGATCTGCTGTCACAGGCTAAGAGGCCGCCGACTCCCCTCCTCCAGCTGCCTGGGCGACACGTTGTTTTATGCATTTAGGCAGCACTCCACGGGCTGCAAAAATCCCGACAGTTTTGGCTGTTCATGGGGCTCTAGACGCTGTAAAGTCGAGCAGCTCCGACTTTTCACTAGGTCGCAATTGGTGCAAAGCACGCGTAGAAACAGTCAAATTGTGCAAATACATTTATAGCCTGTCTGGGTGGCTTTTTGGGTTCTTGGACCAGAACCGCTGATGCTCATGATGTGGGCGCGCGCCGGCATCGAAGTTGCTTTCCCAACCTACTCTCACTGGAGTCCTATCACGAAGGTTGACAGTACGGTCCTGGCGCCGCAAGGTGGCTGTCCACTCCCTTGATGCTGAACTGTGCTTCTGGAGACGAGGGTATGTCGGTACGTTGCACTGACAGCGCGGGCGCACACATTTCTCATCCTCACGCTGCTGAAAGCTGTCGAATGGTGATTGTCCAGACGCTGAAGTCGGGTGCAGTTTCTGCAGGCGTCGATTCAGTCACTCGGTCTGGGTATGCATGGCCTTATTGGAATTGGGAAAATAACTGTGCTCGAGCAATGGCATGCTTTGTCATGCCCGCTTGTTAAAAGAATCTGACAGACTTACAAAGTAGTAACTAGAAGAAATGGTTGCGGGGGTCCCTGCAGCTGCAAGCACAGCCCAGGAGCTGGTCCATGAACGGTCCCCGGTAAGTTCCAGGGTCCTTGGGCCTCTTGCCATTGCCAAAGGCTCCGAATTCTTGGACATTCAGCCCCTGAGCTGCGCCAGTGCTGCTTCGCACTCTCGAGCGGCCTGCTCCCAGCTCATTTCCTTCGGAGGAGTGGGTGCGAGACCAGATGTTGCTAGTGCCCGGCCTGTCTCAACGTCTTTGTCGGAATAGCGCTGACCAGACGCCACCATGCTAATGTATGGAGTCCCGGCCTTTCCGAAGGTAATGCTGTCAAGGTAGCTCGGCATCATGCCATAGACTTCTGCCAAATCCTCAGTGCGCGGGAAATTGCCCTGAAAGGCCTTGTCATGGCACCAGAACATCACCTTCGTATCCTTCCACGCGGTCGGATTCGCCGACTTTTCCATGTGGATCAGCATGGGGACAGCGGCACTGTGCCAGTCATTCGCGACAACGACACTTTCTGGGCCATAGGGGTAGCCTCCCAGTGGGAGCTCACGGATGGCTGCCACAGCTGCGCGGCAGAAGTAGGCAAAGCGGAACTGGTTGTCATCAAAATCTGGGGGGGGGGTTGCCGAAATTCGGGGGTACCTTATTGGGGTCCTGAAAAATCAGGGGGCCCTACTGGAAGCATCTGGGGATCTACCTTAGGGTTCCCCCATTTTTTTCGAAAACTCCCAGCTGCGCCTTGGTTTGCATGGGGGCCGTAGAGGCGGCCCTCCGTCTTCGTGGGGATCTTCCCAAGAAACATGTGGTTGTCCACAAAGACGTAGTCCACACCCTCCACAAAGGCATGGAAGAAGTGCAGCGTCTCCTTGTGTGCTCCCATCTCGATTCGCTTCCAATAGCCTGGCAGAGGCATCACAAGGACAAGCCGGCGGTTCCTACCGACTGCGGGTTTAGGGTTTAGGGTTTAGGGTTTAGGGTTTAGGGTTTAGGGATTCCATACAACAGCGGAGTGCGCTGAAGCACGGTGGAAGACTGCCCTAATCAGCACATGACATGCAACGCCAAGCGGGCCTGTGTCCCAACCCTCGAAGTACTGGTCGTATCGGGGAGCAATCACCATGACGCGGTTCCCACGTTGAGCAAGGGCCTTTGGCAAACCATGCATGGCTTCGCCCAAGCCACCGGTGCTCGAGAATGGTGCCGCCTCCGAGGTCACGAAAACAGCCTGCAGCCTCTTCTTCAGCGATGGCTGTGAACAAACGGGTTGCGGGCGGCGCACCAAGGTGTAGTTGGCACCGACGGTGTATGCGTCACCTCTCAACACGGCCAGCTGCGAGTTGTTCTTGACAGGCAGGAATCGAGACGGCGGCACAAGAATTGCTTCTGACCCTGGGAGAAGCGAGATCGCGGCACCCATGGCTGTCTCCACCTGAACCACCTCGAAGCCGGGGTCGTCCTTGCTAGACGGATCCACACGCTTTCCGTTGGCGATCAGAGGTAGCTTCAGATGGCCCTTCTTCAAGATCTCTTGAAGCTTTTCAAGGTTCAGCCAGATGTTGTTGGTGTTGAAGTACTGGTGCTTGGCCACATCCTGGAAATCCTTCTCATCAGCTCCAGCCACTTGAGCACTCTCTCGGAGTGTCAGCTGGCCCTTGCCTTACATGCATGCACTGTGCCGGCACTGTCCCTTGACTGTCCCTTAAACTTGCCTTGACTTTACGTTACGACTAGCAGCACCTTCTCGGACAAGTGGCTCTCTTTGCCGTCTTTGCCTTTGTCGCCCTGATCGTCTTTCTTGTCCTTCTTGTCCTTCTCACTCTGCACCATCCGTGCCAAGTGACCACCCTTCCGGTCCGCCTCGCCGCGCACACAGACCTCCATGAGCATGGGCGCCTTCGACCGCTCCAGATGACCCAACATGCGCAAGTCAACCGAAGCACCCAAGTTGTCGCTGTTGGCCACGAACATGTACCTAAGCAGCAGAAGCTTCCGACAGAATCTCAACTTGAGCCCCACGGGAGGGACTCGCAGATGGCAGACAGAAGCTTCAGAAACATGCAAAAGACGGCCGGGGGACTTGTAGCCGTCCTTAAGTAGACGCTCGAGGGTTCCAGTGGTGGCCAAAGTAAGGAAGATGTCGCCATGTCCGGGTGGACACCACTCGGCGCTTGGCTTCTCTGGCCATTCCTTAGCTGTCCCAGTAAACTTGGGGGAACTACAGGTTAAGTTTTTGGGATTATTTACAGGGATTCGAAAACCCCCAAAAAGGTTAAAGGTTACCTACTCTACTACTAAGATTCTGCTGGCTTGTAGGTCTCTGCGTCCACTTTAGGGGCCATGCCTTGGAGCAGGGACACCTTATCCCAGCTTGCGAAGACGGAGGGGTACTTCTTCATGAACTCCTTGGTGTCCGCCTCAGTGGAGAAGGAGTTGTAGAGCATGAAGCGCAGCGGCTGCTTCTCCTGAATCTGCATCACCTGCTTCACGATGAGATCCATGAAGGTGTGCTCGTCCTTGACCTTGAGCAAGCTCTTGGCTTTGTCAAGGCCCATGCTGGTACCCAAGCCACCGTTCAGGCGCATCACCACCGTCTTCCCCAAGGTGGAGGCACTTGCAGGCAGAATCTGTGTAAGGGGCTTGGGGTCGGTGGCCGGCAGTATCTTGTTCTCCCTCACGATCCCCTTGCTCCCGCCGCATAGTCGTTGGTAGAGATCCTGAGCTGGCAGAGGGCAGGACATGCGGGAAATGTCTACATGAGTCTACACGACTCCAGAACACGTGGTGCAAGTCATGTCGGTGACTGTCCAGCCATGCATCCATCCACCATTTGATGAAGGCTGGGCTCATCCCCTTCTTCACCATCTTCGCGCGGAACTCATCGGCATGGAAGAAGAAGCCCAGCTCGCGAGCAGCTGCGGAAATGGAATCACTGCCATGGAAGCCATTCCGGGTTGGATCCATGCCGAAGAGCGATCGCAGGCACTGCGGCGCCTCCTCTGCATTCATTCTTCGACTCGACTTAGACTACTTAGGACGTGTGCCAGTGCATGCAGAACTTGAGAAGCCTATTCCATCTTGCTATGTCAGACTTCACAAGGCTCTGGTCCTTGTTCACCTTCTTTAGGTCACTTGGTCCCTTCAGCTTGTCCCACACCTTTACTGCATTGACGCCCTCCAGCTCCATGATCACGACTGGGCCGCTTGTCATGTACTCGACGAGTTTGGCATAGAAGAACTTGTCCTCACCACAAACAAGCCTGGTGACACGTATCCTGGCGCCACCCCTATCTACCCGGTCTTCCCCGCGAAAAAAGCTAAAAGATCTCGCATCTTATGCAGCGTTTGATACCGTAGTTCGCTGAATTGTAAGTACTGCGCCTAATCGAAACCCGTTTCTTCTGGGGGCGCTGCCCCAAAATCCGCAAAGAAGCGGCTCCGCGCATCAACTCCGCAGCGGGGAGAGTTGGGTGAGTTGGGCATGTGGGGCTCATTGTGTCGTGGCTCAGGATGTTTCTCAAAGAGTTGAGATGAGTTGAGGGTTGTGAGTCGTGGTTTCCTTCTCTCGTCAAGGAAAAGGAACGCCTACGGCCAAAAAAGTTCCTTGTCGAAGCAGCTTGTCGCGCAGCATTTCATAACAAGTACTCACGACGGCCTGGTTGCAGGGGGGGGGGGGGGGGTTGTCGCAGAACATCCCCTCTGATACAAGCCGCTTTGTGCTGATGGCTTGGGATCCAACCCAGGTATACTGCAGGACAGGCGTTAGAGAAAGATAGTCGAGCAGTTCCCACATCCTCACGTCATCAAGACAAGGTCTCAACTTCAACTTCGCATATCAAGAAGCTTCGGGCCCAAGGTAAGCCGTACTCATCCTCTGTCACGGGATGGCAGCTTTAAATACAATACCGGCGCTGCTGCAACACTGGAGAGCAAAACATGAAGATGACTCAAGGGTTGGCCTACAAGCACACGGGAAAATCTTGATAGGAGCCACGAACTTCACGAACCCGAACGCAAATAACTAATACGGATAACTGCTGCGGAGATCGGCGACACAACCGTGGGCTTCTGCAAGTCCAGGTGCATGGGAAGGAGGGATAAGTAGGGCCCAACAGGAATGTTTTGGCACATTTGCCGATGAAACATGGCTTTCAGCTATGCAGGCACGCCTGCGCACGCTTCCAGACTCAGACGACGATTCCCGGTCAGGCATTATACTCCCCAGGACCCCAAACCCTTAGCCGACAAGCCTTGGGGGGAACAGCGGCACTCTTTTGCTGAAAGTTGGGGCCTCAGTGGACTCATGCTTTGACATATCCTGACATGCTTTCCATGGTTCGCGTAAGTCTCCTGCATGGTCTCTTAACATGCAGCTCTATCTTCTGTTCCATGCTGTGGTTCCGAGAGCTTTCAAGGTCACACAAAACTACCAATTGCTTAAGAACCCCGAAAAAATATAAAAGTATATTCTTCCTTACTAAGGGTAGTATAGGGAGTATTGTTGTTTATTCTTTTGGGGTTCTTAAGCAAATAGTAGAAAACCGATGAGTCCTGCTGCTCCACGTAGAAGTTCTTCGCCTCGTCGGATGTCAGCTGCCGCTCTTCCTTGCGGAGAACTTTCAGGCCCGCCTGGGTGATTCTGCGCACCACCTGCAGGGGCTGTTTAGGGTTTAGGGTTTAGGGTTTAGGGAAGGGGGGGGAACCCTATAGGGACTCAAGTTTGGCGGCAGCAGTGTTGCCGGCAACATGCATCTACGTGGCCTCGTCCACGTAGCCTTTCCTCACCGCATCGGGCTTGATCATGGCGAAGGTCTTCTCCCTCAGAGATAAGTTCCCGGGCACCCACTTGCGACCAGGCTTCGATCCACCATCGAGCAGCTTCTTCCATGTCGTGTGGCACTTGTTGATCACCTGCCGATGCTGCCCGGGCCGAATGCATGGCTGACTGCAGAAGTGAGGAGATATGCACGTCTGCATCCTGGACCGCTAACGTGCCTAGCCGAAATAAGTAGTAATAACTGTAATTTTACGTTGGCAGTTAGCAGATGCTGTGTTCTGTGAATAGTGGGGGTTGGACTGTGTAAGTTTTGGCAGACAGGAGCCTTGATCGCCTCTTCTCTTCCGAAGGCCTTGTCTTTGTATGCAAACTTGTTCGGAGCTTTGTCGTCGGGTGTCTTGTACCACCTGAACCATTCCCGAATGCCGCTGACAACTCCCGGCAGCTTCTTCTCCACATCAGAGATGTCGTTCAACTCGGCAGCCAGGGGGTCCTGCCACGATCATACTGTTTCGTAGCCTTCAATTTCTTTCAGCATGGACCTACGAGTGGGTGCCTAACTGTTCAATGTCCCTCTGCTAGCGACTGCTAGTGCCGCACGTGCCCAGCATGTGCCCAGCATGTGCCCAGCATGTGCCCCGCATGTGCCCCGCATGTGCCCCGCATGTGCCCAGCATGTGCCCAGCATGTGCCCATCCGACTCCCCGTGTGCCCATTTGAACAGATGAAACAAGACTGCATGCATCGAGCTGGCCTCAAGGCTGATGGCAATGATCTTCCAGTCCAGGTCGTGCTCGTCAATTTGGGCCAGGGCACCAAGCGGCTTGACTTTGGTGACGCTGCCGAGGCCCAGCTGACGCGAACCAATCTCCACGACATCCAGCGGGTCACCGTCGCCGGTGTAGCCCTCCTCGTCATCCATCTCCTCAGTATCATCCTCCCAAGTGCGGGGCAGCATGCCATAGTTCCAGAACATCGGGCCAGCATAATGTCGCGGCTTGCCCTTCTTGGTGTCCTGCATGATGGGGTTTCCCTCTATCTCCAGCTGCACCTCAAACTTGGCGGTGGTCATCTTGGGAATCTCGGTGACGAAGTAGAACTGGCCGGGCCCGGCGTTGAGCGGGAAATCGTGCCAAGGGGAGACCGACTTGATCTTCTCCACTTCTGCCTTCTGGGCCGGCGTCTGCGTCGTGTTGGCTGCACTTTGGGCCTTCAGGGATTCAGGGGTCTGACGCTTGAAGCTGAGCTGGAAGTCCTTGGTGCCGGGGTCTCCTTTCGTGAAGGTGACGTAGCTCTCTTCGGCCTTGCAGGTCTTGACAGGGGCTTTGACCTCTGCAGGCTGCTGCAGGGCCGGCGCGGGTGAATGCGGCACCTCCATGTTCACGAAACCCTGTGTTTTGAGCGCTTTCCCTGAAGTCTTGGCCTCCGTGTGGCTGCGCCACTGCTCATGTTGCCGTTTGATGACCTCCATGGCTTTCTCCTTTGTCATGACCTCCTCCATCTTGCAGAGCGGCTGGCCTTTTGCCACAAGGTGCCAGCGGAACCACTCACGAATTCCGCTGACCACACCCTTGCACTGAGCGTCGATGTCTTTGACGCTTTGGAGCTTCTTGGCAAGGGGGTCGTCGAGGCAGACGCCGATGACTTTCCAGTGCACCATTCCCTGAAAGACCACCGGCAGCAAGCCCAGAGGCTTCACTTCTTTGACCATTCCTTGGACAACGGCGGCGCTGCCGATTTCGATGACTTCCATGGGCCTGTCGTTGCCACAAACCTTCAGTGTGGGATCACTGATGGCTGGGTTTCCCCAGGTTTGCGGCAGGATGCCAATGTTCCAGTAGATGGGCCCGTCGAAGAACGCAAGTTTTCCGCTTTGCACGACATGCTTGATTGGATTTCCTTTGCCTGTCGAGACTCTGACAATGGCACTCGAGTTCTTCGGCATCTCAAAGACCACGTTGAGAGCATTGGAGTACAGCGGAATGTCATGCCACGGGGAGATGGGCTTACCATCGCAGGTGTAGGCAACCTCCACTACCCCGGCGACTTTGCGCGGCTTCGCCTCCACGTGAAGCTGCTGCGCGTGCGCCATGGCGGCAAAGCTGCGCAGCATCGGCGGCAGCTGCTTCATGAGCGGATCCACTGGAGCCCGGGGCCGTGGAGCTTTCATCAATGTGAAGTCCTCGCCCACGGTGAATGCCTCGCTGCGCAGCACTGCCAACTGCGCGTTGGTTTTGACCGGAAGAAAGCGATCAGAGGGAACCACAATCGCCTGTGCATCGGGGAACAAGGAGATGGCGGCACCCATAGCAGTCTCGACTTGCACAACCGTGGAGCCTGCACCTGGCTTTGGTTCAGTGAACTGCGGGATGGGTGACACGTTTTCATCCTTTCCGGTCGGGTCCAGCTTCTTTTCGTTGGCAATGAGGGGCAGCTTGAAGAGCCCGTCCTTCAGTGCGCTGCGCAGCTTCTCCAAGTTCAACCAGATGTTGTTGGTGTTGAAGTAACGATGCCTGGAGATGTTTTCAAAGGCTTTCTCATCCTGCTTGTGGACTTGGGCGCTCTCCCGCAGAGTGAACTTTCCATCGGCGGTGCGGGCCAAGTGTCCACCCTTTTTGTCTTCTTCGCCACGGATGCAAACCTCGCGGCTGCTTCAAAAACGCACAGTATGTTTGCACGACTCGAGACGCCTTGCCCCGTTGCAAGCATATGGGAGTTTACGATAATACGGGACCCTAAATCTTGACCCCAAATAGTAGATTCCCCTTATAATAAGGACCCCGACATGTACCCGTAGTCTCGTAAACCCCCATATGAGTAGCACGTTCAGTGCGCACCTCCATGAGCATGGAGGCACCCGAGCTCGCCAAGTGTCCCAGGAGGCGCATGTTGACGGAAGCTCCCAAGTTGTCACAATTCGCGACAAACATGTACCTTAATGGCATGGCTATGCATTGCTCCCTCATGAACGCTTCGACAGCAAGCGAGGAGCACAAGCAGATTTCTTATCTATAGGCTGCTGCTGAGTAGCTTGTAGCCTTCCTTCAAGAGTTTGTCCAGGGTTCCCGAAAGGAGCAAGGCAGCATAGATGTCACCATGTCCCGGTGGGCACCACTCACAATTGGGCTTCTTCGGATATTTCGCAGGCGCGAAGGAGTCAGTGACTTTTGGGGCCATGTACTGCTTCAAGGAGACGGCCTCCCACTTAGAGTGGAACGCAGGATATTTCTTCATGAACTCCTTGGTGTCCGCCTCCGTGGAGAAGGAGTTGAAGAGCATGAAGCGCAGCGGCTGCTTCTCCTGAATCTGCATGACCTGCTTCACGATGAGATCCATGAAGGTGTGGTTCTCCTTGACCTTCAGCAAGCTCTTTGCCTTGTCCAAGCCCATGGTTGTGCCCAGGCCACCGTTCAAACGCATCACCACTGTCTTAGACAGAAGTGAGTCGTCACCAACAGGCAGGCCCTGCAAGTCCGGCAGCGCATTCACAGGCAAGATGTTCTTCTCCAAAACGACGCCCTTCTTGCCTTGGCAGAGTTCCTCAAAGAGTCCCAGCCACCAAGAAATGAACTGAGTTGGCAACTTTTTGGTTTCCATCTTCTCCTTGAAAGAGCTGCCAAGAAGTTTGGGCAAGGGAGTCAGCGTCATGGTCGCATCAAGCAGGGGCTTTGTGATTTCCAAAGCGCTTACATCCAACTGTCCCTGTGGGGATTCATACTTCTCCAGGTAGAGGCGCATGGAGGCCTTTCCACTGGACCCTGTTCCACTCAGGCGCACCACGACACGTGCCTCCCCTGAGAACTTCAAGACGACTCCCTCCCCTTTGGTCACCGACCCATCCACAGGATCTGTGTACACAAAGTCCTCCACACTTTGCACTTTCATCTCCTTGACTTCTTTCCCAACCTCAGGCTCTTGAACAATGTTTCTTGGGTGGCAGATCACGTGGGTTATGTGAGATCCACGCCATTTTTTGAGCTTGAAATGACCAGGACAAACGAACAGCAACGAACGCTACTGGGCAGAATGCTTGTGCGATACTGTGCGATTTCTTGCGACAAGGCCGCCATCTTCGGCCCTTCTTGAACAATCTTCTTCATGGTCGCTTCAGCTTCGTCCTTGTCAAGCCCGTCAAAGTCGTAGCGCCAGTAGTAGTGGCGCCCAAACTCTTTGAAGTGCTCTCGACACCTGAGCATCAAGGCACAGAGATCCGAAACCAAGGAAAAAACCAGAACCTCCGAGAACTCAAGAACAGAGGCAAGAACAGGCAAGGGGCAAGTCTCGTACTCCGACCAGAGGGCTCTTCGGGTCGGTGTTCTTGCTTGCGAGGATCTGCAACCAAGCCATTGCTGCCCACATCCCATCCTTCTCGCGGACGTGGTTGCTGCTGGTGCCAAAGGACTCTTCACCTGGGAAGCATGTCACAGAGAGAAGAACAGAGAAGGAACTTTCGAAAACAGTCTTCGAGAACGACTCGAATCAACGCACCCGAGTGGCCACAAATGAAGGGCGTGTACGTCTTCCCAGGAAGCTTTGTACCTGACTCCATGAGATTGCCGAAATTCTTCCAGCCTGTTGGCGTCACGAAGCAGGGGATGTTCTTCTTCTTCGCGACGCGGTCCAGCGCACCTGTAGTCGGCAATGAACGTGCACAGCCTTTCACGCCATCACGGAAGAACGGGATGCACTGCGCATGCTGCAAGATGATGGCCAGACTATCGCCAGGGCTGACAAAGCAGTTCTTGCCCAAGATGATATTCCGATCAGCATCGCCGTCAGCTCCCGCACCGAAGCCTGAGTGAAGCACCATTAACTGCAAGGTGATAACATTGGGGGGGGTTTACGAAAATCGGGGGGCCCGGAAATGGACCCCAAATAGGATCCCTGAGACTGAGGACCCCAATAAGGTACCCCGAATTTCGGGAAACCCCCACATGGTTCTCTGGTTCCCTATCTTCCTATGCACCAGGGCGGCTAGTCAAGTCAGTCAAGTGGCTTGCAGCGGGAAACTGGTCATAAGCCAAGCGCATCCCCTCCTTGTTGACCGCCAACTTAGCCATGAGCTCCAATGAATGGCTGAGATTCCTTGGTAGACTTATTATAATAAGGGTACCCTTTTTTGGGGGTTGGTTACTTTATAAGGGAACCTTGAACCCCAAAAAGGGAAAAGGGTACCACTGGGCTACCAAGATTCGGATCTGCGTGGCCTTTCTGTGGGGAGTTCTTTCCTCCAAAGTCCTCCTTGGGAGTGTCATTCATGAGGCACGATGCCTTTGCGCCAAGCTCGTCGCAAAACACACGCTTGGCATAAGGGCCCTGTACTCCATGCATGCAATCGTAGAAGAAGGAGAAGTCAGGCCGGTGAATGAGCTTCTTGATTGCCTTGTGAAAGCATTCAGCTAGCACTCTTCCTATCTTGTGTGCACAAGCATGCTGCCCACGTGACTAACATAATGTCGCACACCATGTTGAAATGCCTCGAAGTCAAAGACCGTCTTCAGCAACGCCACATGGTCGTCGACAGGATTGAACACCTCAACGCGCGCGCCTCCAAGCATCGTGGTCCCACATTTCGAGATGTCCAACCTGGGGAGATTGCAAGTCTTGTACTCAGAAATGCTTTGAGAGATTTTGTAGATCTTCTCGGTGATCTTGGGTGGGGCTGGCTCGCCGTTCTCACAGTTGAACTTGATGCCAAAGTCTCCATCGACACCAGCAGGGTTGTGCGAGGCCGTCAAGAGGAAGCCACCGAAGGGGATAAAGCCCCCCTTCCGGGTTCTGATGACTGCACTCATGGCTGGGGTGCTTAGCAGCCCGTCCTGACCCACCCAAATCTCAGAGACACCGTTCGCGACAGCCATTGCCAAGACTACCTGCAGGGAGTACTTGTTGAAGTAGCGGCCGTCACCACCCAGCACCATGACGCCACCCTGCACCTTGCAGCCGCTGCTCACCAGCGCATCGAAGGTGCTCTGCACGTAGTTCTCCAAGTAGTTCTTGCCCTGGAAGACCTTTTTAGGGTGTAGAGAGTTTAGGGTTTAGGGTTTAGGGTTTAGGGTTTAGGGCTCCAGGTAGGTTTTGCCCCAAAAAGACCTTCACCGTCTTGCGCAAGCCCGAGGTTCCAGGCTTCTGGCCCTTGATGGGCGTAGTTGGCACTCGTTTCACTGAAGGACGCTCCATGCTGCTTCGTGCGAAGGGGCCGATGCTAGAGCCAAAAACTTGCCCGCAACATGCCGATGTTGATTCACAAAGCACTCACAGAGAGAGAGAGAGAGACAGAGAGAGAGAGAGAGAGAGAAAAAAAAAAGAGTGAGAGAGAGAGAGAGAGTGAGAGAGAGAGAGTCAGAGAGAGAGAGAGAGAGCGAGCCAGCATTTGTTCTGAGCGGCCTTAGAAGCCAGCCTCCACTTACTCACTTGGTTTCCAACTCTCGAGAGCTTCTTTTTGCAACTTGAGGAATCTTGTGAGGCACTTTAGCCGTCGGCCGCAGACTTGTAGCCATTGGCCGAAGACTTCTCGGCGGACTTATTGCCGCCAGCAGCACCGGTTTGAACATCGCAGAAGTCCTGAAGGATTCTGCAAAACCGAGTCTGCCATACGAACTGCACAAAAAAACGTATACAGCCCCACCTTCAGCTCCTCACAATGCTGGATGAGACCCTTCACCTTGTCCATGCCAATTCTTTGCATGTCCAAGGAAGTTTTGTCTTGGGGCAGGCACTTTGGAGTCGTCCTCTGTCTTGAACAAGTCAACAGCCTCCCACAAGCAATTCACACGCTCTCTCACATGCCCACTCTGACTGGTGAAGCATTCCCCCCGACACCTTACATGCCTTACTTCACATGAAGGATGCGCTCATTGGCACAGCTTCCTTTGCCACCCCAGTGGGGGTCTCAACTTGCCGGGCGAATCAGGCCAATCCATGCCTGGCCTGGTCCAAAAGCTGAGAGGCTTGCTTGTAATCCTTGGCGCGGTGACCCCTAAACCCTAAACACTGAACCCTGAACCCTAAACCCTAAACCCTAAACCCTAAACATCTGGACGCACAACCTGAAGACAGCTACGTTGGACGGCATTGAGAGCCTGGCCTCGGCGAAGGCAGCGAACTCGCCGGCCACCTGGTCCACAGCTCACTCCATAGGGGGTTGAGGGTTTTGGGTTTAGGGTTTAGGGTAACTGGACACTAGCAGCCCCAATACAGCAATGGTCATGCGAGCAGCGGCAACACCACAAGCAGCGCCCATGCGCACTTCTCTTTTTATGAGTAGCAGCTCGAAAATTTCCACGAAAGCCGGACGCGCACAATCTGGCATGTGAACTGCCCCCAGGACTCACCTTACTGAGCCGGCTTGCAAAAGTCGCAGTCATCGGCGATTTCAACCAGGACCCAAACTTCCTAGCAACTACAGAGCATTCTGTGCCAGATCGTGCAACTTGGTGAAACTTGCTGCTTGCAACTCGAAAAGAATCACCAGCTTAAAAGCTGGCAGCTTTGTAGCGCTGTGCCAATGGATGCGCCGCTTCTCCAAGTCATCACTCCCATGAGTAGGCGCTCAGCAAGAGAAAGGCCCCGGCGCCGAGCAAGCCCCAGATGATGACGCCCTTCCACAAGCGCATGGTGTTCATCATTGAATGATGCCGCCCAAGTCTGCTGCAAGAAAATGTAGCAATGTTTGCCCAACACAGAAAGAACATGCTTGCAAACAATGGGGAGACTAGAGCAGCTATTCTCCTTGCCTTCTGGCCAGACGTCCAAGTATTGAAGCCAACACCATAATCCTGGTTCTCTGCGAACCCGGCCACCTGAAGGAAACTCCACATGCGTGAACATGCCCGGCATGTGAACTCATCATTAACACCTATTTGCACGGCCCTTTACTTGCTGGATTTTTAGCGTCTTTTCCTGGCCGGAGTCTTCCAGCCCATTTTTGAAGCATGCTCGGAGAGGTCCGAAAGCTGGAGGAGCAAACTCCGGCAAGATCTTTTGGCATCTTTCGCATCCTCAGTAATGTTGTACCTGTCTTGGTGGGGGCCGCCCGTTTAAAGTCAAGTTGGGTCCTCCTTAAAGTCAAGTCGTTCCCGATATCCGGCGTGTTGTTTCAGAGCTTCGGGTTCGTGTTGAAGCCAGCCTTGAAACCGATGCCCTGACCTCTTGGCTTAAAGGCAGGGCTTCTGAATCTGCAAGGCAAGCCTTTTTCCAGGAGCCCAAAAACACCGAATCTTCCCTCTGAAAAACCATGAAAACAAGTTGTCTTGATCAATAGATTTCGATGGCCGCGCCCACAACAGTCTTAGGCTAGCCTTGCTTCATCTGTGGGAAGAATCACAAGAATAGGCACAATAACGATTGACATATTCAGCAATGTCAGCTCGTATTCATGCTTGCTTTGCGGGAGTGATGTTCATTCTCGACTACGGATCATGCTCTTAGCTTGTTTACCTTGCCTTGACGATCAGACACTTCTGTGAGGCTTCAATCATGTCACTGTCTGTCTCAGGTTTCTTTCTGCGCAGATAACTTTAAATAGCGTAAGCAACTACAGCTCAGGTTTGTTAGGACCTGTCTCGAGGGTTCTATAAGAGAAACCATGCATAAAGCAATCTACTTTGCACATGCTGCCATGTTATACTGGGTAACAACATGCACCATGACACCCCGAACACTTCGCCGAAGGAAAACAAAATGGATTGATGCATCTAATGGGCTTAACAACACGTCTCCAAACTATAATTCGTATACACCAACTGGTGACGCCACATCAAAAGCATCTCAGAACATTGGAACACCATATGCAACACATACACTATCAAGGACAAACAAGGAGGGGAGGAGGGAGGGGAGAATCTGCAACTTCAACTCAAGTTGGTGCACAACGAATCCTGAGCCCTCAACCGAGGCCGCGATTCAGGGGCATGCGAATTGACGCATTTTACAACTCAAGTGAACACGGTTTAGGGTTTAGGGCTGAGGGCTTGGGGTTTGCGTCGCGGCAAGCCCCCCTGGAACCCTTAGATGGAAGTTTCCACCAGCTAGGCCAGCTTGCGTGATTTGAAGGCGAGCCGACTAAACTCAACGAATCCTCCTAAGCCCAGGGCCAGCGATTCAGGGCATCCACAGAAACCAGAGGCGTTCACCCTAAACCCTAAACCCTAAACTCTAAGCCCTAAACCCTAAACCCTAAACCCTAAACCCTAAACAAATGACAACCCAAAATGAACACGAGGGCGGGTGCCGGTAGGTGCCCGTGGTCCACAGAATTCATTCCCCCGGAAGAAGGATTTTTGTAAGACACCCCCGCCGCTTTGGGTAGGTAACCCTGAGCGCCCTCGGAGGTTAGCTTTAGGATTGAGAAAACCGACACTGGATTCCTTAATTTGAAGATCCTTCCATAGGCATGGTGCAGATTTGGCTGGAAGGAAAGCTGGTAAAATCTCAAACCTTAAGTTCGTGAGATTAACCAAACTCAGACAGTTCATTCGGAAAGTCCATCAGGAGAGCGTGAGGGGTTTGTCCAAGCCATGTGAGAGCCAACATGAAGAAATCTACAGTTCCAGGATGTTCCAGGTCCGCCAGGCGGCGACCAACGACCAAGCAAAATGATTGCTGGAACGAGCCTATACTCCCCTTAGAACCTTAATAAAAACATGTGTTTAAATATCCTCTTGGGTTTTGTATAAACAAAGAATAAATCCCAAGGGGGATATAGGAGTATTTTCTTGAAGTGCTTGCGGAAGGAATAGGGGCGCCTCTCATATTTCACGGTGACCCTTGCGAAGGCCTCCTCTATCACGGCTTGAAACTCATCTTTGGACCTTGCCAAGAAACAAGGGTCCTTTTGCATGCTGCGGTCGCGATTCGCAACATGCTCACGATCCTTTGCGTAAGCTAGTGGCACTTGGCACTGTGGACATCGCCAGCTGTCGGGCAAGTCCTTCAGTGTGGACTAGTGTCATGGTGTGAACAGCTGGTCCCAACACGAAGCAGCATTTCGCATCTAGGCGTGTGCGGTCTGTCGGAAAGAGCAGCAGGAAACCGTCTCCCTTAACTTACGCTCTCGAAGCCAATTTGTCCTCGAACTTTGTTCCTGGAGCGAAGTTTCCTTCGCCGAACAGCGGGTTGTACTCATAGCCACCTCAGAACTCGCAGCCGATGGACCATCATACGATGTCGGCATTCGTTCGGCTTCTTTCTGTGGCGACTTTGCATATCATTAGGTGTCACGAGACAAGGAAGTTGAGGAGAGACTCCTGTGCGCATGCGCAACATTTTTCTCTGCATCAACAGGCCCCGTGCAGTTCTGGCAGTCGTATCGTCCAGTTTCTCGGGTCATGAAGACTTCAGCCTGCTCACAGCGAACATCAAGTTCAAGACAGACAGCGACAGCGCCTCCCTTATTTTTGAATTTAGAACTTAAGAGCAACAAGGCAACAAGCGTTTCTAGTCAGAGCGCTCACCCGCTAAAGCTTGGCTCGGCACCTGTTTATACGTGCACATGTACCCGAAACCCTCGAAGCCCTGCGCCCTAAAGCCTAAAGCCTAAAGCCCAAAACCCAACCCTAAACCCTAAACCCTAAACCCTAAACCCTACATCCTAAACCCTAAACCCTAAACCCTAATCATGCCCAGGAGCCCAGCAGATCCCAGCACGTCTAGGGGTTCTACCCTGGACCCTTTTCAGGCTGCTTAGGTTTTGGGGCCCCCCCCCCCCCTCCCCCTTTTAAGGATCCCTATGGATGCCTATGGGAATCTCAGGGGTCATATGAGGAGTCTACAAAGGGGAGCCATGGGGAACCTTTAGGTCCCTATCAAAGAGCATTTTAACAGGTATTCCTGTCAAACACTCGGCCCTAAACCTAAGCAAGTTGATGGCCCTGTAGGCAGTCCTGGGATATGCGGGATCTCCAGGGGTCGGAGCACAGAAGCGACAGAAGACACCCGAAGACCCAACTCTGACCAAACATGTCAATGTAGCAACACAATCAAAACAGAAAGCGGCGCCTCTGGTGGTGCCAGTTCTGCTTTCTCCTCTTCTTGCGCCTGGACGCACTCATGGGTCTGTGTCCCACCTGCAACCACCCAGACCCATGCGCAACGCGCCTCCATTACGGAAACTCCCATGGGAGCATCATACCTGGCAGCAGCATTCTGAGATTTCCATGTCCGCGCTAGCATGGCCAGATCCAACGGCATTTTGTCAGGCCACTCGCCGAAATCAAATTCGCCGGAGTCATCCTGATAAAGAGTTTCATAGACAGTGCAAGATTCGGACTGAGACTGAAACATTAAGCGCGCACCACAGGACGTTTTCCTCTGCCGCCCGTCCAACGCTAACATGCCTGGAGGTGGGCACCACGCCCTGCGCCAATCAAAGCCATGCGCAATTCTGGAGGTCTGCAATAGGCAATGGACCCTACATGCACATCATGAAGCAGTTTATCTGCCAGGACCCTAAACCCTAAACCCTAAACCCTAGACCCGACATCCAAGCAAGTTCATGAGTCTAACCAGCCTGGACCCATGCACGCGAGTGCCATGCAAGCTGCCTGGGATGACTGCAGTTTCCAAGTGCAGGCCGGCGGCTACCCCGCGCACACGTTCCCTTTTAGGGTTTGCTTGCTACCAGCTGATGCCTCACATTTAGAGTTTAGGGTTTAGGGGTTTAGGGTTTAGGGGTTTCGGGTTTAGGGTTTGGGGTTCAGGGTTTAGGGTTTGGGGTTTCAGGTTTAGGGTTCCCTATTCCTGTCACGTGACGTCCGAACTGTTCAAACGTTAGGGCCCGGGCCAGGCACCCACCAATAGCAATGCCTCAGCCAAGCCAACGCCCCTGCAAGTGTTCCAGCCATGTCGCAAGTTCGCAACAAAACCAAAGACTTGGGTTGTTCCCCCTTAAGCTACCAGTGCTTAGTAGGGATTATGGTAGGGGATACTATGAGCCAAACTAAGGACCCTTAGTTGGGATGATAGTACCCCCTATTTTGAATCCCTATGAGGGACTGTTAGTATAAGGGAGAACATCCCAACCAAAAGCAGTGTTGAAAGCTCGGCACTCGAGGAAACACAAACGAAGTCTTCCAAGCGCTGCTGCTCCTTCCGACGAGGCAATGGAAATAGGATTTAGGGTTTAGGGTTTTTTTGGGGTTTGGGGTTTAGGGTTTAGGGTTTAGGGTTTTTTTTTGCCACCCGCTTAGCTGACCTCTCGGACACTCTGCGGGGAATTGGCGGTTAAATACTGGGTGTCAAAAAACGGGCTTTCGTCTAGGCTGAGTTCAAGCTACACCACCGTAAAAGGTTTAGGGTTTAGGGTTTAGGGTTTGGCACGCGCTCTCTGCCAGCAGTGCTCAGCGCTCCCTTTGCTTTCCGAGGCCGCGGCACATGTGGCCGAACCCCCAGAGCATGCACACACTCAGGACTTTTCAATGAGGCCCGCTCCCGCAGGAAGCAGTCAGCCCCACTTCAACAAGCCCCGGGCCACAGCCGGAATCCCACTATACTCGTTTAGGGTTTAGGGTTTAGGGTTTAGGGTTTAGGGTTTAGGGTTTAGGGTTTAGGGTTTAGGGTTTAGGGTTTAGGGAACTGGCGCTTGACTGTGGCGGAGCACGCCATCAACTGCAACCGGACAAGTCCTGGAAGTCCGAGCCATGGGCACAGATCTGCCTACTGAGCCTACTGCACGGCTTTTCCTTGAAACGTAAGCTGGTGAGAGAGTGAAGGAGACAAACAAACAAAATCAGATTTTCTTAAAACACAAACAGCCACCTGCTGAATGAACTCTTCCCTCGCAGGCGTGCACCCAGGCATGTCAGCACATGAGCCGCTGTTGAAAAGAAGACGCGGATCCAGCCGGGCCTTGTAGTAAGCACCAGCATTTGCATCTTGCTTCATGTTGCGAACCCTGGCAAGAGCCAGGTCAACCTGTCAGGTCATACTTAGCTCCGCTTCAGCGGGTAGGGGATCAAAAAAAATGTATTTGGGATCAAAAAATAATTTTTCTAGGCGGATCAAAAAAGAACTTATTTGGGATCAAAAAAAAACTGAAGGCTTCGAAGGCTTCTTGCAAGCGGAGCGGAGGCTGTAAACGCTCAGAAATGCAGCAGTTCTGGCCGTTCGCAAGCTCTAAGTACCGAAAAAATACAGCATTTATGCGGGAACTACCGAAAATAGCAGCATTTCTGAGTTTCCAGAGAGGCTGCAGATATTGTATATAGCAGCAGTTCTGCGCTTTCAGAGGCTGGAAATACTGTGCAGTGCAGATTTCTGAGTGTCCAGAGGCTGCAAACACAGAAAATAGCAGCATTTCTGCGATTTCAGAGGCTGGAAAGACAGTAAATAGCAGCATTTCTGAATTTGCAGAGGCTGCAAATCAACGCTGGCATCTTGGCGTTAGAAGCTTCAAAACATGCGTATACTCTGAAGCATGTATATTATGGCATAGTATTGTGGAAATTCTTGTATAATATTGTTGAGTATTATTGTATTGTCTTGTGTTTTCTTATGTTGTTGTAAAATATTGCATATTCTTGCATATTATCGAATGTTCTTGTATAAAATTCTTGTATGTTGTTCTCTTTTTTTGTAGGTTACTGTATATTATTGTATATTATTGAGTTTTTTGTATATTATTGCAGATTTTTCTATATTATAGTATATTATTGTAAATCTTGTATATTCTTGTATATGATTGTCTATGATTGTATATTATTGTAATTTTTGTACACGAGTTTTGATTGTTGTATGTCATTGTGTTGTTGTGTTTTTTTTATATTGCTGTACATTTTTGTATATGTTTGAAAAATATTGTATATATGGTTGTATATTATTGTATATTCATGTATGTTGTTGTATATTGTCGTCTTTTTTTGAAAATTTTTTGTCAATTACTGAAAATCATTGTAAGTTATTCTTTCTTTACGTGAATATTGCTGCATACTCTTGTACATACTTGTATGTTGTTGTCTTTTTGTGTATTATTGTATATATGCTTGCATCTTTTTGTAATATATTCTTGTATATCATTGTATCTTATTGTGTCTTCATGTTTGTTTTCGCAAAAAAGTGCTCGCATCATGGGATTGGAAGGATTCATATGCTTTGAAGCAAGCTTGCCCGGACTAAGAAAACAGCGGGGGGGTTGGGGGGGGGCGCCCCCCCCCCCATTTGCAAACACAACGCTTGCATCATTGGTTTGGAAAGGATATTCATATGCTTTGAAGCAAGCTTGCCCGGCTTTACAAAACATCGGGGGGTTTCAAGGGGGGGCGCAGACCCCCCTCCATTTGCAAACACAATGCTCGCATCATGGGTTTGGAAGGGATTCATACGCATTGAAGAAGCTTGCCCGGCGACAAACAAACAATAAACATGTATTGTGCATTATGAATTCTACATCAAATAGCAGTAAATATATACATATATGCTTTGTTATTTCGATTTTATTTTTTTGATACAAAGGTATACTATACGATGTTGTGTTCTATTCTACTCTATGCCACTATAACATTTTGTTATACTTTGTGTTAAATATATACACATATATATATATACATTATAACATATGATGTTATGTTATGGTTTCCTACATATCCTTTCCTGTCCTTTCCTGTCCTTTCATTTCCTTTCCTTTCCTTCCTTCCTTGCTTCCTTGCTTGCTTGCTGCCTGGCTTGCTTGCTTGCTTCCTTCCTTCCTTCCTGCCTTCCTTCCTTCCTTCCTTCCGCCCTTCCTTCCCTCCCTCCCTCCCTCCTTTTCTCCCTCCCTCCCTCCCCTTCCCTCTCTCCGTCGGAAGAACAGAATAAGTTATTTCTTGATCCTAAAGAAATTATTTTTTGATCCTAAATAAATTGTTTCTTGATCCGAAAAAAATTTGTTTTTGATCCGCATCCTTCTTCAGCCCATCTGATAGGGTTTGCCTTCTTGGGGTCCCATATTTTCGTAAACCCCCATCTGGACCGACGGATAAAAACCCAGGCCAGTGCAGCGGTGGGCAAGTAGGCGCGGAAGCTCTTTCGATCCAGGGGCTGCCCGAGTTTCACGAGATCCATGTGAGCTCCGAAGAGGTGGTTGTGGACCTGCACACAAGCCATGGTTTAGGGTTTAGGGTTTGGGGTTTAGGGTTTAGGGTTTAGGGACGAACTTTTGACAGCTGCTGAAATTATGGATGCTTTCTGATTTTAGCCCCCCGCCTCCATGATCCCGAGCAAGTCAAAGGCATCCTTCTGAGCCTACACACTAGCAACATCGCGGAAATCCGTATGAATATGTACAAAAACTGGGCACATATACACTTAAATAAATTAATATAAATATCAATATAAATAAATATATATATATATATATATATATATATATGTATATATATACATATATATATATATATTTATATTTGTATTATATATATATATGTATATAGATTTACATATACATATATATATATATATATAGATGTACACTTTACGCAAAGGTCGTTGCCTCAATCTGGTAGGAGCGCGCAAAACTCGCTATGGCTTCCGGAATTCGCCCCCTGTCGACAAACATAACCGTCAAATCAGGAACAAAGCAACACGGGACGACAATGTACAGACGACAGATTCTGAAAGCCTGCGTTGCTGCGCTTCTCCCAAACCGCGTAAAGCGGATGCAGTGAGCGGGCTGTCATCACCGCAAGTGACCTACTCGACGCTAGGCTCGGGCTTGATTCCAAAGGCTCTTTGCAGCGTTGCTTTGAAAGAAAAATTATTTGACCTCGAACATCCCACCTCGTGAAAAAGAAAGAACGCAAATAGGATGCTCAAACAGAGGCACATTGATGCAAATACTCTTTCTTAGTTTTTGCTTGCAACTGGGGTTGGGCACTCCAGGGACACTTTGGGGTTGGGCACTCCAGGGACTCTGACGGCGGTTGGGCACTCCAGGAACACTCTGGGGTTGGGACATTTCGGGGTTGCGCACTCCGGGGACACTCTAACTTGGGCACTCCAGGGACACTCTGGGGTTGGGGACTCCAGGGATGAGCGAGGAGTAGACCGGGCGAGGAGAAGAGTTCAGGGCGAGGAGAAGAGTTGAGTTTAAAATCTAATAACCCCACACCGAAGGTGCGGAAAAAAAAATGTACACATGCCCACCTCGAACAAAGCCACATTCTCCTCTTCCCGGATGATGGCCTCATCCTGTCAGGAGGCTACAAGAGCACACATGCAAGGCCAGAGCACTCCAGACCCTGATGGCCTGCAGCTTCCCTCATCTCATGCTACCGCCCCTAAGCCCTAAGGTTTAGGCTCTAATTAGGGTTTAGGTATAAGCATCTGTGTAAGACAGCTTCGTGCACGGCCCCCCAAGTGTAGCACACACATCTCCTGAACGCGCTTGTGCCGCCTCTACAGCATGCTACAGCATGCTACAGTCCAAGCACAGGCGCCTTGCATCCTATAAGCTCTTGTTCCATGGTGAAGTTTTCTTGGCAGCATGGTGATGCTTCGATCTCCGCTGCTGGGGTGTCCAGAAGAGTCCGGAACTAAACACAGCCATTAGCTGCCATCCTCGTGCCAAACTCACAGGGCGATCAGGAACCAGAAGAAGAAAACCCCAAGGCGCCTCCATTTCTTGCCTTTTCATGTCGTCGGGCTCCTGCACGACTGCAGGGTTTAGGATTTTTTTTAAGGATTTGGAGCGCATGCAAGTTTTGTCTGCCTGTTTCATGATGCAACACGGTATGACAGCAACATCTCCATCTGCACTTTGGAGTTCCCTTCCGAACTTGCTTGCGAATGGCACTCGTCACACTTTACACACGTTCGACATGTTCGACTCCTGTAGGGCCAACTTGAGTAGGATTTTTGCGATGGACATCCCAGCTTTGGCCACCAGTGAGGACGGCCTGAGCTGTAACTTCAAGCAACATAGCTGCGATACCGAAGCGAAAACTGACAAACCATGGGTCAGATTAGGTAGCTTGCTTGCCGTTCGCGCGCTGCCGAAAAAGGTCCTGCCACCGGCTTACTGTGCTGACATCTGCCCCGCTGCTGGGCGCTGGTCTGACGAAGCCAGGGGCGATCATCTGTGCCAGTTTCTGGGGAAGACAGGGCGGCAGTGCATCCTACAGTGACCATAACAGAAGCCCTATTTTCCTAGTTTGGTTGCTTTGTGTTTGGCTCGTTTCCATTAGTGCGTCAAAGGATTTCCTGAAAACGTTGTGGAGGCTTCTTGCGTATTTCCAAAGCAGGAAAGCTTTTTTGGCATCTCCTACAAATCTCATACAGGGACATAAATGAAGGAAGACGGAAGAAGGAATCACCCGTCCACATCCACAAAGAACAAGCACTGAAAGTAGACCCGAAACTCAGCGCCATAACGAAGCCAAGCCAAAGCCAAGCCATGTATGATGGGGGCCAAATCCAAGACATTTTACAAGGCCAGCCACATTTGCATAAGGTCCAGTGCCTTGACAACAACTGCTACAAACAGGGGGTGAGGGACCCCCCACCGCAAAGCCAGGCCAATGAGTGTGCCGAAGCATGCTGAAACTTTCATTGTTCACAGCAGCCGGTCGGAATGTTCCGATTTACATTGATTGCAGCTGCCGGACGCCAGGACATCAAAGACATGCAGTAACTCAATTTTTGAAAATGCCGAATGATCGCACAGGTCGGCATGTTGTACTAGTGGTAAGCCGCAAAGTTTGGAGCCATCGTCCGGCCGACTCAAAAACCCGCAAATGCAGTCATCGAGCCCAGCTGAAACAAGTAGTTCAATGACCCAACAGCATAGCTTCATATTCGGTGATTTCGGGAGTTTTTCGTGTTTTTTTTCGCTTTTGCCCGACGATTGCATGTCTGATTGGGTCCTCGTTTCGTTAGAGACCGACACCCGACGGTATGAGCTTCTCGGAATAACCAATGGAAACACAGATTCCCCCAACAGAGAAAAACCAACACGCCAAACTGGTCTGTGCTAGTTTTGTGTCCAATGTCCCAGCCTGAGACTGTCGCACGGATGCAAGGGCCTGCAACAAAGCACACCAGCCTCCCTCACCACAAGTTCTGGCAGATGGAACCAGTTGAACCAGAGCCTGCTCAAATCGCCCCAGGCGATCCTCGATCAATCCCAAGCCGAGCAGGATGCCTGCGCACGTTCATGCCGGCATTAGCAGACTCCCTGAACGAGCCGTTCTGCATTGCAATAGCGCGCCAGTCATGTTCCCCTACTCGCAAAGGAGCCCCTGCTTCCGACAGCCTAGCGCAAAACGGCACAGGATCTCCCAAACTCCACGCTTGCATCGCTATGGGAGCACACCTCACTCACTATACGATGATACTTGAGATGTCAAGGGCAAGGACACAGCCTCTGGCCTGAATCAGCCCAAGTCTTGCTGGTCAAATTTGCCAGGGCTAACTACTCATGAAACTGTGGCCAGCGAACATGCAGTTTAGGGAACAAACCCTACACCCTAAACCCTAAACCCTAAACCCTAAACCCTAAACCATTGGGCCGAGTTTACGCTGGCTGTGGGATCGCCCAGGGCCCGGGGCGATCTTCCGAGCAGCGGTACACTATACTCCCCTTAGAACCTCAATAACACAAGTATGTTTAATATCCTCTTGGGTTCTATATAAACAATAATAACAAGAGTATGTTTAATATCCTCTTGGGTTCTATATAAACCAAATATACAAAATAGTTCCCAAGGGAGATATGGTACAGGGGAGCACGTGTGGGGAGAGTCTGCCTGCACGGTCTCCAGTTTTCTTCCCCATCTCCTCCTCCTTGTCCAAGCACAGCAAGGCCCGCTTGAAGTATTCTGATGCCTGTCAGCTTGGCTAGACTCAGAAGGGTAGCTAAAAATTAAGCTGCCTTATTAAGAAACCCAATAAACCCCAAAAGGCTAAGGATGTAAAGTTACAGTAAAGTACCACAAAGTCAGGATATCAAAATCAGTAGGACTTGAAGAAAGCGTGCGACGGGCCTTGTCAAAGTTGCCCATGGAACTGTAGGTGTGGCCCATGTTTTCGCACAAAGCTGCGCTGCAGCCGATGAGATCCTTCCATGAAGCCGTGTGCTAGCCGCTAGCCTTGATCTGCAACATGATGTGTACTGACGTAGAGATGTGGCTCACCTGATGCCAGCTACCTTGGGACCGCGAGTCCTCGATCTCATGAAACAGCTTGACTGCGTCATTGAACTGGGACTTCTTCCACAAGGTAAAAGCCAAAGCCTGCGTACATACGACGATTGCAGCATACCAGTTGCAAGCCTGCAAGAGCGAAACAGAGAGGTACAAACATCCGAGCGTGTGGGGCAGGCCTGGACGCCTTTCACATGAAAATCGCCTCCTCTGCTGCGGCATATGGGAACAATTTCTGGAAGCACCTGGCTTGCCGTCGGAACAGACTTGGGAAGCTTCCTTACCGCACCGACATAGGCATGCTTCCCCGTTTGTTTGAAGCATCGTAGGGCGTTTGTGTGCGCAGAGGCGAGCTTTGAACTTCGCCCCATGGATCTGATAGCAGTTCATGATCCAGTATATTCTTACGGTATCTTTTCGTTTTTGATTTAATGGTGTCTAATACAGACCAACAAGAAGCCCGCCAAAAGCCAAAACAAAGCGAAGAGAGTACGAAAACGAAGTGAAATAGTAAGACCCTCAAGCCCACTACCAGCACACGTCCGCCGGATGCCACTTCTGTGACCAGTGGCGCTTGAGGCTGCAGCCGCAGGAAAGGCGACAGCAACTCGAGCCCATACGTAAAACCGACATTGTCTTCTGAAGCATTGCGACGCCTGTCCCTTGCAACTTGCCTCCATGCATTTGTTCAACCGGTAGAGCTGGATCCACATGTCGAACAACTGCATGCATGCTACGACTCAAGCTCTTAACAGCCAGACTGCCTGCTGCCACGCTCGACCAGCCTTGAAGAAAGTTTGCAAGGTGACGTCGTCATCCAATCCACGCTCCTCTCTCTGCTCCTGAGGCCATCCGGGTCCATCTTCTGCACAAGGCGTGTCAGGACAGAAGCGAATGACGGAACCCATGAGTGTCCGCAAAGAGCTTCTCCAATCTGGCCTCTTCCTGGGGATGAGACTGCAGGTGCAACAGAAGATAGAGCATGACGGAGTGGAGCGAAGATGACTCAAGCCTTGATCTGGAGTTCGGCCAGCTCCTCAATTGGGCCATCACCTCCATCCTGGCACAAGAAGTGCCAGTGCAAACTTGCACGAGTGGTACGTTCAATACCACTTCAGTTGGGAGACATTGAGCATGTCAAATTAGGTTGCATTGGCTTTCTGGCGCTTTTTGCGATGTACTGGGATCCCCCTTTCGCAAAAGGATGTGCCCAATGCTACTCCAATGGTCAGCAGATGTTAGAGGGTCCCAGTTCTTGATTTCCTAAATGGGGGTTTACGATACTCGGGGGTGCCTTATTGGGTCCTTTTTATCAGGTGATCCTTCTTTTTTGGGGGTCTATATTAGGGCTCCCTTATTGTCGTAAACCCCATTAAACCCACAAATCTTCTGTTGACCACAAAAGGCCAGCCTGGACGGCGTCATCAGACTGAGACATGGCTGCAAGCTCCCAGAGGTGTCGTTGGTTGTTAGTGATGCTTCTGCAGCGCTGGTCATCTTATGCCGGCTTCCCTGCAACCCACAAGCCCATGCATAAGCCCGTGCAAGCTAGAATGATGGCACCACTTTGAGGGCGACGTGTAACAGTGTGGTCGCTTCGTGTCTTCTGAGCTGAGCCGCACATCTAATCAAGAGTTTGAGCAGCGCTTCAGAGGCCTGGCCCATGTCCCCCTCTGAGCAAATGGCAGCATCCGTTGCCTTTTCATACTAATCGTACATGCTTAATCTGAACTTCACGGAACAGCTTCGCTGTTCGTTGCCTGCTGCCTGCTTAACAGGTGGCAGAGTGAAAATGCTGCCTGCTACTACTACCTGCCCTCAAATAAGCGTCGCTTTAACTGCGCATTCCTGAGCAGACCATTGTTGCACAGACAAGCTTACCTGCTTGAACCCGGGTCGCAGCGTTCGCCATCAAGTCGTTCAACCGAGGCGACCCAGCCGATTCCAGCCCTTCCGAAAAGTCTTCGTGACTGGCCAGACGCCGAGCACCGTTTTGTGTGGACCCTGTTGTTGCTGCCTTGCTCCAGTCTTTTCAGCTTATAATGAATTACACATTCTGGCATTCAAACCCATTACTTCCCAATTGGAAAGCAGTAGTGCAGCGCAACTCTGGTGACTCTAGTGATTGAAATTGCACTTGAAAGGCTCTGACAGGGTGCTGCAAACTGCTGAACCGCTCAGGAAGGTCCAACGCAAATGCTCAGGGGCCGGCTTGCTGACAATCTGATCCTGGAGTTGCTCTTTTGGAGGAGGCATGTCCATCAGGTCCTGGTCTGGCTGTGACCCCAGCAAAAGAAGAGTCATCCTGACTTTGAGAACTCTTCACTCGAGGCCGGGGCCGACTCCAGAGCGCTTGTTGCACCGGGAAAGTAGAATTCCTTCAGGTGGAAACATGCCCCAGAACCGCTGCAAGGCAGGCTTGAATGCAGTAAGGAAACTGGGACCTATACTCTTCTACTAGCTGTTGCAGTTTCGCCTGCGACTACATCACCCTGAATTCCCTGGATGATGAGTGACGCATGATGAAGTTCCCCTCGCAGTGCGCTGCACCTGATCTTTGCTCGAGTGCGGGAACAGCCCATGCCCCATGGTTGCACCTCGCAAAGCATCGATCAGGTCAGCATGGGAACGGACAACCAAGGACGAAGCCAACAGCACAATGAACGGAGGACCCAAAGTTAATGAGAAAGGAAAGGACAGGAAAGGAAAAGGAAAAGGAAAAGGAAAAGGAAAAGGAAAAGGAAAAGGAAAAGGAAAAGGAAAAGGAAAAGGAAAAGGAATGGAAAGGCAGTCACACAAGCAACTGCGCAGGGCTTGCGGTGACTTAATCGACTTCTGACAGGGTCAGGTAGCAAAACGGGATTGATATGCTGTATTCACTGTGCCTATGGTGCACGCTTGGATCACCCAGCTAGTCGTGGCAAATACTTAAGCCGTCGCCACCGCCTACGCTGTACATGACATGAACTAGCGGATGCGCAGAGCTCGGTATGGGTGGGGCAGGGTTGTGCTGCAGACTTTGTGGATCTTCATTTCCTGATTCATTGATGCCATGACAAAGCTTCCGCGATGTCGGCAAAGTTATCTGGTAGTACAAGTAGCCATCATCTGGGTCCGGCTGCGAACTCTTGATTGCCCAAAGTGTGCAATGAAACAAAACGGTTAGTTTTGGATGTGTGAAGTCAAGAGAAACGCTGGGTGTTCTGCCTCGACCTCTGCTACCAGCAACAAGTTTCACTTGATGCTTCCTTGCTCAGCGAAGTCACGCGCTGGCTGGTTCGATTGCTGTGGATTCATATGTGTTTCTTCCTCTCTCTGAAATGAGCTCACTTTCTGAGACTGCTGTTGGCGCACTCTGCTTGAACCTCGACTTGGTCAAGGAGAGCCACTGCCGACAACAGAAGGACCGATGGAACGAGTTGTTGCAAGAGAACACGTGCTGCATCTTGCTGCAGAAGGTAGACTCATGCCAAAGCAAGGGGGTGAAGAAAGGAAGCCATGGGAAGCACATGGCATGGTCAGCTCCGGACCCAATGGTGGCTGCGGCGCGCAGTCGGGGAAGCGCGAGCCAGCATTCACACGGATCTGGCGTTTCATGGGTGTCTTGAGCATTCCCAAATTTGAAGCTAAATGCTCCCTCACCCCGCTAACTGCAGCGCCACAGGCTCGCAGATCTGGCAGTTGAAGTTCCAACGTGTCAGAGTTGCCCGCTCGCGGGCAGCCAAGGAAAATCCCAAAGCATCTCGCCTTGACTCGACCTGTAGCTGCGAACCCATGGTACCGAGAAAAGACATGCATGCTGCATGCGGCATCGCCAAGCCAGCACAGCTTCTCTGAGAGCCAAGGTTTCACAATAAGCCTTGCAGAAGGACACGGCATGACAGTGCTAAGCGCATCTTGGAGAGGCACTCGGTTTCTTGCTGATGGAGGCCTCGCGCCCGAGGTATGCAAGGACCCCAAACTGTGGTGGCTTCAGTTGCCGTGACCGAGAGACTCACGAAGGCTGAAGCGGTCGTGGTGCTTTCGGGGGCACTGGTGCCTTCACCTCCAATGGCACCCATTGAGGGCCATTGCAAGATGGCAAGCAGCACCATCAAGACGCTGCTTAACAGATTTCCAGCATCAAGTGCTTCTGAAGAGCCGAATCAGACCCAACTTCAGCTCGCACATTCTTCGCGGGATCAGGACCTGCAACTTCTGCAAGGAAGCACGTCGTTTAATTTCAGCAATGGCTTCGAACTTCTGAGGCTCGGGCTTTCCTGCGGCCCCTGGGGCAGAAACGGTGTCCGTGTCTGTAGTTTATTTCCATGCCTACGGCACTGCCTTGCACCATGTGACCATGTCACTTCGCAGCTGCCTGTTCTGATCCAGGAGCCGCGGAGCCCAAACGACCCGAAAGACTGAGAGCACGCTGTGATGGCAAGATGACATAGGTGACACGTCGCAGATCTGTGTGTACTCAAGAGCTGGGCGACTTGTGAACAGCTGGCGCCGGCAAAGGTGGGGTGTTCACAGCCTTGCTACCTGAGAACACACGGAGAGTCTGAGCGATTTGAAGCCTTGGCCCCAGTGGCTTCCCAAAGGCCCAAAAGCCCAAATCCCAAAGGCCTGTCTTATTGGGTGGCATTCCTCCTCGGGCGATTTCCTCGCAGGATCGCAGACTCATGACATGACTTCGAAGAGAAGGAGACGAGAAGCGATTTCCAGGCAGACCGGGCTGGGTGCCTCATATTCTTTCCGAGACATTGTTCCCGGGTCGACTTTTGCCTTGCAACGAGTCTCACTTTGAGCTCCCAACACCCCAAGCCGCTCTAGTTTAGGAAATAGGGTTTAGGGTTTAGGGTTTAGGGTTTTGGGTTTTGGGTTTTGGGTTGAGGGTTTACGTAGGGTTTAGGGTGAGCCTTCTCTCCGCGCTTGGTCCTGTTCCTTTCTTCCAACTCCACTCCCGGCGACATCATCATGGCCTGGCCCGCGGATGCACAACATCACAGAGAATGCAGATATCTGCCTTTAGGGTTTAGGGTTTAGGGTTCAGGGTTCAGGGTTCAGGGTTTAGGGCATCCAGCACCATCGCCTCCATCATTGATGGCTGCTGTGATGCGAACTTCTTGACTCCATCTTTGAAGTCGGAATCTCTCCTGTTAGAAACAGGCGCGCAGCATGTAAAGGATCTTGAGGCATCTTGAGTACCAGAACGAAAAAGAAAACACAAAAGGCATTTACAGCACCGTGCTGTGCCTTTTGCCCTTTGTGAGTTTGTCACCTCATCTGCCAACCCACCGCGATCTGGAACAGTGAGTACATGGAGGCGCATGGCACTTGTTAACCAATGACAACTGTACTGGAAACCCAGTTCCAAGCCCCTGAAGTGCCACAAATATGGTTATAAGTACAGTTATAAGTACAGCTATAAGTACAGCTGTAAGTACAGTTATAGGTACAGTTATAAGTACAGTTCTAAGGTACAGTTCTACTCAGTATAAATACGCACCATGAACCTCCAGGCAAAGCTCGGGTGCCCGCGAGCGCGTGGTGCCCTCTTCTCGGCAGGCACCCGCAGCTCCTGGGACGCATCTTCCTGGCACGCGACGTGGACGTGCCACCAACCTACTACTTGCTTAAGAACCCCGAAAAACCAAAAAAACATAAATAAATAATATATATATATATATATATATTCTTCCTTATTAAGGGGAATATAGGGATGTTTCTTTCTTATTCTTTTTGGGGTTCTGAAGCAAATAGTAACAATAACACAACAGATCCGCCGAGGCCCCAAGTTGCAGGGGATCTGGGGTAAAGAAACAGCCCACCTTATATTGATCCCCCTCTGGAACACCCCCTCGCACAGCCCACGTGCGCGACCTCATCTTTTGGTCCCCCTCCGGACGCCTCTGGACCCCTCCGCATTTGCTATCCTATCCTCGCTTTGGACCTGCCCTGTGCCTCTTGGCAGCAACCTCAAGGAATGCCGTGGGGGCTTATTGGGGGGAAAGTCCCAAAACCAAAACCAGAAAACCCGGCCCCGACCATCTGGCTTCTGGCTTCTCCCTTCTCCGGTCTCGACATGGTCAAACCTTCTCCCCATGGACCTCCTGTATCTCCTGCTCACGCATGTGGAGTGCCATCGGTCCACAAAAGACCTACCACCTGTACATCGGGCCTGGCCGAGGCGGAGGGCGCGCGCTGCCGGTGATAGAAACTCAAGTGAGAAGGCCACCTTCAAAACGAAGGCCATCGCGGGAATGGGATTTGGCAAGCGATGCACTTGTGGAGGCTGAACCTGCAAGCAAAGGCACCGTCCTGGCTCTGCATGCCCGTGTGCGCTTCTCATGGTTTGATGCTTAAAGCTTGACTTGAGCGGAGGAACCACAATGACGTTGCCCTCGGAGTCGTAGGCAAACTGCTTCTTCTTATCGTCCTGCCGCAAAGGCTGCTCCCGCAGACTTAGCATGCACACCTTCCTTGTGATTTTGGAAGGTCAAACCTTAAACGACACGTGGCCAGTTCGTACCAAGCGCCTACATACAAGCACAACGCCGTCGTTGGTGCCGCTCTTGAATTAATGAAGCAGCTACCGAAGTGTTAGTGCCACAGAAATCATCAGAATCGAAAGCTTCAACCCACCTCCCTTTTTGCATCATGATGCATCGGAGCAGCAGCGCTGACAGAGTGTACATTCTTTTGCGGGTCTTGGAGAAACGGAGACTCGTTAACCCTTCTTGCATGGAAACGAAGCTGCATGAAGTTCTAGGCTAGACAGCATGCCACCATTTGCTCTTGACAGCGGCAACATCCTCACAAGCACACGGAAATCTCAGAGGAGAACACAAAGTCACGGCCAGGGGCTCATGGAATGGTGAGAGCTCGGAGATACCCCAGCAAGCTTTGCCGGGTGTGTGGCGCAGGGATGCGAGGGGGTTTCCACTCTCACAACTTGCACAAGCAAGCGAGGCTCCGGTGAGTAGGGTTTTGGGTTCAGGCCGCACGGCACCTGTAACCTTCAAACCCTAAACCCTAAACCCTAAACCCTAAACCCTAAACCCTAAACCCTAAACCCTAAACCCTAAACCCTAAACCCTAAACCCTAAACCCTAAACCCTAAACCCAAGAGGCTCCGGCATGGTTTGTGGTGTAAAAGTCGGCACGGCACCCTTCAGCACCGCTCCTTGACTTGCACCAGCTTGGCCGCCTCTTCTTCAGCAGCCTCATGGGCGGGAGAGGGGCAAAGAAAGCTGACACACCTGCCCACGACCCCTAAACCCTAAACCCCTAAACCCTAAACCCTAAACCCCAAAACCCTAAACCCCAAAACAAAGGGGGGGGGGTTGGTCTCAAGAAGGCTGCCTTTCGCTCGGTGCGCTGTTGCTCCTCCCGGTGCTTTCGGGCCTGCGTGCCAGTCTCAGCTGCACTTCCCCCTGTGGCATGAAACACCGTGTGCTTCGTAGCTGGGGGGTTTAGGGTTTAGGGTTTTGGGTTTAGGATTTAGGGTTTGGGGAAGAATTGCAACTCGGCTGAATTCCGGTACTTTCTCTGCTCTAACAGCTGGGGAAGCTCGGCAACTGCCATCAAGTGCGGCGAGCCGGACCCTAACCGACTAATTGCCTAAGAACCTCGAAAACTAATTTGAGAAAAAAATATATGCTTCCTGATTAAGGGTAATGTAGGGATTATTATTTCTTATTATTCTTTTGGGGTTCCTAAGCAAATAGTAGTACCTCAGGCCCACAGCTTGCAACACTCCCTGCTTGTCCTCTCTCTCTTTCATATCTCGTAGCATCGCTTCCTCCTCGTCCTCCTGCAACTTGCAAACTCACGGATGGCGTCGATGCTCCGAGTATACATTGTTGGGGCATGAGAGTGCTGGATCCATGCCTGGCGCTCGATGACTAGCGGGATCATCTGGTACCTTGCGCTTGTAGCTGACTTCAGCCCGACCTCCAGATGCACAGAACTCATACTTAAAGTAGCCTAAGTGCACAAAACTCATACCCTGCCGCTTGTCTGCCTCGGCTCCCTCGGCCACTGCGTGGGTACCAAAACGAGATGGCGACCGACTACTAGGAACGGAAACCTGAGAACAGCATCGCAAAGCAGGTACATCAGAAGATACGCAAGCCGGGTGCCATACAGATCCATTCGAGGCCTGACCGGCGCACGAGTGATGCCGCAAGAATCATCTGCCGTGATTTGGAATACCACGACGTCAGCCAAGCAAGGGCTCGGGGTGCAGCATGATGTTTTCGGTAGTCGCCGTTGCTGGCCTGAGACAACTGCTGCTGGAGGAAGCTGGATCAGTTCACACGGATCCCAGGGGCTTCCACCACTTTCTGCCGGCTTACTCTGCGCACCGGAACGCATGCCCGGGCCTGGCAACATGAGGACATGGGGGTTTCCTGAAATTATGGGGGTACCTTCTTGGGGTCCTTTTGTGAAGGATTTTGAAGGAATCCCACTATTTGGGGGTATATATTAGGAGTCCCGTATGTTCGTAAACTCCCACACGCTGCCGATTGCAGGGACGAGTAGCTAAGTAGCTCTCGACAATCCTCGATGCACTGCTGCCAGATCGCCGGGGAACTGGAGCCCGATTCCGAGTGTTCCATGTGTGTTTGCTTTCTCCTTTTTGGCGCGGGGAGGGGGGTTGGGGCCTCTGCGTGTTCATTATTGGTTCCGCCTCCATTCCACCATGTGTTCATCGGAAACCTATGCTACCTCTTCGCACAGGCAACTTATCTTTCCTCGACCTTTAATGGGAAACCTTTCTTTCCTCCTTTACAGCTATAGATGATATACTTGGAAACGTGCTGCCTCGATGTACGTACCATACACCTCCATTTCCTCCATATGTTACAAGTATCAAGGAAGATCCTCCACGTCGTGTCTACCAAGAAAACGCCTCTTTTCCTCTAGATGCGCATAGGTTCGAATAGCCTCTATTGCCTCTAGTGGGCTGGGAATACTCATATAGATGTTGAGACAATACTATCCATTGGGCAATGCAAGTTTGCAAGGGTGAAAAAAAAAGACGGCAGCCACCCCCGTTTGCAGGCACAATGCAGAAGATTCCTAGTCGTCTTTCTCTTCTTCTCCTCAGCTTGACTGCCTCCCCGCGCATTCCCCAAGCGTGAATGGATTTCATCCGGGCTCGGGGTTTAGGGTCGAAAAAATTGAGCCGTTCCTCCAAAGGTCACCAGAAGCCTTCCTCATGCTCCAAACCCTGCCCCGGGTCCCTTCAGTGTTTAAACACGTCGACGCCAAGAGGGGCTTTAAGGAGCATAGGGTTTAGGGTTTAGGGTTTAGGGTTTAGGGTTTAGGGTTCAGAAAGGAGTCCGCATTTCAGCAACCCTCGATGCCAGTGTTTACAGACTTCGCTAGTTTCAGCGTTGCCAGTGCATTTTAGGTTCATGTGCGTCCCTCGCTTTGCGATCCTTCAACTTTTGCCACCCTGGTCCGCCGGGGGGGGGGGGTTGAAACCCAGGTTCAACCTGGGTTCAGAACTTACTTCGAACCCAGGTTGCAACCCGGGGAAGGGGCTTCGACTCTCCCACTCGTGCGCGGCTGGCAAGGCCTCGAACAAGGAGTTTAGAGTTTTGGGCCCTTGGGCCTGTTCACGGCTTAAAGACTTCCAGAGGACGTGTCGAGCAGCGCGGTTCTGGTGGACTGGCATCATAGGACCCCCGCGGCGTAAGCCCTTTCTCCTCCTTTCTTCTCTTAAGGGTTTGGGATGAGGCTTGGTCAAATGGGATGTGCATTCTTCAAGGGACGGGGGGCCAGAGGAAGAGGCGCTTTCTTTGCAAGGGCTCAGCTTCACGGCAGGGCTTCGGCTTGTGATTTCAGGTATGGCACTCCTAGGTTCGAAGTACCTGAATGAAGCTTAGGGTTTAGGGTTTAGGGTTTTCAGAAGCGGGGTACTGGGGCCGGAGTCACAGTGACTAGACTACGTAGCTTGCTTTTTCCGATTGAGCCCAAGGCGCCTGTCATGCAGGAACTTGTCTCATGAATGCTATTTGACGCTTGCATGTTTGTTCATGCCTATACAAGTGTTCGTCTAACAGCTTTTGCACTATACGAAATCCAACTCGGCGCTTGTGTACAGGAAAATCTCACACCCGTCTTATCAACGAGTGGATGAGTGCGCCTCAAGAGAAGTGAAATTCGTCACTCAGCTGGAGCTTCTTCTTTCACAACGGCCTCGTTGCTCTCCAAGGCGTCGTTCAGAAGCTTGGGCTTCATGCTCTTGGTCAAGCAGTCAGCCAACTGAAGGTGGGTTGGAATCCATCGCAGGATGTCACCGAATGGTGCGAAGGCTTCGCTCGTCGGTGTCTCGTCTACCCACAGTGCTTGGCGCAATGCTGTCATTTCGATAGCAAGACGCTTGTCTTCCACTGGTCTGGGTACCGACGACAGCAAATGATCTGGTGGCATGCTGCAGGCTGTACGCTTCACACTGTAGTGTCGCGCGGCAGACTCGTTTCATCGTAGAGCCACCGAATGCAACCAGGTGAAGCTTGTGCTTGGGTGCGTTCACGTCGCGTGCTGTTTCCGCGTCAGTGAGGTAGTGCAACCTCCCCCTCTGGGACTTGTACCCAGCTTCAGCAGCAAAAGAGGCGTCACAAAACGTGACTACTGCGAGGGGGCCACTGCTCCACGGCAGTATCTTGGCGCGATACACGATGCTGCGCTCTGCGTCGCCCAAGGCGAGTGCGACCACACGGTTGGCTCTCATCGTGTCGATGGTCGCGACGGTCACTCGCTGCTGCAACGCGTTGACGCGGTACGCGAGGTCGGGCCTTGTAGCCCGGGCCACCCACGCGAGTGAACCTATGACGGACCGAAGCGCCGTCCTCTGTCCTTGTGTGACAGGTGTCGTCAACTTTGCACCCTTGGGGATCTCGAGGGGAGCGATGGCACGCGTGTTGTCCCTTGAGTTGATCTCGATGGTGCCATCGGGGTGCTGAGCGTATTCTCTGCCACAGAACCTGAAGCTACCCTCTTCGATCCTCCCGATTTTGAAGTGGTCCAGCAACTGCTGGATCTTCAGCTCGCCCTCACCGAACGCTGCCCAGAAGAAGTCGTCCACGTGAGTGCACAGCATAGCGCACAGCCGGCCGCTTGTGTCGTGCGCGTAGTACAACGCGGACATGATCTGGGATGACTTCAGTCCGATGCACTTTGTCTCTTCGACTATGCGAAGGTAGAGGTTTCGGCCGGCGTCGGTCGTACCATACACTGGGACACGGGCAATCATGTAGCCGGATTCCTGGATCTCCTTGTCCGGAACGCCCTTGGGGTTGCTAGGAGCCTTGAGGATCAGCAATCTCTCGAGCGGCTTACCCTGAAAGTAGGCGTTCGTGATGTCGGCTGCCTTGATTCGCAAACCGAGTGAGGATGCCCAGGAACAAATGAAAGCCAGTGCTTCAGACTCGGCTGTCGGGGAATCTGCACGAATGTCCTCCCCTGTGGAGATGTGCTCGAAATTCCCGCATGCGACTAGCCTAGCTTTGTATTTGGGACGATAGCCGGGGGTGCCTTTCAAATGTTCATGTTTGTCGGTGAGAACCCACTTGGTGGGCACGCAGATGTGTCCTTGGCTAAGCAACTCCTGCACTTGCTTCTTTGAGCAAGGTATCACAGCGTGAAATTCCTGATACTTGGCCCACTCCGCGAGCATGGCCTCGTCCAACCCCAACTGCACCTCGGCCGGGCTGTTGTGGTAGTCCAAAAGTGAGGCTAGGAAACCTGTTCCAACTTCCTCGTCGTCTGAGGAGTGCATGTCGTCTGCTCGCTCAGGCTCCTCCTGACGGGGCTGCTCTACTTGGGGTGATGGAATACGCGGTTGTGGGAATTCCAAGTCTTCCATCATCTGGTGTTCATCTGCGCGCAACTTCCCCAAGTGATTCATAGTGAACCCGATGATGCTGAATCTCTGCCCTTCATGGGGTTCCACCATATGGAGTTTCTTTGGATCAAAACGAAGGACTTTGCCTCGAGTGGTGTGTAGAGTCCCGGGAACAAGGTTGCCACAAACGTCAATCACTGTGTTCCCCTCAGGGTTTTCTATCCACAGGTGACCTCCTTTCGAATAATTTCCCAAACTCATGGTGAAATTGAGCGACCCCTTCAAATTGGAGTTGTCTTTGTGCAAACTTGCCCGCGATTCGCTTACTTGGATCCCATTCCAAGTGAACTCGGTGTAGCCTGCCTTCTCACAGTGGTGCCTCAGGAAGCGGTTCAAGTAGGTCACAAAACACGGGCGCTGCTTAGTAGGATTAGAAATCCCAACAAAACCACCGTGCCTATAAACACCGAAACTAGCGGCAAGCTCATCATCTGTTGCGTCTTGGAACATCGCTCTTTTCGTCCTCTTCGGTTTGTGTTCCTTGCACAACCTGAGTAGTTCGAGACAGTGGCTCGTCTCGAAGGCCATTGCTTCCAGGAGCTCGCTTGCCTTTGCTTCTACAGGATCGGTGTCCTGTGCCTCAGCCATCAGCGCGCTGGAGCTTTGTCTGGGCGGGGAACGAGTTCTTTCCCTGCCCGTCTTATCACTGGGCGAAATCTCCTTGCTTGTGATGGCGGGACTCTCGGCCGCTGCGACTCTCATGGGAGTAGAGGGAGCCGACGCTAAGCCAGTGTTCGGTCTGGGGGTAGAAGGCGCTGTTACTGGATCCTTATCTCTTTCGTCGAGATAACGTTGCTCTGGACCGTGGACAATGGAACCTGGCAGAACGGGCTCTCCGGTCAGAACTCGACGTGCAGCTACTTCGACCTCATCTGCAGGCCTCATCTTTCTGGCATTGACCAACACAGGCACACCCTCATGCAGCAACCAGTATGCATTCTCTGCCTCGCGCCCTATCACGCGGCTTGCAGTTGACCACACAGTGGAAGTTGAACCGGGCAAATTGTCTCTTCGGTAAATGACTAAATCGCCCACCTGGTACTCCATGTCCAGGGGAGCTGCATTCCTTTGCAATGCACGAGCAACCTTCCTGGACGAGTCCAAATGCACGAAGGCTTTGCGGGCTTCTTCCCGGGCTCTATGTCGGGAATAGAAAGGAGTGGTCTCATCGAAACGGGCCAACAAAGTTCCCATGCTCTCATCTTCATCCATGACTGAACCTGGTGTCCTAGGTCGTTTGCCTAGCACATGCTGTGATGGGCTGAAACCTTGGTGTCTGGACAGGTCATTCTTTGTAGTCACACACTCACTGACCACCATGACCATGTCTTCCCAAGTCGAGGGCTGAATCTCCTGCACTGTTTTCCTTACCAGTGCCTTGAGCAAACCACCATGTCTTTCGACCTTCCCTATGGTCTGCGGAGATTCTAAGGGTGCAATTCGGAGATGAATCCCATGTTGTCCCATGTAACTTGCAAACTCTCCCTTGAAATGCGTTCCCCTATCAACCACCACATGTTGTGGATGTCCTGCCCACGATACCCATCGCTCCATGAAGACCTGCAAACATTGTCGTGCGCTGGGATTGCCTCCTCCTGACTTTATCAGGGCTACTTGCTGGAAGCTGGTTCCCATGTCGACCATGTTGACTGCAGTGTAGCGGGTACCATCGACATCCTTTACTTCCATGCAATCTATGCCAAGTGTGTGATTGAACTCTTTCGGAAACACCGATTCCCCTGAGACTGGATGATGTCGCGGAACTGGTGCAGTGTCTAGGCAAGCCTTACATCGGTGAAGGCGGGCAGCTAGGATGAACTCCTTGGATGCCTTGCTCTGCCTAAGGACCTGCTCCAGGACTTTACCTGGGAGATGACCGAATGCCCTATGGAGTCGCCTGATAGCAACCCTCGTGCGCTGTGGGAGCGAACGCCAAGCTGCTCTGCGTTCTTCCTCCGATGCCGGAGTACCTGGGAAGGACAGTTGCTCGAGAATGAGTTGCTCTCTCTCTTCAGGGGTGAACACTGAGGCCCCATTGTCTTGCTCCCTAAGTAGTTCAGCCATCTCTTCATCGGGGATGAGTTCCTGATCTTCCATGTCGGAGCCTAAACCTTCCGACCCTACAAACCAATCGAGTAGCTGCCTGCGATGCTGACTCTCCCTCTCCAGGCGATACTTCCAGCGGATCTGATGGGACCTCTTCCACCTCATCGTCTGCGTCCAGATCAGTAACTTCCTCCGGAGCTGTGCCCGGGGCCCTTTCAGGCTCTGACTCGCAGTGCAAAATGCATGTGGTGCTCTCCTTGACATCGCCTTCCAGATACTTGATGAAGTCGGCTAACACCTGTTCGTAGGCCGCCTTCGCATCGTCTGTGCGATGTGTGCACCAGCTGCAATGCCCGCGGCAAGATCCACCCATGAGCGGCCAGGACTGTTCGCTGTTGCAATGCTGCATGGAAACATGAAGTCCTTCAACGCGAAGTAGCATGTGCTCAATGAGGATGCCTCCTGCCACGGAACGGTGCCGGTTTTGCTTGCAGACAACGCTAATGTTCATCGCCTGGTAGCCCTGCTCCATTGACTTCTTCACCTTGGAACAAATGGCTCTGCAATGTTGCAGGAATCCAGGGTCTGCAGCTATCGCCTTCATTATAGAAGGGTGGGAACCCACATGATCTCGGAGGCTTGTATCTCGCTTGCGATCTGCGAGCTCAGGATCCAAACTCCTGGCATTCGGCAAGTATGTCAGGTCAAAGAAGATGCCGACGAATGCGCCTCCGAGTTCAAGGGTTGCCTCTGCCGAGCGCATCTCACTAAACATGTCAGCGAAATGCTGTGGCTCCCAAGCGTTGCGGATCTTATCGACGGCCTCCTCGAAGTTGTAGCCGAAGGTAAAAATGTCCGCGGCGTGCTTGGGATTGTCTCCTCCCTCGGTGGGGAAGGTCTCGGAATTCAGCTGCTGAGGCCTCGCCTTAGGCGCGGGGCGCTGTGAAGGTGCGATGGCCATGGCTGCTGTCAAATTTGTGTTCTCACCTTGGGGTTCACTTAGAGAGTGCGTCTGCATTGAAGAGGCCTTTCGTTTGGTGACCTTGCTGTATGCGCACTTATCCGAACCCTCTGCTGCTATTGCTCGGGCAGCACCTGCAGGTGGCGGTGGGATCGCAAATCCACGAACAAGGCGGGGTTGTTTCCCTTGCAAGAGACCATCGGTTAGGCAAACGCAAAGCAAACCTGAGTCTGATGTCCGATGCAACTTGAGTTCAATGGTCTTGTCGGGGTTCGACGGGAGCCTTACGGAGCACGTCCCTAAGTGTAGGTCTTTTGCCATCCCAAGTTGACTCTGGGCATGAAGCGATAGTAGGAGGGGTGCCCCACCAGGGATCTCATGTGAATCTAGCGCCCCACACAATCTTTCCCTATGGGAAACCTCCTCGCCCTCAACTGAATCCAAGGGCAAAAGGCAGAAAGGAAAGGTTCGGGTCCCAAGCGTGGAAGTGGAACCACTCAAACCCTTGAAGGTCTTGGAAGTCTCCTTCGCAAACCTCGTGGAATACCCAAAGCTCGCATACTTGGACATGAATCCTCGCCATGAACCGTTGAGTTACACCCTTCATCCAGGACTGCGAAAACGTGTGGGGATGTGCGAATGTTAACCACGGGGAGTTTGCTCAAACTGGGGTTCGTGTCTGTGACTCCCTCGTGTGGTCCGGCAAGCATGGCAACCATTGCTGTACCGGGCCTTCTCCCCGATGAAGCCATCTCCCAACTCGCGCTCGTGGGGCTCGCATCATCCGCATGATCGTCCAGAGCCTCTTGAAGGTAGGCAAACAAGTCCCCCCTCGTTATCGAAGGTTCGGTGACGAAGTGACCCTCAACTGCCTCCTTGAACTGTTCAAGGGCTGGTACGACCACTTCTACAGGCACTCGGTCCCCTGTTCTGCCCACTATAGAGCGCATCATGTCGAAGTCTAGGGTGTTCGTGTCTCGCAGCTGTGCTGTGGCTGCGTCCCTAGCTTTCTTTTCCTCTTGGGGCAGTTCATCTAGGATCATGCCACAAAGCTTGCACTTGATTCGGCTGGTTGTCTTGCTGGAACCTGAACGATCTACCTGGGCATGCGTGCATGTGGTAGGGTCGACCTGTACCTGTTCTTTGCGAGTCTTGGTTACCGTACCACAGGACTTGCATGTGCGCATGTCTATGTACGAATTGCTCCCTGTCTTGCTAAAGGTCTTACAACCACCCCTGCACTTGGGCCGGAAACCGGTACTGGATGAGGCGGTGCCTTCAGCGTTGGCTGCGCGGTCAGCAATGGGAGTTGGGGGCATCATCGTACTAAGAGGGATGTCTCTTCTACGCACTTCTATGGGGTCCGTGTCTTCTACCACATAGTGCTCATGCACCCAGTTCAGGAAATCACCCAAACACTTGGAAGGACACTTCTGTGTTTGACCCCAAAGGACATACCCAGGATAGGTGTGCAGCATTCGTTCATACGTCAGGCCTTTGTGATGACCAAAAGTAAACAAGGTGTCAGATCCTGGCGGTGGGCTGTCACGCATGGCAGTGGCTTCCGATCTGCGAACACGAGGACGCTCTGAGGGTCCTCCGCTCCTTTCAGCGGGATAGCCCTCCATGTCTCTTGAAGTGTTGGAAAGGTGAATGGCAGGGGTCTCATCGTCCGATGCGTCACTCAGTGCGGCAAGGTAGGCTTGTGAGGAGGATGCCATTCCGGGCTTCCCGGGTGAGGCGGACTTCTCTGCACCTGAACCACCCTTACCGGAACCCTTAGGACCTCCAGGACTACCCTTAAACCTGCACTCAGCGTCACCGGCCCAATGGCCGATTGCGCCGCACCGCAAGCATCGGCTGCGAGCCTTCAGCTCGGCAAGTTTGGCTTTCCTGTCGGCGATAGAAAGATTGGAAGGAGGGACCTTACCACCCTTCTTACCGCCAGACTTACCAAAACCCTTACCTTTGTTACCCTTCACATTGGCAAGTGTGGTTTGGGCTGCGTATGCCAGCTGCAATGCTTCGGCGTGCTCCTCGCCTGGCTCGCCTCCAAGCTCTGTCTGCATAGCTGTGTATGCATTGAGAGCCAAGGCTAATGCACTGTCATCAACCCATTCGCCTTCGTCTTCCTCGACCTCATGCTCCTCGGCTACATAGGCCTGACTTTCTGGCTCCTGGTACTCATACTCATCATCCTCCACGAAACCTTGTGTCATGTAACCGTACCGAGGCTTCTGCTGAAATGAGGTATTCTCCCACCGGGGCTTGGACCATGTTCTAGCGGCAGGCTTGTCTTTCTCAACGAGCAAGCGTTCACGCATATGCACAACACTATGATGCTTGATCAATACGCGCGCATACTCATCTACTGTCTCGGCTTGTGCTGCGGTGCGCACCATGAGCTGCTCTTGGCGCGACAAACCAGACAGTTCCACAAGGAGATTGGCGCGCATGGCCTCTGACAACCTGACTTCTGGGTCCAATTCCCTTAGGGTAACCCACCAGCGCTTTCGCCGGGAAATGTAAGACAACATCGGCTCCCCTGATTGTTTGGACAAGGGACCTGTCAGCAACTGGCCTTGCCTGAACAATTCCGATGCCTCTTCCCCCTGCAAGGGAAATGCTTGGTCTTTGACCTTCTGAATGAGGAGATCAATGCCGTCGTGCTTCAACAACCTCTCGAGACCTATGTCTCGGGCGATAAGAAAGGCGTCGCCACGGAGGCCTTCCAGCGTCTTCTGAACTGCATCAGACATGTCAAGATCACTATCGCGGACCGAAGCGAGTGTGGGAACAGGCTCAGTCTCAACCGAAGCTTGCCCGTCGTCCTCAACCTCATAATCTTGTGGCTGTTGCTCTTCTTCGCCACCGTCTCCTGACGACATGGACTCCGCACCGGCCTGGCGGCCGCGCCGGCGTCCTGGGGCACTTGAAGGACTGGCTGCCATTCCACTGCTCTCATCACCTGTGTGACGGTCCGGGGATCTTATGCCACCACCTACCCACTTTCGTGGGGATGCAGAACGGCTGAGTTGGTGGCTGGAACGAAGGTCTTTCAAGACCTCTCGACGCTGCCTCTCACGATGCTGGGATACACGGGCACGTGTGCGAAACTCCCAGTCGTGGAAGGACGCTGCGGAGCCGCTGTAAATGTAGCTTCCTGACTTGGTTTCTGCTGGGGTGTCAAGGCTAAGTACAGGGTCGTACTTTAACCCAGCTACCGACATGGTGTCGGATTTGCGCAGTGCAGTGGTCTATTGTAGACTGGCAATGCTGACGTTCTTTCGGCTTCTTGGCTCACACCCAAATCCCCCTTAGCTTTCTCTTCCGGACGAGATTGCTGCGAGGAATGAAAAACGTGTCACTGAGCTCCACAGCTCCGCTACCAGTTTCAGAAGCGGGGTACTGGGGCCGGAGTCACAGTGACTAGACTACGTAGCTTGCTTTTTCCGATTGAGCCCAAGGCGCCTGTCATGCAGGAACTTGTCTCATGAATGCTATTTGACGCTTGCATGTTTGTTCATGCCTATACAAGTGTTCGTCTAACAGCTTTTGCACTATACGAAATCCAACTCGGCGCTTGTGTACAGGAAAATCTCATTAGGGTTTAGGGTTTAGGGTTTAGGGTTTAGGGTTTAGGGTTTAGGGATTAGGGTTGGAACCTTCAAGGGCACTTTCCCCCCGGTTCAGTCTGCGGTCTTGGCACCTTTGCTCTACAACTTCCTGTGCCCCAACAAGTCAACAATCAATCGTCAAAACTAGGGACGTCTGAAGAACCTTGGTTTAGGGTTTAGGGTTTAGGGTTTAGGGTTTAGGGTTTAGGGTTTAGGGTTTAGGGTTTAGGGTTGAGTCGCACTCGCTGAAGCAGCGAAAGCTTCGAGCAACATGCGGCTGGCTCAAACACGCCGGCGAAGCCCACGTGTCAATTCGACACCTGCACGGGGGAAAACTGCCTGTGCTTGTAGCATTTTCATTCTTCAGAAGATGACTTGGGATGTTCCCCTTTATACTAACAGCTCCTTAATAGGGATTCTTGTGCCCCCGACTATAATCCCCATTTAAGGACTGACTCGTATAAGGGGGAACACCCCAAAAGATGACTCAAGCGAAGCGCACCTGGAAGGCTCGGACTCCATGCACCATCCGTCTCGTGAAGCCTGCGCATGCTTGCGGTTCAGGGTTCAGGGTTCAGGGTTCAGGGTTCAGGGTTCAGGGTTCAGGGTTTAGGGTTTAGGGTTTAGAGTTTAGGTAGAGTTTAGGGTTTAGGGTTGAGAGTTTAGGGTTTAAGTTTAGGGCTTAGGGTTTCGCGGGCCAGTTTCGGAAAATCAGGGGTATCTTATTGGGGTCCGTATTAGAAGGGAATCCTGCTACTTGGGGGTCTATTTTCGGGCCCCCTATTTCGCAAACCCCCCCCATGCGCCTGAGTGCCAGGTTCCAGACCATCAGCACTCCTCGGGCATGAACTATCACACTCTCTCCTCTCTTGATGACACACAGCTCTGCAGACACATCTGCTGCACAGGACGAACAGCTGCCAGGCTTGCGATATTACACAGTCTATGTCGAGTCATGTGAAATGAATGCCGGGACATATCGCAACAAGCTCAGCCAGTTGAAAAGAACGAACATCTGCATGCGCAATGCATTACAATGCGAAGTTCCCAAAGAGTCACTTCGCCCGCCGGGGCAACTTGGGGCAACTTGGGGGAGCTTGGGGGAGCTTGGGGGAGCTTGGGGCAGCTCGTTGTGGCACATGCACATTGTGGAACAAGCACGCTAGCCTTATCTGGCCTTAATGGCCCCTCGGCACGAGCAGATCCGTTACCACCCGCCCAGCACTCGCGAACCGCCCCTTATTGACTGTCTGTGGGCATGGGCCGATGCGAACCACCACCTGTGTGAACACCCCCACCGTTCGAGGGTTTGAATTGGCAGCGTCGCCGACGCACATGTTGATGTTCAAAATTCTAAGCCCGTCTTGAAGCCCTGAAGACCATTCATCCTTGTGGACCTCCCCACCCCGCCCCCGCCCCGGCTACGCATTTTGCAGGAACCCCATGTCTTCTTCTTGCATTGCTTGCGGGAGAGCCAAGCTCCTCCCAAACAACCATCGTAACCAATGAAGGCTTCAAAAACTAGACGTAGAGAGCTTGCGCATCTACAAGAATGCTGGGGCACGTGCGTGTCGAGAATGCCTAGGCCCAAGCCGCGCAGTGACCGTTGCAACTTTCCAGTCAAAGTCCCCCCAAAAAGCGTAAAGCATATGGCAGTTTCCGATACTAGGGGCAGCTTATTGGATCCTACTATTTGAGGGGTCGATTATAGGGTTCCCCTATTTTTCGTCAACCCCCCTATGGCAGCTTCTCAGGGCGCTGCTAGCCGCCGGCATGACTGCTGCAGCCGAAGCAAGCCTTCCACGTGCGAGCGCCCAAAACCACAGGATCCACTTAAGATCCACGGCTTGTTTCATGCAGCCCTAAACCAAAAACCCTAAACCCTAAACCCTAAACCCCAAGCCCTAAACCCCAAGCCCTAAACCCTAACCCCTGAAACCCTTCCCTGTGCAACTTTGCTACCTGGCCTCTCGTTCGTGGTCGCAGGTGCCGACCCAGGTCGTGGCAGTGCCTCGATGGCGCCTGACATCGGCGGACGATCGAAGCTGAGGCCTAACAACTGCTTCGCAGTGTGCCTCGAACACTGGAGACATCGTCCTTCACCAACGGCTTGCTGAAAGTGGGTTTAGGGTTTAGGGTTTAGGGTTTAGGGTTTAGGGTTTAGGGTTTAGGGTTTAGGGTTTAGTCGCTCACTCTCGCAACAGGCAAGCAAGGTTCGTTGGTCTGAGTAGGTACTAAGGACTACGGGAGCTCATGCCAAGCAGTCGTGGGCCCAAAGGAGAAACCGCACACAAACAAGACCCCCCCTAAGCCCCTCTAGGCCCAACCACAACGTCGCGCATCAGCTCCCCAGCGACAAGAAATCTGTAGAACTACATGCGTCTCTTTGGACCAAACACTCCGGCGACTCAGTTGGGCAAACATCACAACAAACCGCAAGAACTAAAACCCACCTCCAAACAGTGGCCAACCCATGTCACCATCATGTTTAGGGCTTAGGGTTTAGGGTTTAAGGTTCATGGCGCAGAAATGGAAACAACTTGGTTGGCACTGCGTGCTCTTGCCTCTGCAGGCCGACGCATGTCAGCTTTGCTGCCGGTGGCAGGTCGGCAGTAGCTCGTCTGCCTCACCCTCGGTGATTCGAAAACAGACACAACACTTCCGTGTACGTGCTCGCATCTCAGAAATGTGCAGCTGTTGCTGGCCCTCTCCCTGGTCATAGCCTCACAGCGACTCGGTCTGAAAGTGCAATGCTCAAATGATGACCACAAGCATCGCTTAGCGTGGGTCGGACGAAGTGCATCTTCATCTCACCAAGAAGGACCTGCAAACTTCTGCCACTGCTTGTGCGTGGGTGCAAGAAGTCCCGGCCTCGCAAGTAGCTTCAGCGGCAAACAAGAAGGATTTGTGAGCTATGTAGCTGTCATACAACAGTTTGCCGCCCTCCTGCACGACCTGGTCACAGGCAAGCCATAACATATCAACATGCCAAACCTCACGCCAAGAATCTGCTCCAGATATCAAGCAATGTCAGCAGCATCAGCACCTGGTCGATCACAAGGTGGGCAACATTCTCAGCAGCGGAAAATGGGTCGAGATGATCTTCATCTTCGCCCATCCCGGTCCTTCCAAGAGTGACGCATGCATACTTGCACCTGTACCTGTTTACAACCACTTGCAATCCTACATTCCGTTTAATTCCTTTACGTGTACATGCACAATACGTGGAATATTCGTCCAGTGCTTCGATTACATACCTTGCTGAGACCGCATGCATTGCGTTGCACACATGCTGCAGGCAGAACATGCGCTTGCATGAGCTGCATACATTAACATACAAGGCAAGCAAGCAAGCACGCATACCATTCCAGCACGTGACAAATCATCATCACGGATGCATGTGTTCATGAGAGCTGAAGGGCTAGAATTAATTACTCCTCTCATGGCCTTTTATCACTAACGGAACCTTGCCTTCGCATTGCCTTCCCTCATATTAGATAAGCGCAGATTTACAGTCCACACGCCTTGCCTTTGCATTTAATGTGCGTTCCACTTCATTTACATGTACAGCACATTCGCATTGCATTGAATCCACATGCACTTCACATTTGCAAGCGCATTATTGGTACAGTGAGCCGATGTACATGCATTGCAAAAATTGCATGGACGCAATGTAACCGTAACATGCATGCGATCTGTATTGCAGGAGTGCATGCCATGTGAACGTGAATATGACAATCAGTGCCAGCCCACCATGTCAAGCATGAAGCATGACAAAACACCGGTTGGTTTTTCTTCAACAAACCCCGCTTAAGCAAGCATGTCCTGTTTGCGAATGTGTCTACAGAAAGAGGTGGTACAAGACTTAAGGACCATACCGTTAGGTTGCTCAAAACGATCACGCAATGCAAATTCGGATGCACATGCACAGGCACAGGCAGATACAAAACCAATGCATATGCAACGCAGAAATACGCACAAACTACAGCTACTGCAGTTCTGCCAACATTGTGCAGATGGGTGACCGCCTGGAACTCCTTCCTGTTAGATCTCTCATACACCCCCATCGGCCTGACCCCTGCCCCACTGTCACTTACACCTCCAGCCTCTTGATGCTGCTAAGGCTGCTCCCCCTCATGTTCTTCTCCCCTCCTCTCTCTTCTATATCTTCTTTATCTTTCGTCATCATTTTCTTGTTATTCTTCTATTTCTTCTGATCCTCCTTCTTCTTCTTATTCTTATTCTTATTCTTCTGCTTCTGCTTCTGCTTCTGCTTCTGCTTCTGCTTCTTCTTCTTCTTCTGCTTCTGCTTCTTCTGCTTCTTCTGCTTCTTCTGCTTCTTCTGCTTCTTCTGCTTCTTCTGCTTCTTCTGCTTCTTCTGCTTCTTCTGCTTCTTCTGCTTCTTCTGCTTCTTCTGCTTCTTCTGCTTCTGCTGCTGGGCTTGAGGGACGAAGGAAATTGACCCCTATCTTCCCACTCCACCGACCCACCCTTGCCATCCTTCATTCTCCCTGTGCTCGGGCACGTATGTGAGCATGCCCTGCCACAGCTTGCTGGGTTTGTCGTCTATACCCCCACACAATGATGCCTTACTGGTGACACGCTCTCTCTCTCTCTCTCTCTCTCTCTCTCCACCACTCTCTCTCTCTCTCTCTCTTTCTGCCCTCCCCTGTTGACCAAAGCCCACATACATCACTCGATGCTGGAGGTGACCGAGTCCTTCACATCGGCCATGCGCAGTCGCTTCTGAGGAGCCCACGCTTGAGAATCAGCAAAAAAAGGTTTAGGGTTTAGGGTTTAGGGTTTAGGGTTTAGGGTTTAGGGTTTAGGGTTTAGAGTTTAGGGTTTAGGGTTTAGGGTTTAGGGTTTAGGGTTTAGGGTTTAGGGTTTAGGGTGCAAGGTCCGATTCGGCAGACTCAGCACACGCCCATTGATGGATCCCGGATGTTCAGTCAGGAGGTCCAAGGCGGAAAGCAACATCAAACAGAGCGTAGCATAAATTTACCGTTTATGACAGCGCACGAGCTGACATTGAATGACTGCCTCACAGATTCCTTGGCGCTTTGCCCCTGTTGTGCTGGCACATGTTGCCTGACACTCCGCGTTTCACTTAATTTGCACGGAATGGTACTAGAAAGTCTTCTGGACAACGTCACCGAGCATAATTTTCAGTGCCATGCGTTGTGTTCGAAATCCTGGTGCCGCACTCACTTTACATACATGCTGCGACATAGCTATGAGTATGAGCATTCGGGAGCCACATAATCCAGTACGTACAGACTACATGCCGTCACATAGCAGTGCCCTTCACACAGAGTAATGCGTGCGACACCGCTACACTCACACGACATACTGAAAGGCATTGGCTAAGGTCAGGCTGCTCGTGTTCATCTGTGGTGCGTGAAGCCTGGAGATTGGTGTAACAAGCACAAGGCTGCAACACAAACCCGTTGAAAGCAGTGGACCTCACCTGGCCTGATTCCTCTAGCCTTAGCCGATCCTTTTTTTTGGACGAGCCCTTTCACAGCAGGGGTTTGTACCATTCCCCTATGTCGGCAAACAGCGTTACACGCGCTGAGGATGCGCGTTTAGAGCTGCTAAAGCTGCACTCACCTGCATCATATCCAAAAAAAGCCCAGCTCAAAGTGTGTAGAGTTGCGGCGCTCCAACTCCCTTTCTGCATCCATCAAGATTGGCTGCGCTGACACCAAGACAGGTGGAAGAGTCGAGGCCCAATGCCACTGTGCTTTGCAAGGCCTACCGCTCGGCATCATACTCTTGCCGCTTTGCTGGATCACTCAGAACGCTGTAAGCCTCGCAAGGGTGGTAATGCTAATTTAGACAGCATCCGTGGAATCTTGTCTGATGGCCACATGGTAGAGGCAGCAGCAGGGTATATATTTATATATACATATATTGTCATACTTTGAATCGTATCTATGAATGTTTATCAATTTTGGAACCCAAACAAACTGCGGATTTTCATGTAAAAAAATACAACATTACCTGATTTGGGCTAACGTCGCTGAAGCTGGCCTTGTTGAGCTTGTGGAATGTCTCTGGATCGCCACCCTTCTCCGGATGCGCTGTCAATACCTTCGCTCGAGGTCGGCAGGGGACTCAGGGGACACCTTATCGGGCCCGTGGGGCTTCGAAACCGAACTGCTGTTTGAGTTCCAGGCAAGGGCGCGGAATCGGGTTCGGATCTGCCAGATAAACTTGTAAGTGGATAGTAAGAATGTTTGCTGTACTGTCTGGCTGGTTTTGCAGCGCCGTCCTCTTGTAGAGAAGCTGTTGCGCTCACTCCAAGCAGTGCATAGTAGTCCTTGTCGACACTACCATGCCAACACACGTTCATACTCCAAGCATCAGGTGCCGAAACAAGGGCCTGCTCACTGACGGCTTTGCTGCCGCTTTCCTTCCTGAGCCAGTTGTTGTGGACAGGCCTCTGCTTTCGGACTGCTGCGGCACGTGCTGGTCACGCGCCTGGCGGCCGAGCCTGTTAAGCAGGCTCAATGGCTACCAAGCACAGCATTCAAAAGCAAAGGGCGCGCTCCATCGCCTGATGTTCCGCCGCTGGAGCCCAAGCGGGTGCCATCTGAGAATGGCCAAGCGATGCATGCAAAAAAGGATCATCACCCTGTTGACAAATCCTGTCCTGGATTGACATCTATGACCTCCTCGTCATCATCGTCCTTCAAAGCAACCGACAGCGACCCCTCATTACATCCAGTTCTTGCAGAACCTCTTGAGGTGGCGGTGGTCCATCCTGCCTTGCACAGTCGCAGCCGCCACAAGCTCAGGATTGAGGCTGCAAGAGACAACTGGAAGCGCCTTCTGGTGAACATCACTCCACCGTCCGGGCCCAAGGTCTTCTGCCATTCTTCCTACACAGCTGACATAGCTAGATGCCACGAGTGCGTAACAGAAGCCATAGCTTGGCAGGCAGCAAGCCGGCAAGCCAAAAAATGCAGGAGTGCAGAGGCGATTTTCGAAAAGGACCAGTGCGCGGCCGAATGCGAAGACTCCAGGTCAAGAAAACCAACAGTGGCCGTGGATCAAGAAAATGCCAACATCGCATCTGGCAGCATCCACATCACGAGACATCAAGTGCTGGTGACCTAGAGGGATTCAGGTAGGAGCGAAGGGAGAAAGGGGGAAAGAAACTGGAAACAGGAGTGGAAGCTGGCAGCGGCGCTTGGGATACGGGTCTTGCCCACACGAGGAGTCAATCCACGAAGGCCGGGCAGCCATTGGAAGCAGCCGCAACAATATGGCAAAAACTCCGAAGAGAGGATGAAGGGCCGGACTCCTGTACCAAGAAACGCACCTGCTCAGATGCGTTGGCCATGTTGATCGAATTCGCAAAGACGGCCGCACAACCCCGCAGTCTCCAAACGTTCCACAGCCATACTCCAGGAACAGTTAGAATGACATGCAAGCGTGCTGGCTGACAGACTTGCTCGGGTACGTGGCAGAGGAGGGAAGGACTAAGCCTTTTCAGACTTGAAGTGCCTACGTTGAGAAGGCTTGCGTCGCAAATTGCAGCTTGCAAAGAGCAGCAGAGTGAGCGATAGCAGCAGAAAAGCAGCAGCAGCAGCAGCAGAGCAAGCAATAGCCGCAGCAGATGTTGAGCAATAGCAGCAGAAAAGCAGCAGCAAAGAGAACCAAGCCAACAGATTTTAATCCAGCACCTGCCTTGCTGTCCAGTAGATCTAGCTCCTCCTCAGTCAAAATGGGCTTCGAAACGATGCCCTTTATCTTGCTCAGCGCGCTGTAGAAGTCATCCTGCAGGGGCTCAAACATGCTAGACGCCGTCGCAACATCAGTCAGACGCTCCTTTTCATCCGTCATCCAGTGATGAATCATTTCGTTGATCTCCTGATCTGATGACCATGCGATATTCAATGTGCAAACTCTTACAGCCTTACAGCTGACATTTCCCCCACCCATGCGGGCCCCAATGCATTTCGGGAGCCTCTCGCAAATGATGTCCGCAGAGCTTCAGCTCTCGGCCTGGCACAAAGCTCAGCGGATAGTCCTGGCCAGCAAGGTCAACCTGAACAGCTGCTGAGTACTTAGCTCTTGTACACTTTGCGGTGTGATTATACGACTCCGAATTATTTGTGTATATGATTATGCTTGTAGGTGTATGAGCTGAGTAGCTGCTGAGTTAGCTGCTGAGTAGCTTTCAAACCCTAAACCCTAAACCAGTCCCTTCTGAAACCGTATACCCTAAGGATCCATGCAGCTGCTGAGTAGCTGTTGAGTAGCTTTCAATCCCAGTCCGGAAGGCCCAGAAGCTGCAAAGCTTCCTTCATCCCATTGTAGCTGCGTGAGACCATGGCGCTGATGGCCTGCGCTTCACTGCCAAAACTGCGGGCGGCTCCTTGGGTCTAGGGTCGAGGGTTTAGGGTTTAGGGTTTAGGGTTTACCTTATCCCGGGCGCGCATGTGCTTAGGCCATGCAGGCTTTGAGGTTTCACCGGGACAAAAACAAAACTGAAGTAGGTTCCGGAGTCGCGAACATGTACAGAAGAACACATTTCTGGGCAGATTATGGCCGAAACCACTTCAAAACCAAATGCAAAAAACACAATAAAACAAAATGAAGCACCACCAAAACAGCCACAATCTTTTAGCCCTGCCGAATGTTTGGCTTCTGTATAGTTTTCTGGCACCTTCAATTGTTTGGAAATCGCCCTGTGCACCGGAAGCTTGTCCGAAAGAGTCGGGCTGATGTTGAGATTGCAAGCTTGGGCACAGCGTTGATTTCGTGAGAGGCGTTCAGGAGACCTGTGTGAGAGTACCATCGCACGCTTTCCTTTGGTATGCAAAGGTACGGCATTTGGTCCTGAAGCATTGCTATTGCTGTCCCTCGCAGATGCTTCACAGAGGTGCATAACTTCTTTGTGCTCGTCGTGGACTCTCTTGGATACCACCGCGAACCGTTTAAACCTAAAACCACGCCCCAAGCACATTTTGCTCGTGCATGCAATGACGCATGCACACACTGTGGACGGCCGGTACCTGCTCACATGTGTCGTGGTCTGGCTGCGAAGAGCCAGCTTGGCGGGTGGGCGGCGGTGACCTCAAGCAGCGCACGTCAGGCGCAGGCAACATAAACAAGAATCACGGTGACGTTCGCCAAGGCCGCTGCTTCAAACTGCCTCCAAAGGAGAGGCCCTTCCTCTAATATCATTCTCCACTTGGAGGTTCATGGTACTTGTTAAATATAACTGTACTTATAACCCATAAGCCCCTTAAGTGCCCTAATATGGTTATAGGTACAGTTATAAGTTCAGTTATAATTGGTTCATAAGTACCATGAACCTCCAAGCAGACTACACCCAAAGACATTCCAAGTTCGACGACAAAAGCAACGGACACTCGGCAGCCCACTGCTGCGGCTGTGCCGGGTCTTTCTCACCCTTCTTCCATGAGAAGGCTGAGCTCCTACAGGGATCAGCAGCATTCCGGGTTTAGGGTTTAGGGTTTAGGGTTTAGGGTTTAGGGTTTAGGGTTTAGGGTTTAGGGTTTAGGGTTTAGGGTTTAGGGTTTAGGGTTTAGGGTCAGGGCATTGAAGACAAGTCCTGCCAGCTGGGTCTGCATAACCACCACGTCCAGCAGACTCAGCGGGCGAGATGGTATCAATTCTTCTCTGCTCAGCTTCTTGTGTGCTTTGTTGAGATGTCCGTTCTTCTGATGGCAAAAGCATAGCAAGAAGCTGCTATAGTCACTGCGGGTCTTGAAATGTCTTGAACAATAATTTTACAAGTCTTCAGAGCTCCCTGCTTCTTTTGAATCCATCCCCATACTCCGCGCTGCTCTCCTGCTCAAACACACTCGGCAATGCCACATGGTGGTCAACACCACTGACATGATGTAGCAAGCTCAACGCTAGATTGCTAGATCCTGGCAGCTTCCTCTTTGGACCTGGAAACACGGAGTCTAGTCTGGCTATGTCTGGCTGACCCTGTCATCTCCAGGCCTAGCAATCGTAGCCTGGCGTGCCTCTCAGGTCGTCTACACACGCACTTTGCTATGCAGATGCACTTCGACTTCAAAAATCATCAAGCATCTTCAAGAGATTCAGGAGCAATGCAAGACGCCTTCTCTCGCTCGTACTCTTCACGCCGAGCCTCATCCTGAACCGAGGCACAAGGAAGTAGCAGCGTCGACTCACAGCTGCTTTCCAACCTCCGCTGCTCTTCTGCGTGCATCAGCCAGGTCCTCGTGGCATGTCTGACTTCTGGACATCATCCACGTAGGCTTATTAGGGTTTTGGGTTTTGGGTTTCGGGCTTAGGCTTCTGTAGTAGGCCTACCCACAACCGCATACTAACGATCAAAGAGATCACGGCCAAGTGGAGGACGGGCCTCCTGCTTCCTGGTAAAGTTGTCGAAGCTCTCCTAGCAAGAACTGACTGGTACTGTGAATACCAGATGTCACAACATGGGCATTCCCAATCTAGAAGCACCCTTTTTATACCCGCCCAAATAGTATAGAATCCCTCCCTCTGAAAGGAACCCTCAAAAAAGAGTGCCCCTACTTTCGGGAACCCCCATATTTTGGCAAGTACTGAGTTGCAACGGTAACCGATCTGCTCCTTGGCACCCCCATCGTCTGCGGGCGGCTGCACCTGCGACAGCGCAACGCCCGGCCCCCCACTTTCCTCATGATATGGGGGGCTTACGCAACAAGGGACCCCCAATATCGACCGACATGTTTCTTTCGAGTCAGCACGAGGATGCAAGGCTTGTCTGGGCCCAACAAACCCGTCGTATGCCGTTGTGCCTGAATTGAAATACACCGTTCGCTTAAACCTTCAAAAACCGGTTTGCTTGCTAGGAAGCAGAGGGTGTTCAAGTCTACGAGAATCCAGCTTTCGAACGACAAGGTGACAAGGCCAGCCTTGAGCCTTGATGAGAAGGCCATGATGCTGGCAACGCGAGTTTTGGCTGTTTATTGCAAATTCGTCCAGCCCTGCCGGTTCTCAACAGTAGGCTGGAATTACTGGAGGCTAGAACCACTATGTGCAGAAAACTCCAGTGACTTTTAGATGGTTGTCAAAAGCCATGAGCAAAGCGGCTCGGATGTCACCGGTGCTGCTCACTTGCAGGCAAGGCGACAAAGCAATGTGCCAACGCATGTCAACACGTGCCAGTGCCTCTGGCTTAGCTTTAAGAATTCAAGGAAGCTATAGTAAGCTCTATTCGATCGAGGGAAAAACTAAAGCAGGATCAAAAAAATTAAGCGACCCGGGGCCAAAAAACATACAAACAGGATGGCCGGAGCCGCCCTCACACCCCAACTCCTCTCCTCATTCCTCCTACCCCACACACCACACTCATAGTGGTCGTCGTTTAGTCGTCGTCATCGTCGTCATCGCAGTATTCGTACAGTACTCGCACTGGTACTTGTACTGAAACGTAAGTAAGCCTTCTAGTACGCTGTGCGAGAACTAGTAGCACTAGTAGTCGTACTCGTAGTCTCGTAGTCGTGGACGTAGTCCTGGACATAGTCGCTGTTGTAGCGGTACGCCGTCGATGTAGTCAGGTTGTAGTCGACTAGTACTAGTAGCTGGATTTTCTTGTACCTTTTCTTAGCCTGATCTGATCTTTGTTGAGCCCTGTCCCGATCGATCATGCTTTGCACTGCGCTTGCTTTTTTTTGCCTTTCCTCTGTACATAACGGCTCTAGGGTGCACAAGGCGCTGACAGCCCATGCGTAGCTTCGAGCGCATGGCCATGCTTCTTCAGCTATGCCAAACGAGGAGCAACTCCGCCGTGGACGGCGGAGCTTCATTCACGGATTCACTTGAATCAAAAAACACCGGAAGGCGCATATCACTCAGCGATGGCCCTCCCGGCTTCACGCAATTTCATCGTTGGCGCGGCCCACGTCCGCGGCCAACTGGCAAGTCTGCCTGGTCCACCTTGGAGATGCTGGTGTAGGGTTTAGGGTTTAGGTTTTAGGTTTAGGGTTTAGGGTCTAGGGTTTAGGGTTTAGTCGCTCACTCTCGCACAAGGCCGGCAAGGTCCATGGGTCCGTTCATCAAACTATGCTACTCTGCGACTTGTGAAGAATTGCGTACCCAGTGGTCAATCAGGTCCAAGGAAAAGGCACACGCCAGGTATCAGTATACATCAACAGACCACACCGACCACATCGATACGCCTTCACTGTGAAACCACTTATGTAAGGGACTTCCTCAATGACCCGTATGGATGTCGACAAGGACAAACCTCGAGATACTAAGACCCACCCCCAAACCATCAAACAGGCGATCCCGGTTGCCCCTCACATCTCCTCGAAAGAACTAAAATGTACTATGTACAGCTCGCCGTCTCTTGTTATTCAACAAAACCCGACAGAGATAAGACCCATCCCCCCACCAGGACGTACAAGGGACGGGAGATAAGTGTCACTCTACTTCATGGGTTGTCATTCAAGGCTTAGAAGTTGGTTCTCGGCTTTGCAAGGTTACAGATGAAGTGAAACTGCCCTCTGGCTCATACCTGCACCTTCCTCCCATCTCTCTCATTCGGCTGCTCCCTCCTTTACGAACCTCAAGGGACTCCCCTCTGTTGTTGCATCACGTATCCATCTTCGCATGCAGGCCTCCAAAGGCTGTCTTGCCGTGTATTCAGGTGAATTCCATGCAGTAGGCCGCGGCAATCATGCAAGGGTTTAGGGTTTAGGGTTTAGGGTTTAGGGTTTAGGGTCTAGGGTTTAGGGTTTAGGGAACCTCAAGAAACCAGAAGTTGGGTGTACGGCGTGAACTCCTGCTGCGTCCGGAGTGGTGTTTCTGGCAGCCTCTGCAGGAAGCTTACGGCCCCAAAACAGCACATAAGCAGAAAATTGGACAGGGATATCTCATACAAACCCCCTTATAATGAAGCCCAAAAAGGTAGCGATTTCCCGATAAAATGCTTATGCTTATGTCCTTTTTGGGTCCCTCAAAGTTAACAGTTGCCGACTGCCACGGCTCCTGCGAGTCTGTACCACATCCCGTGCCTGGGACTGCTTCAGCAAAGCCTTGTAGTCTTCGAGATGAGTACTGACCATGCCTTTTGGCCTCGCACCAAGTCGAGGGCTTCTTGGGTTCTGCAGAGGAGATGACTGTTCTGAGGCTCAGGCACAGCACCAGTCTCCTTTAAAATGGTCTTGATGCGCTTTATGCAAAAGTAACCTCAACAAAAAGTCCGGAAGCACAAGGATTCTTCACATCACAGCATGCCGCAAGTGCAAGAATCTCAGGCGCCACGGGAGGCAATGCCCGACGCAGTTGGCCTGGCCAAAAATGTGCGGATCAGCGAATCCATGATTGAATGCCAAAGAAGTCCACGTCAGAGGCAAGTGGAAACAATTTTCAAGGTGCCGGAATCCGCCTTTGCATCAAATCAGGTCGCACGAGTTCAGGCCTGAGAGCCGGAATGGGGAACAATGAGAAAACTAGATGCTATCTAGCATTTTATGAGTTAGAAGGTCATCTAAACTTCCATGAGTTACGCAGGTAATCTAATCGACATGAGTCTAATCCTACATGAGTTATGAAGGTTCTCTAATCTTATATGGGTTCTGAAGGCTTGTTTTACGCACAAGGTGGGCATCGCATGCTTGAGCAAGGCACAGCTCGCCAGCAAGCTCCACTGTGGCTTGGGTCGAAGAGGACGAGCAACCTCAGAGGCCGCGTTCCGTATGCGAGCCCGGTACACCATGAGAACCCCATGACCTAGGGCACCCCGCGAAGTTGGTTAAGCACGGACAGCGCAGCCACCGCATAGTTCGTACTGCAAGCACGCAGCAGTACGATGGCAGAATGAGAGCACCCTTCTGTGCTGAATCAAATGATCGGATGCTGTGAGGACCTGTCTTAAGGCTTGGGCGCTCCATTGGTGGGGCCCACCATGGAAGGGTCGAAAGCACGCACATGGTCCTTGCAAGCTTTGAGCTACTGTCTGTCGAAGATGCTACGAGATCGGAGCCTGCGCTTCAGCCATGCTCTGCACGTCAGGGAAGAGGGGGTGCAGCCTAGGTTGCTGGCGTGTTTTCAGCGAGTTTGTGCATCCAGTCATCAGGTATCCTGCCCAGCTTTTGCGGAAAGGCTCGGGCGTCAAGGCCTCAAAGAATGAGACTCCAACCTTGCTGGTGCAAACTCGAGCATGGCGGAATGCGACAAGCATCAAGTTACCAAGTCGTTGCAGCACAGAATCTCTGGCATCCCTGGGTTTTAAGCAGCTGACGCACCAGAGGTCTGATGCCGCATAGTAGGTCTCCTTTACTTGCACCAAAAAAACACGACATGCGGCGTTTTTGTCCCCACCCTCGGCGTGAGGTCGGTGGGTTTTTTCTCATTCCCGGCTCCTGTGCTCCTCACCCGAGCCACCCAGCCCGGTCTCCTATTCCCTGCTAGGGTTTAGGGTTTAGGGTTCTTTTTAACAACCCCCCATGACCTCTTTTAGATGTTTAGGGTTTTAGGGTATTTAGGGTTTCCCACACCAGGGAAGCCCGCAGAGCATCCCTTGAGTACCCACCGAGGCATCCTGCAAGAGCACGAGCTGTGCAATTCTTTATACGCCTGTTAAAGGGCCTGCCTCAAGGAATATCCGGAAAAGCACTGCATCCCTGCCCACCCCTAGGTGTCGTACAAAGAATCTCTGGAAAGCAGCCTTACGCGGCAGTTTTTCTCTCTAGGGGCTCTACTGTCTGTTTGTGTGGCGGTTCTCCTCTTGCGCCTCTTCAAGCGTATGGATTTTTTCGTCTTTCAGTATGAACCCTTATGAACATTGGCTTGTGTCTGCGCATGCCCAGATGCGAGTAGTCTGCACTAGGAACGCCGTTTATACGAGAGTTCGGCCTTGGACTTCCATTTCAGAGGCTATTGACGGAACTCTTTCCGTGCTTACCAGCACATTCACTGAGCCACCTCCTGAACAGTGATGTGCAACACTGTTCTTGCCGAATTTGCGATCGTTGATTCCAGCCGCATTGCCTTTGAAAGAGCTGTTGAAAGCGATGTTCCTGCCTGTGGATTCTAAGATGCACTGCATTGGTTCCAAGTTCAAGGATTTCCGGGACATCAGATTCAAGCACCTGAACCTTACTGTTGGGCTTTTTGTATCGGTCTGACGGGAACAAATCGGGACCCTTTGCGCTGGACGAGCAATACGAGCAGCAGCTTGCACTTTGTCCCTCAGGTCGTCTCAGGGGGGGCGCGCGTGGGTCGGTCTCTGTGTCTGCGTCTGCGTCTGCGTCTGCGTCTGCGTCTGCGTCTGGGTCTGGGTCTGGGCCTGGGCCTGGGTCTCTTTCAGCTTCCGATAAGGTGCAGGGCTCGACTTGGATGCCAATGACATGGCAGGCAGTTATTTTCGGGCATTTGGTTCGCCATTGGACTGTTTTCCCCACATCATTGTGTGGGGTTCTTGTCAGTGCTGGTGCAGACTGGCGCTGCGTACACCACAAGCCCTGCGAGTGTAACCTGTGCGTGTAACCTGCGCGCGCAACCTGGCTCCTAGGGGCCCTGGACATCATTTGCACGTTTCGCTGTGGTCCCCGAATTCGGACGCTGCTCGCAGATAACTGTGCCACCTGAATTCTGCACTGTATGCCAAACCCTGACAATCCCTCGCACATACTGTGGCCCGTTGCTGATGATGGCACCTTAACAACCCATTCCAGGGCTCAGAGGAGATGTTCGTAGGTCTCCGGGGTGCAGGTGGACTACAATCAGACTTGAGTAAGGATTGTGCAGCAATTCCTTTCCATCCGTCCTGCAGGAGCGCTTCAGGGCTTGCGTATGATGGACCTTCTGCTGAAGCAACAGCTGAAGCACAGACTTGCACATGAACTTCGCGAGATTGGGCCAGACTGATGTGGCACTGCCGCAGGGTATACGTGTGGCTGCGGTGGATACAGAGAAGGTCGTCCATCACACTTTCAACTCACTCAAGGGCAGGGGCTCGTCACGGGCGCAACAACTTTGGCATGCGGATTCGGGAAAGGCCTGAGCAGCCAAACGGCAAAAGGTATCCACAGACAGCTCTTGCATTCGCAAACTCAGAGCGCTGCCCAGTCCCAGGAAGAAGCATGGCGCTGCCAAGGTCACCAATCTGCATGGGTGGAGGATCGAAAAAACTAGCATGGATCGAAAATAAATGTAAGACCAGAAGATCAAAAATAGCGCGGCCCCCCACGCTCCGATTTGGCAAGGGTGCGTATGGTTTTTGATGGCGTGAAATTCTTCGAAGCAAGCTTGCACTGCTTGAAATGAGCTCGGGGGTTGGGGCACCGCGGGGGGGGGCGGGGGAGGGACAGTCCTGCCCCCCCCCCCCCCCCGCATAATTTGCAAACACAATGCTCTCATGATGGATTTGGCAAGGGTTCTTGTGGTTGTGAAAAGAGTTTGGGGTATGATGGGTTGGGAAGGATTTACGCGGTGGCTTTGGATATACAATATACATTTCTGTCGTTATTTCCTTACTGTCTGCATTTCTTTCTGTTTCTTCTGTCGCTACATGTCTACCTTTATGTCACTGCTTATGTATTTCCTTATTTCCTTGTCTTTCGTTGCTTCTGTATTTACTCGTTGTGCTATTTCTTTATACAGTGCTTGCTGAATCTTCTTATTTCGCTCTCTTTTCGTTGTTCTTTCTCTAATTCGTTATACATATCTTCCTTCCGTCCTTCTTTCTTTCTGAGACTATTTTTGTTTTGTCGCATTCTCTCTTTCTTTCGATATATCTTCTTCCGCTCGTTCTGTCTCTGTTTCTTTGTCATTTCTGTTTGTGTCTTTCTCTCTCTTTCTTCCTTCGATTCCCAGGCGGTGCTTACCCTCCCTCGCCTTCTTTCTCTGCAATATTTCAGAGGCTTAATGGTTTGATCATCTCTATGTTGCTTTCGATCCTCTATTCCCCAAACAGTTTTCTGTAGGGGGTCCTTGCCGCCCCTGGGCTGCTTGGCTCTGCTTGTCTTCCATTCTTGGCCTAAACCCTAAAACCCTAAAACCCTAAAACCCTAAACCCTAAACCCTAAACCCTAAACCCTAAACCCTAAACCCTAAACCCTAGACCCTAGACCCTAAACCCTAAACCCTAAACCCTAAACCCTAACCCCAAACTCTAAACCCTAAACCGGTGTTTCTCGCTTGTCCGGCTTCCTGCAGCCGGTCTCGGCCGGGTCCTGACCCCTTGGTTTTTGTTCGCTGATCCTTTTTCCTCGCCTTTGTTACCCACATGGGTCATGTTACAATGAGTCTTCCTCGGCGGTGCTTTTTGTTGCTGACCAGTCTAACTGCGAACTATTCCTGCTCGGATCTGACTGTATCCCACGGAGTGACTGGCTCGGATGGAGTTGCCGGGAGGCCTGAAGAAGCCGACCGTCTTCTGCAATGAGCAGATTTCCTGGCTTGATGTCGCGGTGAATGACCTGAGAGAGTATCTCACGCAGATTCTACACAAAAGTTCATGACATCTGTGTCTAAGTCTGTTGAGTCAAACCCATTACGCCCAAAAAACTGCTATCAACTAGTATGTTATTTGACTTTAACTTGCAGGGCCAGTGTGCTCCTCGCCAGTGCAGGTATGCAAGTCCATGGAGGGTTTGCACATACCTGGCATCACAGCGAAGGTGCTTCGACATCAGAGGGTTTTGCAGAAGCCGCGCCAATCCGCGACGAGCTCATCGGAATGCTGTACTTCCTCTGATTCTGCTCCTCCAAGCTTCGCGCAACTGGTGCAAGAGTTGCAGAAGCGAAGGCCGCAAGGAGGTCCTCTTGCCGCTTCGATTCTCTGCTGCATGCTGCCGCCATCCTAAGCCCCGTACACTTACGTCCTACCGAGGATCGTAGCACATCATTACTATGATTATTCTTTTTTTTACTACTACTATTATGATTACTATTATTACTATTATTATTACTACTATTATTATTACTACGATAATTATTATTACTACCAGCATGACGGTTGAGATGGAGAAGCACAGTCAAGGCCCTCACCAGCAAGGGCATCACGACGTAGCGCCTCGAGAGCACTGCGCCCTATTAGGGAGCTTTACGAAAGTAGGGGGGGCCCTATAGTAGACCCCCAAATAATCGGATCCCCTTATAGTAAGAAAATAGGGGGCCCTTAATATGAACCCCCCAAGTAGGAGTCCGTTTATAGTAAGGACCCCCAATAAGGTTGCCCGATAGGGGACCCCGATATTTTTAGTAGGATCCCCTTATAATGAGGACCCCCAATAAGGTGCCCCCGATGACTCGTGAGCCCCCGTATAAGGAGCTTGCCTTCGCAACCTAAGGCAACTGAGGGTCTCGCAGTTGCTCCGTGCGATTCTCCCAGGTGTCCAAGGTAAACACCACTGTCGGCCAACCTCCGCGTTCTTTGCTGCTGCGACTCATTCTTACTATTATTCTTATTACTGATATTGTTAGTATTACCATTATTATCATTACTATGATTATTCTTATTATTACTACTATTATTATTAAATTACGATTATTACTATTACTTTAATTATTCGTATTATTACTACTATTATTATTACGATTATTATTATTACTACTACCATTATGATTACCATGACCATTAGTACTACTTACTATTATTATTACTGTTATTATTTTTATTTCAGGGTTCTAAGACTTCCCACACAGGCTTGGGTCCGGTAGTAGGGGGGGGGAGGGCCCGCTGGTCGCCCACTTTACTCCAAACTTCTAGAAAGGCAGCTGGCGGCTCCGCTGCTTCCGCTACCCTTCTTTGCTTCTTGGGGAAGAGACGATGGGAGTGTCGGCTCTGAGGTTCAGACTCAGCTCACGGAGAAGCCTGGCCAAGCTGCCGCGGCATGCCGCTGCATTGCTCACCACGGCGCTCGCAACAGACATATACACACAGGCAGTCGGACACGTGCATGACTTGTTCCGACACCGCTCCGAGGTGCTGGAGGGGCACAGCAGGGGTTTAGCTGTGGACATGCCCTCAACAGGCAATGTGTAAGTCCATCACTTCAGCTCCCGCTCAATCTCTTCGTTGGCGTTCTTGAGACGTCGCCTTAGCAAGACAGAAGACTGCAACTCAATAGCTGTGCCAATCAGCAAGCGCTGGGCATGTTGATCTCCTTCAAGGCAATGGTCTCATTGTCACGCAGACGCTTGGCCTTGGATGTCGCCATCACTAGGCCCAACGTGATGTGTGTAGCCGCGTAAGGTAGGTGTAGCTGCCGAGCCGCCTTGTGCACGCAAGCTGTTGCACCACGGCCCAGCATGTCCTCGCCACCATCAGAACGCGCCGTGATACACCCGAGGAGCATTTCCTACTGTGCCCTGACCATTCGCGATTTGCCAAATGTGCTTCGCGAAAGAGCCAAAGGCAAGCCAAGGCCAACGAGAGATCCGCCCTGTCAGCAGTTTCGTATCGAGGGGTGAGCGGAGGCGGTGCTGAACTTAAACTCCAGCCCGTAGTTGCTACGTACCGCTACGGACGGACGTACCGTTCACGAATGCCACGGCAAAGGCAGATCCTGACTTTGGAACGACGGCCTCTCTTCAGCAGATGTGCCACAGAGTGATGGCGTTCGGCCATGGACTTCGGTTGGCGTCTGCCAACACAACCGAAGACTCTGAAGGTCCATCAGCGGCAGGATTTGGGGACTTCTTCAGTGTCAGGGGAGGAACTGATTTCGGAAAGAGGATGGAGGAAGAACGGGAGAAATGAGCCCAATCAGCCCACACTCTGAAGTTCAGTTGCATCTCGCAGTGCTTTCATGAGAACATCTCCCGACCTTGCTTGCGCCATAGGGTTCCTACGGCCCTTGTCAAAGGACAGTTTCGTTGTCGAGAATGCTCTCCACCACAGCTTTAACTTCGGGACTGCGCTCCAGACGGCCAATTGGCCCGGGCCAACGGATGTCACCCGAAACCCTAAACCCTAAACCCTTTTTTTCCATCTGGGCTGGGTGGGGAATGCCAGAAAAAGGCAGCTGCTTGTAAAAACCCTAAACCCCAAACCCCAATCCCCTGTTTTCCAGGGCTCTTGTTGTCTCTAACCCTAAACCCTGAACCCTGAACCCTGAACCCTGAACCCTAAACCCTAAGCACAGGGAACCTGTCACTTGATATCGTGGGTCGCAACGCAGCATTTCACCATGGAGCCTGATCAACCTAACACGAGAAAATCGGGGTGAATGCGAAACATGCGAAACCAACCTTCAAGCGTCTTCGTCTGAGACTCCACAGCGCGGTTTCGGGCGACCATTTCCAAGCAAAAACAAGACTCGCTCGAGTCACAATTTCGTAGGGTGTTTGGGATGGCCGGGCTCCGAGCTTCGAAATGCTTCATTTCTGAAGCCAGCTGCAGTTGCTCAACTCACGTTTGGTGTCCGCATCCGCTTCCAAGCAGGATCGATGTGTGCCTTTGCGTTTTGGGGTGCCTTGGTGTAGTGGCCCCCTTGGACTTCAGCGTCCAGCGCTACGGATGCCGTTCAGCATGGCCGGGCTCACGGACTTCGTGCACTTCAGAAAGTGAGTGGCGTGGCATAAACATAGAACTTTGTGGAGACTCCGGGAAACAGGCCTCCTAAATATCACCGTGACATGGGGGAAAGCGCTTCTGCACTCAAAAGTTGGTGAGGGATGAACATCCTCGAAAGTATACTCAAGCTAAACAAGTAGTGGGAGTTCACAGCAACGATTCAATCCAAAGCCGGCCGCGTCAGTCCAGCAGCAAATACTCCTCCAATCGGCGTTGCACAGCTTCTGAAATGACCTTGATCACAAGTAGAACGGCATTCCGTCCAATCCCGAACGTTGCGAGGAACAGAAAAGGTGAGCAAAACCATTAAAGCCAACAAATCCGACCACCAGCCCAGTCTCTACACTCACGGCCATTGATACGCACTCACACACATACTCTCACACCCACACCCACACACACGCCCACTCACTACCCGATTACTGCAGATGTTCGGAGGCTCTAGCTTTGGACAAACTGTCGAGCGAGAGAGGATGGATCAGGTAGTCGCAAATGCCTGTCGGCACTCATCACAAAGTCTGTTGGCCTGTTGGCTCATTCTGCGCTCAAGTAGGGGTTTGGGGTTTAGGGTTTAGGGTTAAGGGTTAAGGGTTTACGGTTTAGGGGCCGCCTTGCCTTTGGCTCGCAGCTTCTCTCGGATCTCTCCTTCACCGGATGCCAGGAGTTGACGGCCTTGGAGGCAACCGGGTTGTTTTCAACTCTTGTTGTTCATCCTCCTTACAGGAACCCACATGTTTCAGGGAATCCATCACGCGCAACAAGATGCGTCGCAAGACAATTCCTTGCTCGAGGCTTCTCGCGTGCCGAGGCTTTGCGGCTTCGCGTCTAAGTCTGGACCTGGGAGCCAAGCCCACCTCCTCAAACTCGTCTGCCTTGCGGCTGAAGGCATCAAGTATGCGAGGCGAGCCATGATCCGTTCTGTCAAGATTCCGGGGAAAAGCTGTGGAAGGATGTTTGGGCAAACAGCCCACACCCGTCAGCCGTTCAGCCAATAAGCCCTCAAAACGCAAAATCTTCGGCTTGAAAACCTACAAGCGCAACATCCACCAACCCATGGCTCAAACAGCCGATCGGCCGACAGCACCCAGACCCGAAGAGCAGAACCCAAAAGACCAAGAGAACAGGCTCTTTTTTGCCCCAGGCCTCGGTGATCAAAACGACGTACACACCTTGTTGCTGCCACTCCTCTGGCAGGCCTGCACAACCGGCTGGGCGCCACGCCGCCCTCCAGTCCTTTGAGCCGCTACTTGGAGGTTCATGGGTACATATGACCCCCAATTCGTCTCACTTATAACCTACTTAGAGGACTTAGGGGACTTAAGGGGGCTTATAAGTACAGTTATCCCTGAACCCTAAACGCTAAAATAATTGGGGTGTGTTAAGTACCCTGAACCTCCAAGTACTTCTGGGAAGCATCCACGGCCTCGCATGAGCCAGGCCATGCCCAGGAAAACGATCTGACTTGGCCTGGCATCGGTTTAGGGTTTAGGGTTTAGGGTTTAGGGGTTAGGGGTTAGGGGTTTGGGATTAGGGGTTAGGGTTTAGGGTGTAGGATGTAGGGTTTAGGGTTTAGGGTTTAGGGTGTAGGGTTTAGGGTTTGGGGTTTAGGGTTTGGGGTTTAGGGTTTAGGATTTAGGGTGGCATTCCTTGGGAATCAAGGCTTCGAGCCAGGTTTCTGCAGCTGTCTTTCCCCCTCCCTCAGCTTTGGCCTTTCGATCAATTGGTTTCCGGCACCCCTGCCAGTGGTGCAGAGCGCCTCGGGCATGTCCATGGCGGAGAACGGTTTCATTTTAGGGTTTAGGGTTTAGGGTTTAGGGTTTAGGGTTTAGGGTTTAGTGTTTAGGGTTTAGGGTTCCAGATGCCACTTTGCACATGCCATGGGATGTTTGGGATCGGGCTCTGCATCGCCAGTCGGGGAGATCGTCCCCGGGTCGACCGTCGAGCAGGTCCTTAGAGCTCGGGGTGCGTATCGTGCGACTGCAGCGATGCAAGTCTCCTTTTCTGGTGCGACAGCAGATTGGAAGAAGACCAAGGTCCACAACTATGTACATGCCACATCATGTGTCCTCAGCCTCTGACGGCCCCACCTGGCAGCCATAAAAATGAAGTGGCAGCACCTACAAACCTCCTGTGGACATCTGCGCATGGCGACACGCCTAGTTGTCTCGACCGACACGGAATTCTCATGTTTTAGAAGACAAGCCGGTGCTGCGGGCTGAGACCATGCTGTGGGCAGAGCCACGGGAGACCAAGGACACAACGCGCTGAATCGTCTCCTGCGAGGCCTCCGACAACTCCAACGCCATGACTGCCATTGCCATTGCTTGCTGCCATGTGGCACATCAACTCCAAGGTTCAGCAAGGCGTTTCAGAGATGGACCAGCTGATAAGTTAGGGTGCTTGTTCCCATGATTTCCCATGCACGCCCATGTCTCGGCATAGCGGCGTTGGAACACAGGAAGCAGCAAGAACATCACAAAACGCAGGAAGCAAACAAGGGGGGGGGGGGGGCATGACACCGACAAAATATCCTGTGTCTTTCATGAAGCAAATCAGTGGCGTTTATTATGCTTGCTTCCTTCTCTTCCTTCCCTTCCTTCCCTCCCCTTCCCTCCCCTTCCCTCCCCTTCCCCCTTCCCTTCCCCTTCCCTTCCCCTTCCCTCCCCTTCCCTCCCAGCCTCTTGTAAGGCCTCCATTGCCCGGGAGAAGCTGTGGAAGGTCTGGCACGGATACCTGTGCATTCGGATCATTAACTCGGGCATGAGGTTTAGAAAGGCGGCATAGTCTGATGCAGTCGCCAAGTCGCGTCAAGATCCTGCACAGCTCTTCGGCTTCTTCTCGCAGCTTCTGTCGCTTCTCTACCTGCCCGAAGCAAGCAAGCTCACGCGTGGCATGACGCATGCCTTTAGATCGGCCCTAAACCCTAAACCCTAAACCCTAACCCCTAAACCCCAAACAGTAAACCCTAAACCCTAAAGCCTAAACCCTAAAAGAAGCTGGCGCCACCACGAAAATCTCAGCCGGGAGCTGCGTGTCCGTTGAACCTAGGGGCGCGACAACATAAGCGTGCAGTGGCTTACTTACCATGCAACTCGGCTGATTTATCCCTTCCCCCTAATATTAAAACCCCCCCTGTACTGTACCCCCCAACATGTAAATACTCCTATTATAGTGATGCTATAGTATATGGGGGGGGGGTATGTAATATTAGGTGGTAGGGGGGGGGGGAGTTTAATATTCGGGGAGGCGATTGCCGACAACCACCCCTTGCCTCGCTCACGGCGCACGATCTTGCGAAAGCCGCGCAGGAGTTCTCTTTCCTCTTCCTTGACCTACAATGCACCATGAGGCGATTCTTTGGGGGTTTAGGGTTTAGGGTTTCTTGCTTAGGGTTTTTTTTGGCACCCGACTAGCCACAGCAAAGCGGGGTTACATGGTTGGTCTCGGAAAAAGGCAAAAGGAAACCTCCTCCAGGGATCTGAGAGCACATTCCCTACCCAGAGGATTCTCGCCCAAGGCATTCAGAGGAGGAAATGCTTAGGGTTTAGGGTTTAGGGTTTAGGGTTTAGGGTTTAGGGTTTAGGGTTTAGGGTTTAGGGTTTAGGGTTTAGGGTTTAGGGTTTAGGGTTGAGGGTTGAGGGTTGAGGGTTGAGGGTTGAGGGTTGAGGGTTGAGGGTTGAGGGTTGAGGGTTGAGGGTTGAGGGTTGAGGGTTCAGGGTTCAGGGTTTAGGGTTTAGGGGTTTGGGTTTAGGGTTCAGGGTTCAGGGTTTAGGGTTTAGGGTTTAGGGCTCCTTGGCTTGAAAACCCAAGCATCTCGTGTGAGTCTCCTTTGGTTTAGCCTCCGGTCTAGGGCGGCAGAGACGAAAGCGAACAGTTGTCTAGAAAAGCAAGCGTTCATATCACATAATATTCTCGTAGCTGCTGTAACACCTTCTTATTCGTGGCGTGCTGATTGTTCCCATGTTCCATCTCGATCCAGGACGAACGGCTTTCCGTCCGAGTCAGTTTGCAAGATACATGGGACATGTTGATGGGGGGGGGGGGCGGAGCGAAGGCTCCTCAGAGAAAAACACGATAACAATCCCCAACGCCATCACATTCACCACGCCCACCACCACCGCCAGTATCGTTGTGGCAGTCGTCGTTGTCGTAAACGCAAAACTTTGTACTTAGAGGTCGCCAGACTCATGCATACACCTTCACCGCTTGCGATAACAAAGTCATGCAAAGTCCACATACTGTCGAAATGGAGATGCACATGCGCTGAAGAACTACTATGCTACATTTACATGCCAATTTCAACTCAATAAACTGCGTAGATTGCCTCCTCATCTTCTTTCAAGGTCCTCTCTGCTGCCTGCAACCTGCCTGTGACAACATCCAGCAGCGCCTCGATTCACGCGCTCCACAGCACATGCTCAACTGAAAGCATTAGAAAGCTTGGAAGCGGACGCGCTGTTGGGCAAGAAGCTGTTTCTGCCACTCGTTTTGGGTTCGCAGGCACCTCACATGCTCTGATGGTGGCTCACGGCGTCCAGCCACGGCATACATGCTGCCGTACACTGAAGCACATGGGCGAAACTGGGGCACTGACTTGGATTTGAATGCGATCCGCATGGTTTGTTTGCCCTGGAAAATGGGACCGTCTCTCCTCTTCCTCTTCCTCTTCCTCTTCCTACCCCTTCTTCTTCTTCTTCTTCTTCTTCTTCTTCTTCTTCTTCGAGGGTGTGAGGGGTGAGAAGCGGCTCCCTCCCCCCTTTGAATATGAGCGCTCCCGAAAGCACCGGCATACGGGGCGTCCTAGACACCTCCCCCCCAAAAAAAGCTGCTCCTTCCACTCATGGCTCCGAGCCCCTCTGCTGAGGGGCAGGACATGACGGCACCCCTGTGAGAACGAAGCCGTGGCAACAAAAAAGACGGCAGAAGGCCAGGGTATATGCCGGAATCAACGGTGTTTTGCCGCTGTTTGCCCCTGATCCGGCTATGGGCGGCAGCGAAAATATTGGCTTCGTGAGCGGAACTGGCCTCATGCGGCGGCCGTTGACAGCAAGAGATTCAAGGGATGGCAATCGGATGAGTCTGCTGAGCCCCACGCACCCACTCCACCCGCACTTCTCTCACGGTTATTGGCGGACGTGGCTTCTGTGTCTGAGCTCCGGAAGGAAGGGACACGGTGCGCACTGGCATTCAGTAGGTTGCCTTTGCTGACCCAGTGTGGTGAGACTTGCGGAATTGGCTGCACTCACGCCATTGGTTGAACTTGGTTGAACATTTCATTGCGACCCTGAGCCTCACTGCCACGTGGAGTGATGCACAACTTTAGCATCTTCTGGAGTGCAACTGTTATGCTGCGCTTTCAGAAGCAATGGGCCCGCAGGAGAGCAGTGTACATGTAGTTGCTTGCATCCGCCGCCCGGGTGTTCGCTCCGGGTGCAAGCGGAGCCTTCAACCTGAGATCACTGAGCCTACTTCTCTGTAGTCTCTCTGCCTCTCTGCCTCTCTCCCTCTCTCCCTCTCTCCCTCTCTCCCTCTCTCCCTCTCTCCCTCTCTCCCCCTCTCTCCCTCTCTCCCTCTCTCTCCCTATCTCCCTCTCTCCCTCTCACGCGGGACGGACTCGGGCGTCGTGCGACGCTCCCGTTGGTCGAGAACTGTGATGCGGCGCTGTCATGCACGAATAGCCACGGCCTCTGTTCCACCGAGTTTCACCACTTCGGCACTGATCACTTCCTTCTCCTGGCTGTGAAGCCGACAAAACATCCGAAACATGAACTGGTCATGTACTGCTTGCAAGCTTTGGCATCTGCCTCACCCTCACCACCAGCGCCCGTGACCATTGCATCACAATATGAATGGTAAGTCATGGCCTCAGGTGAGCTTATGTCGAAGCTGCGGCGACATGAACTACAGCAACAAACTAGCAGTACTTTAGCCGCAAGACATAGTGCACACATCTCGTGCCAATGTTGCTGAGCTCCTTGCAGAGGCATTGTCATCTTCGGGGTGGTTTGAAACCAGCCTGTGCACTCCGCAGCGCAACGGCAGCCCAACGGGTAACGACACGGAAATCGATTTCGACCCACAACACCGCGGAGTTCACCTGCCAAAGTCGTTGTCCAACTTGAGGTCCAGGACAACGTCACCACCACCTGCTACCTCAAAGTGGGACGCGCATGCCAACACCAAGAATCCAAAAGGACGCGGATAGCATCGTTTCTGCATGCTAGCCACGCTGGCGGCACCGTTCCCCAGAGGCGAAGGAGGTGACACCGCCCCAATGCGCTGCTCCTGAAGGCACAGAATCATGCCCTGCCCAGCAAAGGAACTTCCGCACTGGTTTTGACTTCTTCGAGGCCTGGCCACCTTTGAGGACCACAATGAGAAACTCCAAGAAGGCAGGAGCAGCAATGTCCGTGTCCTTTCTTGCCGTGGCCTGGTAAGACGGACAAACAATTTGGGAGCCATGCTTCCAGCTTCCTGGTGTTCCCAGGCTTGCCTGTTTAGGGTTCAGGGTTTAGGGTTTAGGGTTTAGGATTTAGGATTTAGGGTTTAGAGTATAGGGTTTAGGGTTTAGGGTTTAGGGTTTAGGGTTTCGGGTTTCGGGTTTAGGGTTAGGGTTTAGGGTTTAGGGTTTGGGGTGTAGGGTTTAGGGTTTAGGGTTTTGGGTTGAGGGTTGAGGGTTTAGGGCAGGGATCCCCGTGCTGCTGCATCAACCCTAAAACTGGGCCTGCTTGCGATTGAAATCCGTGAAGGAAGTGCAACTGAAGTCCGACTGAGATCGATCTTAGCGCGGCAGCGAGATGAGGATGCTTCAGGATGCTTCAGGATGCTTCAGGATGCTTCAGGATGCTTCAGGATGCTTCAGGTTTCTTGGCTCTCGCTTGTGTTGCCACGACAAAGCCAGGGCTAGGAGCATCACCAGAGTCAGCGTAAGGACCGGGACCCGGACTGAAGCCGGAACGAGCCTCGATAGGGCTTCCGGGCGACGCGGCCTCAACAGGGCAGATGCCTTCTGGGGCTGAACATGAAAGCGCAATGGAGTGTCACATGCAACAGTGCCTAGTGCGAGGAGACATCGCAAGACATTGCTCAAGGATCGGGCCCGCGGAGAATCTGTTGCATCGAACCTGACCCTCGAGTTTGTCCGATTGCGGAGCAGGCCTTCCGAAGCAATATGAGGCAAGTCTTGTGGGAATCTGTGCAAGGGCCCTGAGCAACTGGCTCGGTTTGCTCATCTGGCTAAAATTGGAGTCCTTCCTTCCATAGCCCGGCTGCCTGGGCGTAAGCTCACCGAACATCTGACTCGCATGCAATGCCCACCCTTTCAGCAAGACTCTGGCCTGCCGGTAGGAGAAGATGCACGGGATGCATTATTTTGCTGCGACGCAGAGGCATCCAAGAATGCAGTCACGAGCTCTGCCTTGCAAGTCTTCGAAGGAAGCTTTTGATCCGACCGCTCTTCGGGACAACATGAAGAAGAGAGCTGACGAGAGGTGAAGCAAGGGAGGGACAGGAAGGAAAAGAGAGAAACACAAATGAGGCATGAATTCTGCATTCCGGGTGGCCTTCTGACTCCTTTTGACGTGTCAATCGGTGGGCGCTGCATTTCATTGGGCTTGCGTCGTTTTATCCGCGTGGCAGTTTCGAGAGGCTCTTGGCCGCCCTCACCCTGTACCCTTCACCCAAACTTCGTCCTGGGATTTGGGGGGGTTTCTGACATTAGGGCACTTACTATAAGGGAATCCTACGATTTGGGGTTTATGTTTGGGGGGGCTGGCGGGGGGGTCCCATATTTTCGTAAACCCCCATTTGACCCGTTACCATCCGTTGCCTGATACCTTCTAGACCTACAGCACCCGAAGCAGCAATCAGAATGCCATACAGGAGGGCTGGCACTTGGGGCAGGGAAGTGGGGGAGCCCTCCTCATGTGCAACAGGGTTAGATATTTATATATGCTATACATATATATATATACGTATACATATATGTGCGTACGCTATTCCGAAAGCCGAAAATAGACGAATGAAGTACCTTCAGTCACAAACAGCCCCATCCACTCCCCACTGTCACAACACCCACTACTCATTGGGCACAACAGTCGCATCCAGCCTGGATAGCACAATTGAAATACAACAGCAAAGCAGCTACAACTCCCTTCCTTCTGCAACGCATCCCCACCCCGAGCCCTTTACTTTCAAGCATGCAACATGTGGTTTATTTACAAATCAAACGGTGCCTGAAACAAAATACTTCTTCGTCCATTTACTGAATAGACTACTCTTGATGTACCAGTTCCCCCAGGTTAACAACCGCAGATACTCTCAATGCAACATTTCACCCAAGTTGAAGACCGTTAATGGTTCAGCCTGTTTTGCTTAACAAGGTTAGCTGCTTTGATTAAATGAGCGGCCGTTTCATTTTGAATCATACGTTTAGGACTACAACTTTAAATTAATCTTTAAATGCCTAGCTGCCCTTCATCCTCCCCCAATATGATCGGCAGTGCAAATAAATCTGATTTGGACATGTTTGGCTTCCGTTATGTTAGTCAAATGAAAGAACTCTCACTTGGGGGGAACCAATAAGATGCCTTGACAAGACTCCCTGGCAAACTCAGATCCTGGATCTGGGACCCTCGATTGAAGTCCATTGGGATCCCACATGCTCTGATGCTCTGCGGAAGGGCATCTGGTAATCCTGGGGCATATGCTGGGCATATGAATCGAGAGATGTTGAAGTGGGTTTGGGAGGGGGTGTACCATACATAGTCCCCCCCCCCTAGGATGGTCCCCCCTCGTCCACCCCTCCTAGGATGGTACCCGACCCCCCCCCCCCCACCCCTTGTGGTGTGGTTGTGGGTTGCTTTTAGGGTTTAGAGTTTTTGGGTTTAGGGCTTTAGGGTTTTAGGGGACAGCACTCATCAACCCTTTGTACAGGTTGTTTCGGCACAGCAGGAAACACCTATATGAGTGTGCTGAGAGCTGAGGATGTACGCAGTCCATGTGTTGCATACCGTCAGGGCAGTTGTCCGCGACATGTCCTTCCACCCCTTAACGACTTCTAAAACAAGGAGAAGAAAATCATAAGAGATAATCACAGAGATACAGCGAGCTGGAGAGGAGACATAGAGAGAGCTGGAGAGAGTGATTGCCAGCGAGCAGGCGCGCGAGCACAATAAGACGAGCCGGCAAGGCCGGAGACAGCGTGGCCTTGCTGGCAGTAGACACCACCTTGCTTCGCCAGATCTTTTCTACAGGCTGCGACAACTTGCCAAATGCAGTTTCAGGGAAAGAAAAAGAGAGACCCGCAGCTAGCCATCAAGTTAAGCTCCAGTGCACGGTGCACCCTGGCAGGCTGACAAGTTTGGTGCCGTCTATCGAGGCTTTCACCACGCCACGTCCGAGCAGATTCACTCCTTGCAGGAGACACGGGGTGGCTGGACGCCACCAGCCATCCAAGCATTCAGGCGAATCAAACTCGTCGGCGGTACTGTCTGCGAGGGCACGCAATCGCTGCAGTGCTTTCTTGTCCTGTGCGCAACCCAAAAACAAGCACCGTAGGCCTGAAGCGGGGTTGAACAATGTTAAACATCTGCGGCCCTCGGTCTGCGATGGCCTCCACTGATGCCTTTTCGGCCAGCAAGGCACAATCTGCAGCGCTGGCAAAGCAGATTCCCAGGGCGAGTTCCAGGAGCTGTCCCTCGGCAAGCACGAAACTCACGAAACTCAGGACCTTCACGAAAAGCCACAGCGAGATCGGTAAGCAACGCGAAACCAAAACACTGTCTTTGTTTTCAGAGCCTTCTTTGTGGAAACTGCGGGTGTCACTTTCTATCACTTTCTGACTTACCATGGTCTTACTGTGCAGTTGTACTGCCCAGCCAGCCACACGTGTTTTGCACCATGTGATGCAAAACTCCAAGAGGCGCACGACTACGGAGCTGGCTAGCGGCACTCCCGGCTTCGGTGCGCCGGGAGCGGCAGTCGGCAGCAAGCCTAAGTACCTGGGCAGGCCAGGTGCTCGCATGCCCAGCCGCCAAAGTGCAGCAGAAGCGACGGGACCTCAACGCAGCATAGGCCGCGTCCCGTGGCTTTTTCCTTGGTGGATGAACGATGTGGCAAAACGCAGCTTGTCACCGACCAACTCTGTACTGGAGGGATAGTAAGCCCTGAACGCCCAGCTGTCCGAGCCATTGTATGCGCTGTCTGCCTGAAACCAGCAAAATTGTCCACAAGGCTTCTTGATGCTGCCGGAAGGAAGGAAGTTGAAAGAAGCCTCTCCCGACTCAAAGGCACTTCCCAGGGTGGATTGGGTGTGGTTGTCCCGGAATCGCAGCTGGCCTCCAGCAGGACCATGCATGTATGAGATAGGGTTTAGGGTTTAGGGTTTCGGGTTTCGGGTTTAGGGTTTAGGGTTTAGGGTTTAGGGTTTAGGGTTTAGGGTTTAGGGTTTAGGGTTTAGGGTTTAGGGTTTAGGGTTTAGGGTTTAGGGTTTAGGTGTTAGGGTTTAGGGTTTAGGGTTTAGGGTTTAGGGTTTAGGGTTTAGGGTTTAGGGTTTAGGGTTTAGGGTTTAGGGTGTAGCACGGGTCAGCTGAACGCAATAGTGTGAAGACATGCCCACCCCAAGGCCACCCAATCACAACTCATTGCGAACCAAACCGGAGCCAGCCCAAGCCAAGCCAACCATTCACAACTCAAACATCGAACAGTTCAGAGGAAAGACTGAGAGTGCTTGGGACATTTGCGATTGGCTAAGGACCCCCCCCCAGGTTTTTGCGCAGGGGACGGTCTGGGCCGAAGGGCCCTCTCATAGCAAATATCAGGGCATGAACGCTGGGTCACCTGGGACCAGAAGGTTTGTGCGAAGGGGGGTCTGGGCCGAAGGACCCTCGCAATTGCCGATTGGGGATCACTTGGGAGGCCATAAGGCTAAGGATCCCCTTTTAGGTTTTTGCGAAGGGGACGGTCTGGGCCGAAGGGCCTTCTCATAGAAAAACTCAAGCGTGAGTAGGTTGCAGCCTGGGGCCATAAGGCAAAGGAGGCGTGAATAGGTTGCGGCCTGGGGCTTAAAGCCCCAGTTTTAAAGGCAAAGGACCCCCCCCGAGGGTTTTAGGGTAATACAATATATCTGTGACCATGCTAGGCGACTCTAGCTAGGCGACCCTCTCAGGGGTGTGCCTGGCAGGCTCTGCAGCCCAGCAGAGCCTGCCGTGGTCTCGCTGAGCGCTCGACTGCGCCCGCCTACCCCAACAGAGGTGAGAGGTGTGGGTTTAGGGTTTAGGGTTTAGGGTTTAGGGTTTAGGGTTTAGGGTTTAGGGTTTAGGGTTTAGGGTTTAGGGTTTAGGGTTTAGGGTTTAGGGTTTAGGGTTTAGGGTTTAGGGTTTAGGGTTTAGGGTTTAGGGTTTAGGGTTTAGGGTTTAGGGTTTAGGGTTTAGGGTTTAGGGTTTAGGGCTTATAAGAACTGCAGGATTTACCCACAGTCAGTAGCCCACAGATCTTACAGGCCAAGCGGCCACCGAAGGTGTCGGGCATGATTCCCCCCTTTTCATCGAATCCGACCTGCTGCGCAAACACTCATCGTAGCTAGGCTATACTTGTCGTGTTGAGAAGCACCAGATGCCACAACTTGCCGCCCAAGGCCGAAGGAATCTTTGCAGCAATGTAGGGTCACACATGTGTGAATGTGGGTGGGTGCGTGGAGAAACAAGCTGTGCGCGTGTGTGTGAGAACGCTTGGCCGCGCCGGCCGCCCATTTTCACAAGCTGCAGACACATACGCGAGGCAGAGAGACAAAGAAACAGAAAGGCTGAGAGGTGTGGACACCAGCGCCTTCCTTGTATGTCTCAAACCATCACCTGACCTCTTGGTGGGCCCCTTCTACCTGATGGTGGCGACGTGGACATCGCTTAATCGCCCTCCTCGACATGGAGCATATTTCTCACGAGGACACCATGGCAAGAGAGCGCGAGAATGAGAAAGTTCGGCACGAATGACATGATCCCCGCCTGGGTCCACCATTACTACTCCTGTTTTGCTACCGGTTCAGCACCCGCTTGACTAGAAATCACACATGGTCATTGCGTGGCAATAACACTGCATAGCGCGCAGCGACAGCATGCGCCGACACATCCCCAAATCACAACTTGCACTCCTACTGCTGAAGGCAGCACATCGCGCGCAACACTGACTTGCCATGCGGCGACTCTACAAGCAAGAACAACTGCACTTTCGTCTCTGCCTTGGACATGCTGCTTCCTTTGGAGAACCCACGTGGCATCGGCAGGCCCGACAAATCTACCTGCAACGGCAACATGCGGCATCAAAACGCAAGGCTTCTAAACAAGCAACATGACCAAGCCTTGAGGAGGGGACTGCCACCATGAGCTCTGGGACTGGCGTCAATTCTGGGGCTGAGGACTGGTTTGCTTGCCGCCTGGCGAATTCCAACAAGTAAACCGCGTGGCTTGATTTCAAACTCAAATCGTCGGCGCCTGGCCAGCATGCAAGCTCAGCAAGTCCCCTGAATCCACCTTCGACCAATTAGTTGCCAGCTCGTCATCTGATTTCGCACCGTTTCGCACCCGCAATGCCAGCCAACCAAATGTGGGCCTTTTGTCCGTTTGGCCCGCGAATGGCATGTTCCTTCGCAAGCATCGAGAACAAGTTAATTCCGCAGCAACGGCAACTATGCGAGGACACGGCCTCCACGCCGGAGGAAAATTTGCCTCGTCGATGGCACTGTAGGAACAACAGGCCAGCAACATGATAACGGTCCCACTCTTGGAGGCATGCCCTCATCCGGCCGCGCTGAACTACCGGATGAATTGCCAAAAACATGACCTGTCATGAAATGAGTTCACCGAAAAGGTGCGCGAATCAAAACACACATACACACACACACACACACAAACACAAAACATCCCGAACCGGCATCGGGTTTGTATTCAAACATGCTGGTATGACCACCGCGATTCGCCTCGAACTGCCACCCCGAATTGTGCATGCATGTTGACCCCCAGTCATACTTCTAATTTCACTACCAGGGCCCAAGCGACATCTTCAACGTCAGCGGCATCAACACCTGGGGCTGCCAGACCTGATGCTGCTGCATAGTTACGCAGCTTCAAAGCAACATGAATCGCGATCTTTGTGTTTGGAGGGCCCACCTGTGCAGAGCTCAGCATAGAGAGTGCAAAAACTGCCCAATCCGATGCCACACAGGGCGTACAAGGCTAAGAGTCGAAGCTCCATCCCGAGGCCCCCAAGTACCCCTATAGGCAAGCACCCTCACCTTGCGCAAGAGAGACCGCTGCCAAGGCCCAACCTTACCTTTGCCCAACGTAACCACGCAGGCAAGAAGGGCAAGCGCAAGTGCGAAGCAAAGCGTGCGGGGGGGTTGCCGGTGTTAGTGCTCCTAATCGCTCTGCGGCATCTGGGCACAGGGACAGCACCAAGTGTGGGAATATCCATTCTTCCAAGCTCTGAGGTTTGAAGGCGAGAACATCCTGAACATGTGCGTGAAGAAGGTGACCCAGAGAACCTAGAGCACCACAGCCCGTAGATGCCGCGAGGCCGACATCGATGCCCCGGCGGTGAACAGCCGCAGAGATGAAGTCGTGGGCAACGGGCAGGGAGCGCAGGTCGCAGGACGCGACGATCGTCAGCCCGGTACGACGCTGGCTCTCGACCAGGCGACCTACCCCGAGCTCGAGCACATCCGGGGGATGCCGTTTCCTTGTTCTTTGGGACCGAGGGTGGACGATTCGTCGGAGCCAGGGCAATGTTTCTGCGTTTCTGCGCCTGCGCCTCCCCCTCCCCCTCGACTCCACCAAATCGTCTTCGGCGACGGCTCGATGTTTACGGGAACCACCGCCGGTCAGGCCAGGCACGCGCGCGCGCACGCGGCGGCAGGGCGCCTATGAAACTGGCTGCCGCCCGCGTCTGCCGCGATATCGTCACCAATGTGTTGCTCCGCGACCTCACTGTCCAAATCGCACGCCAGAACGACGGGCGCATCGAGGTCATTGCTTGGCCTGCCTGAATGAGGGTGGGATAGGCTTGCAAACGACAAGCCCTCCGCACCGCCCGGCTCGTGGGCCGCCAAGCGTGTCCACGGCACCCTAGACACTGCCACCCAGGCCGATTCGGATCTCTGCGGCATCGGCTCGAACCTCGGCAAAAAACACACGCATCCCTGCCGCCGAGGCCGGCCCACCGACCGCCCAGCATCGCAGCACTGGGCACAGATGTTTGGCGGGGGACAGACAGGGGGTTTGGCTGCTATTTTTGTTCTGCGCTCCGCCACGAGCGAACCACGCTTTACGCACACCACCGCCCTCGCATGGACCGTGGCCAGGCCATGAGACCTGCCGTGCGGGCAGCGTTGACCCTGCCCTGCAACAGCTCCGCGATTCGTCTGGCAGCGCGCGCGTCCATGACGAAGCTCCGGCAGTAATTTGCACCACGCATGCTTGTTGCTCGCACGCACCTCCGCGGGACTCAAGGGCACGACGAACTTCCGACGGGGAGAGCGGGTGCTGTTGCTAGTCGCAACACGGCGGACCAACAGGGTGGCAGCGTCGACCGAAAACGCGTGCGCGGCGGTCGATTTCTTTTTTTCGCTCCTTTTTGCACCCGCTGTCCTGGGTTCAAGGGTCGGGGCTACCGTCAGGGGCGGCAGTTCCTGGTCATCCCCCGCGTCGCACGACTGCACTGGCAGCTCAAGCAGCGCTTGCGCGTGCGCGCGCAGTGCCGCCAATGACGCAAGGCAATGCCACCGCCGGGTGAGCGCCCGGCCGGCCGCGGCCGCATTCCACGGCGCACGCGCTCGTCCACGTGTCCGCGCCAGGCGGCGGATGAAGGCCAGGGCGTTGGGGCTGAATCGTCCTCCGACTTCCATGCCGAAGACGACCAATCGACAACGCCCTTGCCCGCCAGCCCGAAGCTCCGGGTACGTGCGATGTTTGCGCGCCTCGGCGTGGCGAAGCGCGCAACCAGGCTCAACGTCGGCTCCTGGACGGGGCTCCCCGCACCTCTGCAGTGGGCTGACGAGCGGCGTGTCGACCGCGATCTGCGCGCCGCGCCACAGGGGCAGGCCGTTGGCCACGACCTCGATGCGGCGCCCGTCTGTGGCAGGGACGTCAACGTTGAGATCGCGGAGGGCGACGCTGGCCGCCACGCGTGCTCCGGCCTCTCGGCAAATGCGCGCCGCTGCCCGCTCGAGTGGGCCCGCACGATGTGCGAGGACCCCGACTTGCGCACAAGCTGTGCGGTGATCCCCGAGGGTATCAAGGGCCCGCCCGCAGCGACAACGTTTGGGCGCGAAGGGGAGTGGCAGTCGCAGGCGTCGGAGCAGCATGACGCGGTACTCCGCATCTGGCACGAAGAGGTCGGCACTGGTGGGGAGCGCATGGGAGCGCCGTCAGGGCGCAGCTGGCGCCATCCCCCCCCTGCGACAGCAGCAGCGCACGAGACGCAAGATCAAGGTCACTGAAAAGCGTCTCGAACGCGCGCTGGTCGACAGAGGCGCTGGCGTACCGCTGCCACCCCTTACGGGCCGGTGGGCCGGCCGCTTGGGCGGGGTGAGCACGCGGCGGCGCTCCCTCGCACAACACGGCCCATGTCGGCACGTCGAGGCCGAGCGATCGCAACAGCCCGGCCGCCTGCTGGGCCTCCCTGACGCTGGGCGCGACATCGGGCGCCTCCTCCGCCAGCATCGGCCCCATGCGCAGCGGCAGGGCTGCACGCCGTTGCGCTAGCGCGGGGAGATCCATGGGCCCATTTCCCCCCGACAGCAGGACGGCGAGGCAACGCGCAACGGCTGAGTCGTGTTCGGTGGCGAACGTGTCCGTGACGCTCGGCGGCACCGTGCGGAGGAGGTACTGGCACCGCGGGGCCGCGCACAGCAGGAGTAGCAGCCTGCAGGTCCTGCATGGCAGGGAGACGGGCCAGGAGCTCGTCATGCTTGGAACGCCTTTCTGCCAGCGCGGCAGCCAGGAACTCGCGGCTACCGAGGGGGCTGCCGAGAACGATGAGGCCTTGCTGGGCCGGCGGCAGTGCCCAGTTGCCGGTCCAGCAGGGGGTTCGTGCGCAGCTACGGGCACAGCCGCCACCAGCCCCGGCGGTTCCTCCCCGGCCGCGTTCCAAGCCCTGGTCTTGCCAAGGTGGACTTGAACATTTGCCCGCGTGCCAAGGGTTTCCTGAGCAATGTGTAACGCGGGGACCGTCCTTTCCGGGTTACTCGTGATGTACACATCCTCGAGGAATGCGTACAGCCTCTCCGTGGGCAGCCGTTGGGCGTGGATGGAGAGCAGGGCCGAGTGCTGTCCCAACGCATACAGCCCCGGCATCAGGGGGTCACCCTGCTCCCCACCCTCGCCTTGCCACACGTCATGCCCCACGCCCCCTTCGTCATAAAACACGTAGCAGCTGGCTTGCCCATAGAAAAGTACCGCGAACGGAAGGAGGCCTTCCAAAGTAATCAGCGTGCCCCCGCAGGGCATCGAGCATGCTCGCCCGGGAGATGTGGTCATACGCACCAACGCCGTCAATGCTCAGCACCGTTGTCCAGGGATCGGTCTTTGTGGCAACGCGGAGGGCTCGTACCACGGCCTCAAGCCCCGCTCTTGTGCTCAGCGCATATTGGAAAGGAGCACAGGCCTCCCGGAAGGCCTCCCCAAAATGCTGCGCCAAGGTGCGCGCGACGCGACGTCGGAAGACATCGCCCATAACTAGTGCGCGCACGCCGCCCGTGGGCTTCGTCAGCGCGACGATGCGGCCTCGACGCAATGCGCTGACGAATTCAGGCGGGACCGCGCCTTGTGCGAGCTTGGCGGCCGCCAAGGCCAGGAGCTCCGTGGTGTGCTCATCGTCGAGGAAGACGCGCAGATGCTCGCTGGTGCAACCCGAAGGGCCCGCCGCGGCCCCGCGTCGCGCGCGTTGTAAGTTGTCCAGCAACTTTTGGGGGCACAGTTGCGGGATCCCGAAGTGCACTAAGGGTCGCAGCATTAGCTGGGGCTAACGGCTGAGCCGTCAAGGCTTTCGCTGCTGCCGATACCTCCCCTAAGTGCGCCAACGCGGACGCACGCTCGGCGCGCCTAGTGAGGTCGCACTCGGGGTTGGTTCCTTCCGACCGCGGTGGTGTGGCCAACGCCAACTCGGCACCCTCGCGGAGCAGCCGCTCCCATTCTCCTGCGCAGAACAATCGTTCCCGACGCCGTAGCTCCTCCGCCGGCACGCGGGTACAGCCCGGTTTGCGGAACAGCAGCATCCGAGGTGCGAGGAGGAAAAAGTTTCCACCCATCCATTTCCCCCGCACCCTCTGCATCCCGCACTGCCTCGAGTGCGACACGCATCGCGTTCCGCAAAATGCCCCGGAGCTGCCGGGGCAGGGCTTGGAATGTAAACACTCGGCGGTTAACCTCCTCCTCGAGATCGACATCACGCATGCGCGGGAGCAGCGCTGGGAGGGCGACTCGGCGGCCCAAGTCCTGGCTCGGCGTGAGCCGCGGCCGCACCTTTTTTTCACCTGCTCGTGAGAGTTCTCGGTCCATCACGGCCGCTCAGCGAGCAAGTCCCCCAAGGGGATCCCTGCGCCATCACCAGCGTCTCGCGAGTAGACCGGCAACTCCAGCAGGGACTGCGTGTGGGCCCGCATGGCAGCGAGCGCTGCAAGGGCCGTCCACCGCCGTGTCAGTGCCCGCGCCGCGGCAATTTGCGCCCAGGAGGCGGCTGCGGACCTGCGCGATGCGGCGAATGAACGCCAGCGTCCCGCTGCTGAAGCGGCCGACCTCAACGCCGACGACGACGAGGCGGCAGCGGCGCGCCCGCGTGAGCTCAGGGTAGGTGTCGCGGCGCTTGCGCCTGGCGGCATTGTCAACGGCCCATCCGGGCTGCGTGTCAGCACGTGGGTGTGAGTCGTCGGACCGGGTGACCGCCGAGACAATGGTGGAGGGCGAGTTGGGCCCCATGCCACAGTGGGAGGCCGTTGGCGACGATGTGCCGCCCGTCCATGACCGGGACCTGGACGTTCATGTCAGGCGGAACCCTCGATGAGCTCGGAGACCACCGTTCCGCCCGCGCACAGGTTGGGTGCTCGCGCATACAGCGGGGCCACTGGAGCGGGTTGCCGCTCGCATCTGCCGTGAGGCCAGCGCGCAGGTGCCCACCAGCGTTGCTCTCCGGGACCTCAACCTTGACGTGCCGGCGACGGATGGCCGGCGGATCGAGGTGGTGGCCAACGGCCTGCCTTACTGGCAGGGGGCGCAGATCGCGGTTGACATCACCTTGGTCTGCCCCGTCCGACGCGACGGGCAGGCACGACCGGGCACGGATGCGCGGCCGGGTCTCGCTCTGGAGCAGGCGGCCCAGAATGCACCCTGAGCTTCAGCGGGGCGGATGGGGCCGCTCACCCTGCCCAGCCCCCGACCGTGACTTGCCCCGGCAGGCGCAAAAAGGGCCCCATATTTTTTTGACCCCCCCACATATTTTTCCCACCCCTGGCATATTTTTTTAACCCCCCCGTGGCCTCTCTGACCCCGCACACGCTTTTTTAACCCCCCCCCCCCACATATTTTTTCCACCCCCCCCACATCTTCATTTGACCCCCCTTACATACTTTTCCGACCCCCCCTCATGTTTTTTTGACCCCCCCACATGTTTCTTCGACCCCCCCCCCTTCCTCTGCCCTCCCCTCCTCTCCCCTCCTCTCCTCGTCCCCCCGTCCCCACCCCCCCACATATTTTTCCCACCCCCGACATATTTTTTTAACCCCCCCACATACCTTCTCAACCCCCCAACATACCTTCTTAACCCCCAACATACCTTCCTAACCCCCCCACATACCTTCTTAACCCCCCCACATACCTTCCGACCTGCCTGACTCCGAGCAGGAGCCAGGAGCAAGGAAGACTCGCCGCCGTGCACTGAACAGCTTCGACTTTACGAGGCAGGGCTTAAGGCTGGGGCATTAGACTTGAAGTGTTAAGGTGTCTGGTTTATTTATCCTTAGCCGATTTTTCTCTTTAAGCAGAAGTCATGGATTTAATGCCCGTATCGATGGAGCCGCGGGACGAAGACGCGGCACTGCCCGTCCACTTCTCCGCTCCTCTACGTAGGGTCCTCCCACACGCAGCATCCAGGCAAGCCAACTCTCTCCCATCTGCTTGCAGTGCGCGATGGGAGAGAGTTGGCTTGCCTGGATGCTGCGTGTGGGAGGACCCTACGTAGAGGAGCGGAGAAGTGGACGGGCAGTGCCGCGTCTTCGTCCCGCGGCTCCATCGATACGGGCATTAAATCCATGACTTCTGCTTAAAGAGAAAAAAATCGGCTAAGGATAAATAAACCAGACACCTTAACACTTCCAGTCTAATGCCCCAGCCTTAAGCCCTGCCTCGTAAAGTCGAAGTTGTTCAGTGCACGGCGGCGAGTCTTCCTTGCTCCTGGCTCCTGCTCGGAGTCAGGCAGGTCGGAAGGTATGTGGGGGGGTTAAGAAGGTATGTGGGGGGGTTAGGAAGGTATGTTGGGGGTTAAGAAGGTATGTTGGGGGGTTGAGAAGGTATGTGGGGGGGTTAAAAAAATATGTCGGGGGTGGGAAAAATATGTGGGGGGGTTAAATAAATATGTTACCCGCGCAAAAAGGTGTGCGGAAAAAAAAAAAAACACGCCATCTATGCTCAGCATCGTTGTTCGAGATGACATCTGCGTAGGCCTCGCCTTCCTGCCTGAGCTGTCGGTTCGAGAGCCACTCGTTGAATGCCTTGGCGTCCATGAGCTCCTCATAGCGCTTTCGCATCAGCGAGTTCAAGTTGTACGTGGTTGAATCGCGGGACTGCTTTGCATGGTTTGGGAATTCGGTGACTAGGTTGTGGGGTCGACATTTGGGGTCACTGCTGTCGATCTGTGTTGTCGACCACCGATGGGGCTGATGTTCTGGCTGTTGCAGCGCCGGGACCACGTGACGCACGAATGTGGTCGAGCCGACTGCTGGCAAGCGATGGACAAGATGCTTCAGCAACGGCGCGCCCAGGCGTATCGTCTTTCGGCGGCGGCCAAAAAAGCGTGGTATCGCAACAGGGCGCACCTCCCAGGCGTAGCCCCGCTTCGCCGGAATGTCCCGACGATCACCGGGAGGGACGCCCGGCACCGTGTGGGCCAGCCACTACTAGGGCGCGCCACAGGACACCATCCAGCTCAGAGCCCGCTGCGTGGCCCGGTTGTTACATCGGTCAACAAAACGGGTCGAAGAGGAGGCCATGGTAGAAGCAGAGCTCGAACCAACGCCACAGTCCACCACCCCTGTTCACTCGCAAAGTGTCTGGGCAAAGACGCGTCTGCGATGACCTCCACCGTAGCGGAGCACCGGAATCAATGCACTCCCACATGCGCATTTAGCAGCTGAAGCAATGCGCATTGGAGACATTCGTCAAAGCGGTTGGGATGTTTGACGATGCAGATGTGGATTCTCACTTCTCATCCGCATCCCGCACTGTCTGGGCTAACAAGTGGCTTCCATCTGACAAGGCACTGCTAACCTTCTGGCGTGACTTGACGCTCCCAAAACACATCTTGCTGGCTTGAAAAAAAAACTATGCCACTGCTAGAATACGCACAGCGCCTTAGCGAAACCAGAGCCGGAGCCGGGTGTGGACCACATCAATGCAATGTGAGCTCAAGGGCAACGGCACACAATGAGCTGGTGGAGTCAGGGTGGCACCGGGCTCACTTGCCAAATTTCCTGATCAGGCGCGCGGCCGATTGAATTGGGGCCATGGTGCAGATGGAACGGCACATTTTCCGCAACGCCAGCAGTTCCAACTGGCATTCTGTTAGTTCAAGCGTTCTTCGGCCCGCGCATGTGCAAAGTCAGGGTGGGGGGGGCACCACTTTGTCCCACTCAGGGCGATGAAGGGTGCCTTCCGCAGCGGCAACGTCCGCAGCTTCGATTTGCCTGATGTGGTCAAGGCACAAGTCATCGAGCACGGTGGCCAGGCGTCGTCAAGGTCTAGCGGCCAACACGGACGTCCAAAGACCTCGGCTCGCATCCTTCGTTTGCCTGACCTTCACGTGCCAAGAGCATAGAATTTCCTGGCATGAGCAAGATGCGCCGCAACCAAACGGCCAACCTGGGTTCAGCGTGGAAGTTGCGCCGACGCTAGCACCCACAATTCCCCGCGTTGCTCCTTGCTGGCCGCGCCCTCGCTTCCAGATCCGTGGCTGACTGCATGCTCCTTTCGGTTTGCCAAGCCTTTCGCCCTCCACAAGACCCTTGGGCTCGCCGCTTCTTGCATGAAATCAAGACAGCGAAGCTGGCAAAAAGGCCGAAGGAAAATCCGCAGCAGCTGCAGCCGAAAAAAAACTCATTTTTTGGGGCAAAGCCGCCAGAGTGACGCGATCCGTGGAGCCCCGCATAGAACCTGAAAAGGCCTCGCAACTCCAGGAACAAAATGGCTTCCACGCAGGAGGACGTACTGAATCGTAGTCATTCAAGAACAGTTGCGAGCCACAAATTTGGTGCCGGACGAAAGCGTACGAACTGTGTAGCTCGGGGCGATGCGGCGCTGAGGCGACGGCACCGAGCTGGCAGAGACGGGGGCCGCAGCGCACTGCATGCGGAGCAACACGACAAGCCTGGCCTTGCATTGAGCGAAGGGGTCCGGAGCACCCACCAAGCGGATCGAGGCATTGCCGGCAGCGGCAAGCAGATGTAAAGAGCTCAGCGGAAAGCACAGGCGCCAAAGCAGCAGCAACGTTGGTCGTCTTGTCGTCTGAGCAATGACTTTTTTGCTCTGCTTGAGCCAGCTCGCGCACGCTGCAGTCTTGGGAGTCGCCGGCGCGGAGGGAACAGCGAGGGGGGCTTACCCTCGCTGGCACATCTTGCCTGGAAGCTAATCATGTCCGTTGCACGTTATCGGCGTAACTGCCTCGCGTTCATGTTCTTGCCGTGAAGCAGACCAGCCCGCGATCACTTACGGAGGCGCAGCATATCGCAGCGTGGCGCAGCATGGTGCAGCTGCTTATTGTGATGGATGCGCTTGCCGGCGTGGTCATCTAGTCATCTATTTGCAGTTCCGTGGCCACAGTCAACTTGAGCGATCCATCGCAACTCGAGCAATGCGGCCAGAGCAACAGCCCAGATCCCATGGCATCGTTCCTTCGTGCGCGAATCTCGTGACTTCGCAGAAGTGGCCAAACAACTGCACGGGTAGTGTTCGCAGCACGTGCTTACTTTATTTCGTCGGCCCATGCTGCTCGCATGCGTTTGCCACTTGCTTTGCCTCCGTGAGCGGGATCCGAAGCGTGCAAGCGCCAATGTTGCCGAGGCACCACGGTGCGCAGCTTTCGGTCACGAAGGCCAGGAATGGCCATGATTAGCTACCAGGGTGCAGTGCCAAAACAATACCTTGCTGACTTGAGCCCGCTGCGCTGGCCAAGTCTTCTGCTTGCCGGCGTCGCCAAGGCGCGCATCCTGGGCCAAAGCTGAAGGAGGAAAGTGAAGAAAACGGCACGAGAATGCCAATCTGAGGAGCCAATTCAGGGCTGAAAACCACATGGCATCTGAGCACGCTGCGTTCTCGGAGGCGGCTGGACTGCAAGCTCATCATCGCTGACTGCCGACCACTGCGCGTACGCGGACCGGGCCTGCACAAAATCTGCATGAGGTCTCGAAGTTGGGATCCAAGCAGAAGGAGTCCTGGCCTCGTCAAGTAGTCGGAAAGGACCCATGCTCACAGCTGGCGACGGCATCTGCCGTCATGAAACGCAGGCCAGCTAGCCAGCCTAGACTAAAGAGCTCACGTCTCTTCGAACACGCCGGCATGTTTGCTTGCTTTAATGTGGCGTGGCTGGTGCATTTTCTGGTTTACTTAAAAAGTTGGACTACGCGTGGAGCGCGCTTGCAAGCTACACAACCATGATTCCTAGGCAGCTTAACCTACAGGAGCCGCCACTAACGAATACACAGCGTGATGCTGTTCATGCTTGTCACAGAATGCATGGAGCCCAAAGGTCACAAGCACGGCAACAGCTGTCCTGCCAAAACTATATGTATCTGAGTTTCACTCACCTGCACCACGATGCGCACTAGCAACCGCGTGCAAAGACTCCGGGCTGGCAGCTTCTTTCGGACCGCATGCTTGGGCTGCTTGGGGCACTCTACCTCATTCCAGTCTCAGTCAGCCTCCTTTCTCGTCTCGCCCTTCGAAAACCTCGGCGCCACATTGAACCTCAGCACAGCTCCGAACGCCAAAGCTATGACCTCTGAACTAAGGCGGCTAGGCTTCGGCCAGCAAGATGCTGCCCCCGGATATGCGCCAGATGCTGCCCACAACTGGGTTTCGTGCTGCGCCACGCGAGGCAATGCAACCTCCGAGGTCATCGTCGCTGGGAAAGTGCACCTTCCGGGCACTTGAAACTCAAGTTACTTGCAAATACTTGCAGCTTCCTGCAACTTGCCGAAGCCCAAACCGACAAAACCCCTACAACGTCTGCCGTTGAAAGGTGTTGCCGGTCGAGTCGGGTTGCCTTCCTCCAGACACTCCGTTAATGCCTTCCCATCGACAACATTCACCCAGATACAAAGTTCCTGTATGCTCCAAAGGGCCCGTCGTCGCAGTTCAAACTGCAGGGTCAGCTTCTGGGCCTTTAGGGCTCCAGCTTGCTCGTTTTTCATCCACTCCTGAATTGTGCGCTCTAGCCGCTTCATTCTCGTGCGTGCTTTCTGCTTGCACGCTTTCAAGCTTTAGGTTCTGGAGTGCAGAGTGGGAGGAGCACACAACGCACGGAAGTTTTGACTGTGTCCGGACTGGCGAATGCACTCCTAGGAGGGAGGGAGGGAGGTTTCACAGTTCAATGACCTCATCTCCTGGATCGCCTGAAACACAAACCTCAACCTGCACCTCAGTTCTTGCGTTCGCGAACGCTTGCTTGTGTGCTGCTCCATGCGCTCCCGCAGAGACATGACTGGCCTTTGGTACGTCGCTCTCTGCGCGGCAGTACACTGCCCCCGCATCCAAAGCGGCCACGCGCGCTTGGAAGTCGGCTCTGACGTACCTGCTCATAGGGCTGAAAGGAAGCGTTTTGCGAAACACCGGAGAAAACTCACAGAAGCCAGCGACGCGCACGAATAGAGCCAGATGTCCATGGGGGTCAGCACGCGGAGCCTGGGGGCTTTACGTCAGTTCTGTACAGTTCGACCGCTAGGCTGCAAATATGGGGGGTGTACGAAAACAAGAGACCCCTAGAATAGACCCCAAATAGTAGGACTCTCAGAGAAATAAGGACCCCCTATACACCCCAAATAGTCGGAATCTCAGAACATAAGGACCCCAATAAGGCGGAAACCCCCCATATGCGATGGTGAACGGGTTGGCTCGGGAACTCGGTGGCCGACGCCCTTTCAATTTCAGTGACATCTTCATGGCCTTGGCATGGCTCTGAGGCAGATTCGGGGGTTGTGATAATCATTATTATTATTATTGGTATGATTATTGGTATTAGTTTTACTACTATTATGACGATTATTACGAATATTATTATTATTATCAGTATTATTCGTATTGGTATTGTGACTACTTGTGATTCTTACTATTTGTGATTTTGGTTACTATTACTGCTACTACTACCACTACTACCACTACCACTACTACTACTACTACTACTACTACTACTACTACTACTACTACTACTACTACTACTACTACTACTACTACTACTACTACTACTACTACTACTACTACTACTACTACTACTACTAGGCGTCACGTTCTTAATTGATCGCAGGGGTTTTGTGGCGTGCAATTTTCGTGTTAAAAGACGAAAACCTCGGTATTTACAGTGTTTCCTGGCTTTGTCCGTTTACGGACACGAAAAATGGACGTGTAAAAAGTCCCGCAAACTACTTTCAACTACTTTAGGCGCAGGAGGAAAACATCGGTATTTACAGTGTTTTCGGCTTCAAAAACGGTCAATTACAGGGCATACTTTGCGCAGACGTGTTCTCAGAACAGAGGAAAAGACCGGTATTTACAGCGTTTCGCGGGTTTTCTAAGATGTGGCCAAACTTGTCCTTAAACCCGAACGCCTCCAGCAAGCCGAACAGTCGTGCACCCTGAAATCCGAAACCCCGAAACCTGAAGCAAGCCCAAGAGTCGTGCACCCTTAAAATCTCAACCCCACAGCGTCAAGCACGTCCCCAGAAAAAACACAAAACATCTGGAGCCTGAAACCCCAAACCCCATGTGTACCCTGAATGACAAAGCAGTCCCACAGTGCACCCCCTTAAACCTTAAATCCCATAGAAAAAGCCCAAAAGTCCTTTCACCTTACAGCCTCAACCCCAAACCCTTCCCTTAAACCCTCAACCCCAAATCCCAAAAAAGCCCAGAAGATCCCTAAACCCTCCACTGTGAATCCCAAAAAGCCGAAAAGATCCCGAAACCCTCCACTGTGAGCCCAAAAGGTCTTACCCTTAAACCCTAAACCCCAAATCCTAAAAAACCTCAAAAGGTCTCTACCCTCAAGCCCCAAACCCTGAACCCTCCACTGTAAGCCCAAAATGTCTTGCCCTGAAACCCTAAACCCCAGATGCCAAAAAAAACAAAAGATCTGTAGGCTGAAACCTCAAACCCCATATTTCCACTGGAAGCCCAAAAGGTTCCCAAAAAAGCCCAAAAGATCTGTACCTGCAAACCCTAAACCCTCCACTGTGAGCCCAAAAGGTCTTGCCCCTAAACCAACCAAAAAAAAACAGAGGAAAACAGTAGACAGCGTGGTCAAGCGTGCACAAAGCCCAGCACGACCCCCATGTGTGCACAAAGCACAGCACGTAATTACCCCCCCACCCCCCCCCCCCCAACCCCTCAGCATGGTCATGTGTGCACAAAGCACAGCACGTAATTACCCCCCCCCCACCCACCCCCCCCACCCCCCCCAACCCGTCAAACGCAGAAAAAACCAGAGAAAACGATAGAAAAAGTCAAAAAACAGCAGAAAACACCATGATCAGTTAAGAGCGTGTCACTACTACTACTACTACTACTACTACTACTACTACTACTACTACTACTACTACTACTACTACTACTACTACTACTACTACTACTACTACTACTACTACTACTACTACTACTACTACTACTACTACTACTACTACTACTACTACTACTACTACTACTACTACTACTACTACTACTACTACTACTACTACTACTACTACTACTACTACTACTACTACTACTACTACTACTACTACTACTACTACTACTACTACTACTACTACTATTAAACGGACGGCCCGAGGGTGGGGCGCAAGCTCTTCCGACCTCCGACGTTGAGATGCTGGACTTGTGGTGCTCGTGCCCAGCGTAAAGCCGTACGAAGCCTCTGGTCCATCAACCCTTGGGGATAGGATTCAGGGTTTAGGGTTTAGGGTTTAGGGTTTAGGGTTTAGGGTTTAGGGTTTAGGGTTTAGGGTTTAGGGTTTAGGGTTTAGGGTTTAGGGTTTAGGGTTTAGGGTTTAGGGTTTAGGATGGTTTAGGGTTTAGGGTTTAGGGTTGAAGGGGTTTAGGGTTTAGGGTTTAGGGTTTAGGGCTTAGGGTTTAGGGTTTAGGGTTTAGGGATTGGGGGGACCCTTGGGGATATAGACCCTCTCAATAAGGCTCCCTTTTAAGGGCCCCCCTTATCCCACCTAGGATCAACCAAGCACAAGTTTGCCTGAAGGGAAGCCAAATGCGCTCTCGTTGACAACTTGCCAGCGGGCATGAAGACCCTGGGTTAAAGAAAGACACTGAAAGGCAAATAAAGACACCAAGTGCTATATTTAGAGGAAAGCCTAAGCACGCCAAATTCTGAGCCCAAGGTCCAAAGGGACAAGGATGTGTTTGATCCCGTTTTTGTGAGGCTGCTCTTTGACCGCGCTAGTGTGGGGGGGGCTGGTTTCACATTCAAGGATGTTAGGATCTGGCAGGCCCCAAATAGCGCGCAGAAAGCCCCACTGCCAAAAGGATCGACTTGACACGTGCAGAATCGTGCAGCCGGCTGGCAGGCGCAAAGATCCATCAAGATCCTGCGCATGGCGCGTATGGTCGGCACGCTCGACGACCGCACAACAATCCCCCCGAACTCCTCCAAGAGGCCGACGAACGTGAGCTTGTGATAATTCTTCACTGCCTTTGCGCAAAAGCCCAAAGATTCAGCAGCAAAGGAGAAGGGACCCCTGATGGAGGCTACAACTTGGACCGGCACGCTCTGCAGCGTTTCGGTCCGGTTCCTCTTCACACACTTCATACATGCAACCGTGACTTCATACAGCCGCGACCAGAAACGGGGGCTTCGGTGTCACAGCGTCCTGAACATCGCCCACATTCTTGCATTGTCGGACTCTTGCCTGTGCATCTTCAAGGATCGCTACGTGACTCAGCGTGTCGATCTAGAAGTACAAGGGGTGGAAATAACTCACATCAGTCGGCGAAAATACATGTCGCCCCAATGTGGACGCCCTGGAGAGAATTACACAGCAGTGGCAGAAATACATGAGCACATGCCATACCCCAATGTGGACGTCGGTGCCAATGCGTGAGGGCTCAAAACTCGCGAGATGCTGATGCTGCATGAAGGATCTTGCAAGAATTTGTAGTGCCTCTTGGCAGCAAATCCCCAAAAAGACGCTGGCTTTGGGTCGTTGTCACTTGTACTTGTAGAGTTTTCTCAAAAGGCCGATTGCCCGAACACGCCCGAGATGCATCGAGAGTTCACAGGTGCCTCGTAGACCCAGCACCCACATGCACTGACAGACCACTGAGCCAGGCGGTGCCGGCCATTCCATCCTACAGAGTTCTGACACATGTTGCAAGTGTGCCTGCAGTTGGGACACAAAAAAACCCAGCCTGCCAAACCATGAGCGTATCTAGCAGCGCTGCTGGATGATATAGGTACCTCCCAGGACAGACCACGCACGGAATCAACATCCATCGCTAAGCTGTGAACCAACTGAGAACTCGTCGTCGCTGCTCCGACATTTTTCGGGCACTTCACAAGTTTAGACAGCCTCAAGACACCCGAGCCCTCAATGAGCGCACTGGACTGGGCTCAGCTGGCGAATTCTCAGTCGAGCCGTCCAGTCCAACTGCCTGGCCTGACAAGACCACAAAACAAGACAGCAGGATTTACACAGACACATGTGGAACCATAGCCAGCAGAAGCTCACGCTCTCTCCGATAGCTGCGCATGTTGCAGCTGAGCAGCGAAATGAAAATGTGACCTGCGTTTGCCGTTGCCAGTGACAGGAGCAACGCATCCAGCTGTTGTCTGTCTACTTGCGGAAACAGCACCCCTTCAAGTGTCACAGAGGCACTTCACACAAAAGTTGTTCCGGGCGCTAGAGGTAGAGGTTGGAAGATGGAAGAAGTTGCAAATGATGCTTGCAAGCTGGCCTTAGTGATGGGTGTGCTACAGTGCTGAATGGGAATTCTCGCAACTGGAGGGTGCTCTTAGGGAACGCCATCCAGGTCGTAAACTGCAAAGATGCAGGACAGTCGGACAGGGACACAACATGAGGCTCTCCAGCGGCAAACGGCCGCTAAAAGCTATTCAACAGCCCAAACAAGTAGCGCACACGGCAAGACTTTACATCTGCTGGAGAGCACTTGGCAAATCAAGGCGTTACATGTGAACTTGGCCCTTTCTTCTGAGACTTTGACAGCGAGCGATGAGCATGACGATTCAGATTTACCAAGACTTGTCCTAACAGCAGATTAAGGCGCCAACAGATAGCGCTGGAGAGGGCTTCGGAGAATCGCGAAACCTCGTGAGCGCAAGTCGGCATGGAGTCCACATGTATTCAGAGGTTCCGACCTGGTTTTTCAGTCCTCCGTGCAGCATCAAATCCATTCCACCCATTCTTAACTGTTGTTGAGCGACATCTCACGACGAATTTGCACGTCAGCATGGACATCTCGCTGCGTGACGCCCCTCTGGCGCCTAGAACGTGACCAGCGGGCAAAGCTTGCAAGAGCGGCTGGACAATGGAGAAGTCAAAATGCAGCGTGCCTGCAACGTAGGTACTGTCGAGCGTCCAGGACACATCAACGTATGCATCTAGAATGGTGGAAGTTGTACAGTCGCAGACGGCATCGTTTTTGATTTCAGTTTTCCAGCGTTGTCCAGCTAAACTGTACCGCAGATACCCGTGAACTTGAACCTTTGTTGGACTCTCGATGCACACAGAAAATGCCCAGAAATGCCCAAACAATCTCACATCAATGCTGTGGAGATGCAAAGGCACGGCACAGTCGCAGCCTCTTCCTGCGCCAACCCATGCTGCGCATGTTCTGAGCAAGCAACCCCTGACAGCTGCCCCATTTTCCCCATGCAGACACTAGAATAGAAGGGCCTTCGACTAAGGATCCCACTTGGAGTTTCCATGGCACCTACCTCCACTGAGCCTGGACATCCTTTAGCACATCAGCCTGTCAGCATCTCCAAGATCGACCCCCAACGGAAACTCCCTAAACCCTAAACCCTAAACCCTAAACCCTAAACCCTAAACCCTAAACCCTAAACCACCAAGATCCCAAACGTGCAAAGGGTTAGAAAGCAGAATGAACATGGGGAGGCCAGAGTCTGACAAGACGACCGAAAGAGTTTGACAACAGATCGACCGCTGATTCTGGGCCTTGCGGCTCGAGCTCCTCCCGTCTACATCTTGTTTGCAACAACTTCGGTGGTTTCCTGCGTGCCTTTGTGTACCTAAACCTAAGGCCTGAGACGGCAGGTGGATTCAGGGCGGGTAGGCGGAACCCACGTCTGGTCTGGCTTGCAGCACTGGCAACCGGTGTCCTTCTTTTGCCTTGCACCTCTCCGAAGCCGGTGGGCTGCCTCGGCTAGAAGCCGTGGAACCTCAGGCTCTCATTGGTCTACATTTGTCACCTGCTACAGTACAGCCTGTTTCTCAATACCGCCCTGGCGATGTGGATGATGTCTGATCATGTGGCTACCATGGTCAGCCGGCCTGCAGTTCCCACGACAACTCCCCCTTCGGAACCATCCCGACGGAGCCCGTCTCCAGAGCATTCCTCAAACGGACAGCCGTTGGGCCGGAGGTGGCAAAGGGCCGCCTAAACTCGGCAAAACTGGTACTAAAGCTTGCGCGGTTTAGAAGGTTTGCTAGGGCTCCAAAGGGAGGGCGAGCGAACTAAGTCTAAGTAAGCTCCACGTCTGGTAAGAGATGGTCTCACTTGCCCGGAATCCCAAGTGCCGTAAGACGTGCTTCTTCTCGTTTATTATTCTTCATCTTCTTCTGCTTCTTCTTCTTCTTAGTATGATTACTCTTACTCTTCCTATTTTTATGAGTGAGTGCAACCTGCAGGCCAATAGGCAGCCCCTCTAGATTAATATCATTATTATTTTTTATCATCATTCGTCTACTTCTTATTATTCTCCTTCTGCTGCTGGGCTTGAGGGTCGGCAACTGGGAAGCCCCTTCCCTCCTTCTGCTGTCTACGCACAGATGTGCCTTCACCGGTAGGAGACGACAGCATGAGAAAACACGATTTTGGAGCGAAAGGGGTACATGTTGGAAAGAGAAGCTTACACGAAAGACTGCACATGTTCACAAGGTTCCGCAATGCGATTGGCACCGAAGCCGAAGTTTGACCACTCCCGATCAAAGCAATGTTACTCTCTCGGAACATCTCTAGCTCTAGCAATATGCTCCTGAAAACCCTACGTCCCAATATTCTCCTACAAGACATCAAGATTTCTCGGAGGTCCCGGGCATAAATGCGATGAATGATGATAGACATGAAGCAGCACATGGATTGTTTCCAGGGCTAGGAGTTGCATGGGGAGGCCGGTCTAAGTTTGGGAAGGTCGATGCTTTGGAAGCTTGGGGCCTATGGCAGCGGCATGTGCCCCGACCAACTGCCCGCTGACGGAGACAAGCGTCTGCTTCGAGTAGGTCCAGAGCAAACGGCCCACAGCGAACGAGGTGGCCTCATAGCAAACTAAGGTTGGGGGGGTTTCCCAGAATAGGGTTCAGGGTTTAGGGATGCCCTTTTTGGGGGTGCCTTTAAAGGGATGACTATCTTGGGGATATATAAGGATAGGGGAACCCTAGGGGGAGTTTCCGAGAATAGGGGGTGTCCATTTTGGGGGGTTCCTTTAACGGGATTAGCATCTCGGGGTATATAAAGGGGTACCGGGGGACCCCGGTTTTCGGAAATCCCCAAGTCTTCAAGTCAAACATGCTCAGTCTACCAGACAGCGGCGCATGGTGGAGCGCGGCAGAGTCTGCAGCCAGGTGGCATTCAGGACGGCGCTTTCCTCGTGCAACGCACAGCTATGCACACGGTCCAAACATGCGGCCTCGCGAACCCCGAACTTTGACCTTCTCCACTGAGCTCTGTAAACATCGCCGAATTCAGGAGGGTCTCCGAAGGAAACTGTGGCTGAAGTCGTACAGCAGCACCGCCTACCAGACAACAAACAGGTGGTCTCAACCTTGAGTCCTCATCTTCCATTGCACAGCACCAGCCTGCATCAGGGCCCCGCAGCAATGCATCGCGAAAGGCTGTGCCGCCGCTCTTGGCCACGTGGATCTGCAGAGCTTGGATCCACTCTCAGGGGCAGGGATGGGGGAGTCAGGCCCAGGATGCCGTCGAGGGACGAAGGCTGCCACAGATCCTGGCTGCCGCCTCCAAACCGGCACGCAGGGCAAGTCACCTGGCTTGCAACTCTTCAAGGAAGCCCAGCATTCCTGGAAGGCTTATCTTTTTGAGGCAGTCAAGCTGCTTTTCATGCGAAAAATGGCTAGGACTAGGACAACGTGCCGTGCCACGAAACAAGCATGGCCGGACAGCAGACAGCATTTTACTCGCGATGCTTCATGTGAGAAGTTGGACACATCTTGAGCTCATCTTGGAGTGGCCTATTCAAAAGTACTGAAGAAGCACAAACATCAGCTTCCTGCTCCGAATGTCTCGAACGCACCTCCCCCACACAACAGAGAGACAAGTTTGAGGGAGAGGACAGGATCACCGACAGAATGTAGACGAGGATGAAAAGATATGAAAAGCATCCCGCAAAGCACAATGACCCAACAACAACCCAGACGAGTGGCAAGGCTATGAGTGCTGCCCACATATGCACGAAGAAGTCTTGCACTTTTGGCAAACACGCGGGTGACGGTGCCTGCATACTCCGGTTGCACAACGAGCTGCGGGAGCCGGCGGCTCTGTTCCCGAACAAGCCTCACAATCGACCACTCAAGCGTGAGTCGTGGTGGATCAGCGTCATTTCCCGCAGTCGCAGCCCGGCACCTCCTAAAGGCCAGAAAACTTCCAGCTGCCCGGCGCGTGCGCGCTGGCCTTCGAGCAGGAGCGGCCAAGCAGGCACCAGGTGCTGCTCACATGTGCTCACATGTGAGCGAATCAGTCTCGGTGCTTGGCCGGTGGAAGTACAAGCGTCCTCGGACAAAGCACCAAGAATGTCTACCCCAAGTGATGCGTGTTTACATGCCACGCGGACGTGTAGCAGAGTCTAGCATGTTCCCGACTTGTCATGAGCTCCTCGAGACTCGGTGGCGCCTCTGGCTTTTGCATGCACAATGTCAATGTCCAACGGAGCTGAAGTGTTGAGCGAACTCCAAGTCAGCAGGTATGAGCCTGTCAGCTGTGGGGGGACGGGGGGCACAGCCATGTCATGGCACATGGGTCACATCTGCTCCCGTACAGACAGAACCATGGCCATCTCTCTACAGCAATGGGACGTCGTTTGTCGGTTGCCTGCTAGCTCAGAATTCCTCAGCGGAGCCAAGTAGCCCTGGGCCAGAGGCAGCCAGCTCCAGAAGCAGCCATGGCCCATTGAGATCCATTGAGCATGGCGCTTTTGAGCATAGCTTCAGGATGCTTCGGGCTTCAGCGGACGTTCGGCGTGGGCCTGCGGTGTGCTGCTGCAGCCGGGCCCCCTGGGTTGAGCTTTTGAGCTCTCTTCTCACGTAAGAAGGTTTGTGTGCTGTTTTGCAATACATAGCACATCTTGAGCAAGTGGTCCGAGTTTTTCTCTCTACGACTCTACCAGTACGAGCCGCTACGAGCCCCGCATCACGGCCCATCAATCCTTGGCTGGCTGGGCCCTTCTCAGCTCTCTGCCCTTTTCAAACGATAACAAAACCACAAAAACTGATTCCGATGGTACAGTGTGCCTATGTGTGCCTTCTTCGCTCTTCTGGATCCATGGCTAGTTTCCACTCGATGGGAGCACTGGATGGTAAAAATTGGATCCCCCTGATCATCCTGCAACTTCACAGCATGCGCTGCTACAACAAGTGCCACCCAACTATCCTTAAAGGGTATATATAGGGGGATATAGGGTACCTCATTCCCTCATTCCCTACTAAGCAACAGCAAGTATCCGCATCCGGAGGCATGGATGGATGCGCATGGGCTTTTTAACGCGCTCGCTGTCGCTCCAGGCGCGTCAGCCTTCAGCCGCAGCCTAGCAGTGGCCAGGCCGCAGATGAAGCCCGCGGCAAGAGGAAACAACGATATATATATATATATATATATATATATGTATAGTCTCGGGCTCCCGGGCCCTACCCCCCCCCCCCATGGTATCCCCCCCCCCCCAATGGTATGCCCCCCTCCCCCTCCACCTAAACCTTAAACCCTTACCCCTAACCCCCCAACCACACCCACACCCACACCACAGGGCGGGGGGCGGGGGGGCGCGGGGGCATTAAATCTTAAACCCTAACCCCCCAACCACACCCACACCACAGCAAAGGGGTTATTAAACCTTAAACCCTGAAGCCCCAACCACACCCACACCACACAGCGGACGTGGGGGTACAAAACCTTAGACCCTAACCCCCCAACCAGACCCACACCCCAACAACACCCACACTGCAGGGGGGGTGGGGGTAGGGATACAAGGGAGGGTGGGGGGGGGGGATACCATGGGGGTGGGGGGGGGGGGGGGGGGTGGGCGTGGCAGCCCTGGACCATAAATAAATAAATATATATATATACATACATACATACATACATACAAACATACATACATACATATATACATATACATATATATATATATATACAATATATTGTATCGTATAATGTAACATAACAGAATATAACAACATAATGGTTATATAATTATATATCATATAACACAGTATAGTATAATACAAATTAACATAATAAACTACAATATAAGAAAAATATGTCGAGAGAGAGTTCTTGCGCTGCTCTTGCCTTCCGCTCGTCAGCTGTGTAAGAGTGTGGAAACAGGTCCGCCCCATTTTACTGGCCTCTGCGGCAGCCACCTGTTCCATCAGCGCCTTGCAGGCGGAAGTTTAAGTTTCCCGTCCCTCACAAAGAACACAGCACATGGACCAAAAGCAGCAAAGCTCCAGATGCTGGGCCTGGGCAACGGGGTCCTCGCAGGCACCTTCGACCCCAGATTTGTCCTCACAATCGAAAGGCTGCAAATGCCTGTGTCTCAGCTGCCCCTTTCTCAGAGAACACCTCGCCACGCGCTGGCTGTCACATGTTTCTCACACCCACACCAGCAAACCATTGCAAGTTGCAAACCTCCAGATTTGCAACTGCTCCGGTGCTGTCTGCCACGTCGGCAGTCTCCTGTGCAGTAGCTTAGGCATCCCCGCGTCGTGCGATGCAGTGTGGCACTTCTTGTTGCTTCGCACCAGTGCAGCTAATCAAATTGTCCTGGGTTGCGCTGAGATTTGATGGCTGCCTGGCGACAAGAGGAATGTCAATGAAAGCATGTTTGAACAGGCCGAACACATGTCAACCTGTGAAGGCACATAGCGCCCTTTGAAGGGATACGGCACGCGCATGAACTGCCCAACTATGCCAACGATGCGGCTATACAGGTTGGGGGACAAGGTGAAGTCGGGCATGGTCTTGCAGGGGTCTCGCTGCTTGTGACTACTCAATTTTCCTGACGTGGTACCTTGGGTACGCAGGCGTAGCGCTGCCTTGGGCATACACCACAACAACCATGAACAACCACATCATCTCAGAGTGGTGTTGCTTCCATGTCGGGAAGCAAGATTCGGACGAGCACGTGGCCACTTACGGCATAGACTCCGCCAATGGTTTACCAGGTTCGGCATCTAACGCCTAAGGCCTAAGGTTTCACAAATCACCATCACCTGGGCAGCATGTGCCGCTTCACAAAGTTGGCCACATGATCCGTGTCGGCAGTGGTCAGTCTTGGACTGATCTGCGATCGTTACCGCGGGAACTCGCAACGCAGCGCGCGTGTGCTTTGTGCATGTTTGCCTAGCGGCCCTACCGCTCTCCTCTCAGGATTCTCAGAGTCGGGGTGATGACGCGACAAGGAAACCGACATGAAGATGCTACAGGTACTCCATCAGAAATAGGTGGTTAGGACACTGAATTCTTGGATGTTGTTGGTTACCCTTTCCTTGTCTATATAATGTTTACAGACCATGCTGTAGCTGACTTGATGCTGGGCTTTTGGAGAATAGTTCGCAGGCGTGTGAGATTGAAGGCGGTCTACATCTGGAAGGCTGGGATACAAGACCCTGACACCGGGGTATACAACTTTTGAGGGCTTGATCAGCTGGCGCTCAGCTGCTCCAAGGACTTGAAAGCATGCAGCTTGTCAGATGACGGCTGCTTCATCGCGGAGGCCCGAGATCGTAAGGGAGATCTGGAAAATGCTGTCGCCCACCATGCGTCACCTGAGGAAGGAATTCGTTCGCCTCGGCCAGGAGCGACAGGCGTCTGGAACAAGCAGACCAAGATCTGGTCGACTCCCCCCAACTACCCCCAACCCAACCCTTCCACCACTGAGACCTCTTTCTTTCCTGCAGCCACCGCCCTCCCTGCCCAAGCTTCACTTGGCCACAAGGACGCGAGCACAGTTTGGTGGGTTGGGCGCGTTTGCAACTATGAACCCGCTGCCGTCAAGCAGCTCTCATCACCGTCTCATGACCTTCAGGCGCTTTCTGGCGTGCGTCCCCTGCCCAATGCAAAGCGGCATTTCTCACCAGACACGGATCAGACACTCGGGTGTGCCTGGTAGCGCTTGCGGGCGCAGGTCCAACTCAGGACCGATGTCGTACGGGACATCTGGAAGGAGATATTGGTCGCCATTCGACGGACCCTGCAGCAGCACCAGGGATAAACCCACAGCAAGCACGATGGACTCGTGGCTTGTAGCAAGTTTCAGCTCAGCCAAGAACTCTTGGCACATGGCCGCACGTGAAGCCTTGGCATGCGGATGGGGCTCTCCATCTTCACAAGGTGTTATTTTATCTAAAGCCGTCTCAGCTTCAAGCCTCCTGCTTCCATAACCGGCCCAAGCAGCGGCGGATCCTTGACTTGCACACAGTAGAGTCGAAGACCGAAGTTCCAAAGCAGTCGACGAACAGATGACAGGCTTGCACATCTTGCGAGGGACTTGCAGGCATCATCAGGCATCTACTGTGTTCCCCCTTATACCAACAGCTCCTTAAATAGGGGAATCTAGTACCCCCTACTCTAATCCCTATTGAGGACTCTCAGAAAAAGGGGGGGAACACATCCCAAGCTGACATTGTCAACACACAGGCGGCCTCATTGGGAGCCAGCGGCAGTTTGCGAGGCGAACTCCTTTGCAAGCACGACGTCTCCCCACGCTCAAGCCACACAAAGCCGCGAAAACAGCCACAAACAGCACAGCACTGAGACTGCTTCTGACTCTTTCTGGCTCTTTTTTGGCTCTTTTTTGACTCTTTTTGAGACCCTGCTCTCAACATGGTTCTTGTGAGATATCGTGAGCTTTGCGGACGAGAGTCGACTCGGAGCTTGCTAGCTGACCAACCAGGGCCTCCATGTTGTAGAGGCGTTCTTCGGCGATCATCACCTTGCCTTCGTGTTACGCAGAGAGATCCCAATCCTAAACCCTAAACCCTAATCCCTAAACCCTAAACCCTAACACAAACCTGTCATTCCTCTGGTCAAGGCTCGCTTGATCCGGCGGCTCTCGTCCATCACGCAAGCAATGTCCAGTGCCTGCGGGATCAGCAGGTGTCCTCTCTTGAGGGATTGGAACGTGGACCGGGCTTCGAAGGCTGACGGCTGACTTAGCCAGCGTGTTTTCGCCAGTATATGCTTGACTTGTGGCTGTGGAGGGAATTGTGGCATCATCTCCATCGCCACTGCTAACATTCCGAACTGGCCTTTGCAGGGCCACGCAGCCGCAGGCATCCATCAGTGAACTCCTTAGTTGCGCGCCGGATGCCTAGATCGTTCTGCTCTCTCTACAATACTCTGCCTGTCTGATGCATTTAATTTAGTGTTGGTGCGCCCGCCCCCTCACTCATTCCCACTTCTGCGACACTATATCGGAAGCGGTGTGGCGGCAAAGGTTTCGACTCGAACTTGTGCAGAGTGAGCTCTCAGCATCATAGCCGATCAACCCGAGCTATATCTTCGTGTTCTATGCACCCTTTACCCACGCATGGCTCTGGAACACAGGAGAGGCAGCTTTAGTTCTTGTGGGCTCTGCAAGATGTGATGTCAAAGGAGTGGTAGCTTCGTTCTGCCTCAAGCCTGTCCCAGAATTCCCCAGCAGCTTCAGATTGTGCTATGACAGGGGCATACTGAGGTCTAGCTCTACCTTGCGTAGACCTGCCATGGACCTGCTTGAGCAGCGACGGCGAGTGACGCTTGCAGGATGCAGAGCGTGAAAGTTGCAGATAGTTGTCAGTTTGAGGCTTCAGGCCAAGCTCGTGCCAAGGAACTGAAAGATTGATGTCTCCATTGCCCTCTTCGTCCAGAAGTTTGAAGAGAGTCCACGAATCCCTGCCGGCGCCAATCCACACGTTAGCTTAGAGTAACAGCATGGAGCCTGATCACCAAACATCCAGCAAATTGTTTGAGGTATCTTTGCTTGTGTGCCTGGCCGTCAGATCGAGGGACTGGAACAGGGCCCGAACCTCTTCATCGTTGAAGAACTGCCTTTGGAAGATGCTGCACAGCAGTTGCGTGCTGCTGCACAGGTCGGAACATCATGTGCTAGGCAAGCAGCTCCATTTCACTGAGTGTGATGGCCCCATCCCTTTCGAGACCTCAAAACACGCTCCGAAATCGGAAAACACGCAGAGACAGGCTGTTGCGGTTTCCGATTAAACCAGCTACGGCCGCATGAAGGACTTACCGCCCGAATACTCCGGTGCATCCTGCTACGCGCAGAATGGTGCACCCACCTGTTCTGCTGATGGTTCTTATGCTGGCATCGCCTGCGCATAACGCGAAGCCCCAGCTCGCGATAACCAGAAACAGCTTCCAAAAAATCTCTAGAGATCTCTGGAGGCCCTTTCAGATTTTTTGTGGCGGTGGCCAAGGCCTCTGAATAACACACCTGGCGACTACGACGACGAGTCCAATGCTGACCGCTGCTGTAGTATGTCTGTTTGTCCAAGGGGCCATCAAACCGCGAGAAGAGCAGCTCGATACGATGCCTGTAGCGCCTGGGTTCGGCGTTATCCAAAGCCTTTGCAGCCCCACAAGGTTGTCTACCACAAGCTGTCTAACACAAAGTCCTTAGGCTGCTGTGAAACCCGCATCTGCTCCGTTCATTACCATAAGCCCAGAATCCGCTGATCGTCCAGAAAGCGCTGCAGGACGTTTTGCTCGTCTTGCTCGGCACTTTCAATTGCTCTCTGGCAGAACACTGCCTGACACTGTGGAGGCACGCAAAGCACTCACCGTCTTAGCCCTAACATGGTTTATAGAACAAAAGCAAAGCCAAGAACGATGCTTGCCAAGAGACCGTTATTACGTTGAGAACCGCAAAATAGGCAAATGCGATCCATCCAGTGAAGAAATAGCCCCACACCCAGTCAATCCCAACAAGGATATCTGCCATCTCGCCCCAATCCAGTCCGCCAGTTACGCTTCGAAAGAGGGTGTGCATGGACAGGTGCCTTGGTGTCAAACGCAAGACAAGAGAAAGCATTAAGGATCCCGTCCATTTCTTATAAGCCGATTCCGGTTCGCATTCCCCACATCCTGTACGAATTACACTTCGAGCCTCGCGGTTTTAACCCGTCTTTTGAGGCTCAAGAACGACATGCAGCAAGCCGGATTCCGACGCTCCCCTTGAAAAACTAGCAAAACCAAAGCTTTCGCGCCTGTCGTTCAAGCTGGATCAAGCTGCAAGGAACCGAAGCTGATCAGGAGCTGCTGGTTCACTTCTTCTTGCCCAACTTCTTTGACATGTCCGTGCACCGTGTCGGTGAAAAGAATTGCGAACCTTGGCTTCGAAACATACACAGCCAACAAGTGTTGTCCATGTGTTGTCCATGCACTGTGATGCGCAGTCACAGAGACAACTGCAGACCATGATTCGCCAGCACATCTGTCACTGGCCGGCGCTCATTTTGGCAAGTCTTCTACCACATGCCCTGACTTTTACTGGTTTGCTTTTGAATGGGCCCCGCTGCCGCTCCACACCCACCCTACAGGAAGCGGGGTGGTCTGCGGGTGGTCCACATGAACAGGCATGAAAAGGCTGCTTGGGGACAAAAATCAAAAACAAAATACAATGAAGAAAAAAAGACTTGGGCCGCCGGTGACAAATCACACACGAGGCCGCAGAGGCTGCCGAAGAGTGTCCATCGGCTACTCTCGTGACTCCAGTGGAGGAAGTACGGATGCTTCAGCTCAGCGAATTAGTACTCCCCGCCTTGACTGGCCTTTCTCCCATTTTTTTTCTTT